TGATAGAAGACTTCTGGACCTTGGGGCAACCCCTATTATCCAAAGAGGTTTGGGAGATGATCAGCACCCATCAGGGTATGGTTCTTTTATTTCAGAATTAATTATTGAAATCTTGCTATATGTTCTAAATTGGGACGCTATTCTTGTTTACCGTTAACAGGTATGAGGCTGCTCTGGATCCTTGGATGATATCTTTGTGGAATATGTTGAATAACATCAATCCAAAATACTTCCCAAATGGCCCAGAATTTTTGATTCCGTATGAGAATTTTATGGCTGAACCTAAAGTTCGGATTCAGTACCATGACATTAAGCAGGTGGATTCACAATTTTCAACTAATTCAGGTAATTTAGTTGTTCAGAGTTCCCTTCTTGGTATAATCATGTAATTACCTTCTTGTTGTTTGCAAACATCATTATGCAGATGAATCATTATAAAGCATGTTTTTTTAGCAGTAGACTTTTTACTTCCATTGATAGGTTTTCAGATTCTATTAGAAGACATGTTGCCCAAAAAAAAAAAACCAAAAAAAAAAATCATTTCCTTTCCTTTCCCACTTAACCCTTTGAACCAAAATCAGTTCTATGTTAGACATGGAATGTTCGATACCAGAGTGTCATTTCTGTTAAGCTCATCCTTGCATTCAGTTTGTATGTAGTGTCTAATTAAGCCATGCCTTTGTGGTTTTCTCAGACTTGAATCACATTGCGTTGCAGATTGAAAGGGCTCGCAGAGTGTCTCCTGTAAAGTTTTCTCTTGACAAGAACAGGCCTGACTGCATTCTTAAATTGGTAATGCTAGAATGTTACACTATAGTATGTAGAAAATTCTGCTATTTCTAACTGCTTAGGCACATGTTAATTTAAGTTTGTGATGTTTGGGGACTTGTTTGCTTTCTCTCTTTCTCATTACCAGATGATTTTTTGTCTCATGCATTCCTCAGCTCATTTAAACTTTACTCATGTAGGTAAAAAATGAGCCACTGACTAAATCAGGAAGTATAGACAAAGAGGTGCATCACTTCGAATTTGAATTTGTTTCATCTGTAAGTTGCCTACTATGTGCTTGTTACGTTTCCTGTTGATTCAACCAATATGTATCATTACTTTTCTTTCCTAGTGAAAAGTTTCATTTGATATGTCAGGCTATTGAATATGAAGTTGGTGACGTCCTTGAGGTTCTCCCTAGTCAAAATCCTGCTGCAATAGATTCTTTCATACTTCGTTGTAATTTGGACCCTGAATCATTCATCACTGTGAGTATTTTTGCTTGTATATTGGTTGAATATTTGAGTGGTACTACCTTCAAATTTTTACTAAAATAAATTATTGAATAATATACTTCGATTAATTTTTTGAAACCTGTGTACAAGAGAAAGGAAATATGTTAAACGGTTAAGGGGATTTTTTGCATTGTTCTTCGAAGTATCATTTTTTTATTCTTATTTTTGGCATTGCTGATTTTAGGTTCATCCTTCAGAGATGGAGAATCAGCTTCTTGATGCTTGTACCCCCATCAAATTAAAAACTTTTGTTGAATTGACAATGGATGTTGCATCAGCATCTCCTCGGCGCTATTTCTTTGAGGCAAGAATCTAGTATGTAACTCAAGGATTTATATTAGCACCCCTTCCAGTTTATATTATAGCCATATTCTTGCTTGCTTAGTTTTGCTCGTCATCCAGTTGGCTTTTTTTGTTGTTATTGATTTATTAGTTCAACTGTTTAGGCAATCTTAGAAAGTGATTTGAATAATAAGGAATAGTTAGGATATTGCTAAAATGGTAATGGTAACATAACTTTCAACCAAACATCTTACATATAAGCATATGGAATGGAAGTCTCATTAACGAACAATTTTTGTTATTGTAGACATGCTATGGCCCTTAAATTGATCTTCCGTGGAATTTTCAGGTCATGAGTATATTTGCAACAGCAGAACATGAAAAGGAAAGACTCCAATATTTTGTGTCACCTGAAGGAAGAGATGACCTATACCAATACAATCAGAGGGAACGACGGACTGTTCTGGAGGTGATGTAAAATCCGTTGATGAAGTGCTTGTTTCCTCCTTTAGGTTTGTTTTTAATAATTTAGTTCATTATGAAAATACAGGTTTTGGAAGATTTCCCCTCTGTTCAAATGCCATTGGAATGGTTGGTACAGTTGGTTCCTCCTTTAAAAACGAGGGCTTTCTCCATCTCTTCGTCCCCTTCTGCGCACCCCAATCAAGTTCACTTAACAGTGAATGTGGTGTCATGGACAACACCTTTCAAAAGAAGTCGAGCAGGTCTCTGCTCAAATTGGCTAGCCAAGCTTGATCCTGAACAACGTATGTCATATACTGTACATATAAAGCATGTTATTAACAAAGCAAAATATGAATTACCCTTTCATGTCCTTGATTTTTGCTCTTCTGTGATAAACAGGCGTTTATGTTCCAGTGTGGTTTCAAAAAGGTTCCCTTCCTCCCCCACCACCATCACTTCCTCTCATTCTCATTGGACCTGGAACTGGCTGTGCACCTTTCCGTGGATTTGTGGAGGAAAGAGCCATACAAAGTTTGACTGGTTCAACTGCTCCAGTGATGTTCTTCTTTGGATGCAGAAATGAGGACAATGATTTTTTATACAGAGAGTTTTGGATATCTCATTCACATAATGGTGGGGTGCTTTCAGAAGCAAAGGGTGGAGGCTTTTATGTTGCCTTCTCAAGAGACCAGTCACAGAAGGTTTATGTGCAGCATAAAATACAGGAACATAGCCGGAGGGTGTGGAATTTGCTGAGGGAGGGGGCTGCTGTGTATGTTGCAGGCTCTTCTACGAAAATGCCGGCAGATGTATTATTAGCCTTTGAGGAGATTATTTTGAAAGAAAGTGGGCTTCCACAAGAGTCAGCAGTGAGATGGCTTAGAGCTCTGGAAAAGGCTGGAAGATACCATGTTGAAGCGTGGAGTTGAGCATTGCTGAAATTGTGACTTTGAAATCTGCTGTTGAGAACTAGAGATCAAATGTTTCATGGAACTTCAGGTGTGACTTGGATTACATGTGATGCTTGAGCAGGAGTAGATAGGATGGTGGAGATAGCATCTGTATAAGGAGTAAGAGATCACAGGCAGCTGGTTTTAAGTTACTAGCATTCCCAGGCATTGCGTGTCAGATCTCAATCGTTTGTTTTTTTTCTTTTCTTATCTATTCAATTTTTGTGATTGTGGGTTGAAAAGAATTCAATTAATCTGAGTGATGGGTTATTTTATTACCCAATAAATATTTGTATTTGTAAAAGACTTGGAAGGAATAAGAGAAAGCCAAAAAAAAGTGATTTAAAAAAAAAGTAAACTCTTGGCCTCACTTCTTCCTTCCTCCTTCCCATCTTACCCGGATGAAATGCTAGGAATTGATGTATCCTTTGTTTTTCTCTTTCCATTGTCATTGGCAATTTCTACTTCTACATCAAGATTTTCAATAAAAAAGACAGTTTCACATACCCCTGTGAATTTACCTCTCAGGTTTGATTGTGGGAAACCACCTCCACGGTTCACATCCTTTTGACTAATGTGTGTTTTTACAAAACAAAATTGAGTCAATCTTTAAGTGATGTTACTATCTTTCACCAACCAGTGTTGCCAATAACAATGTCTTTTGAAGATCCTCTAAAATGCTTCAGTGAGTTTTACCATAAAACTTTTTCCCAGTCTCCTTTGAATGTGAAGTGTTTATTTATTGGTTATCTTCCTCGAGACAAATTGAATATTGACAGTCTTGTGACCTCATTCAACTCCCTAAATCACCATAGAAAATTACAAATTGATTAAGTTTTGACGAAATTATGAGCTTCCAAATAGACCTCAAAAGTCAAGTCATTATCTGAAAGCACAAGATAATAATAGCGAGTGCAATTTATCCCACATCGCTCATTTGATATCAAACACTACGCTTTATAAACCTAACACGAGAGGCTCATACCGCCGAGCTTTGTAACACAAGCTTGTAACCCGAGTGGGGGCTTTGAGGTGCTGGAACATTGGCCAAGAATTAGCGGGTCGGGTTCGAGCTGGCAATCGACTGGCCTGCCCATTCCAAACCAAGAGTTGAACCCTGTGGCTTGAGCGAAGGCTCTGGGTCACTGGTTTCCTAGAGAGGAGGGTACCGCGTAAGGCTGGCTTTACAGAGCAACGACTAGCTCCCGCTCTTGGCAGTGGAAGGATTACAGGTCAGTGTCACTCGGATCCACCATGGCCCGCTAGACTGACCCAATAGAACCAGTACCTTTTTGGCTTTTTTACTCTTGTTTTGATCAACTGCCTAAATAGACACTCAAGTTTTCTTCCTGATCTTTGAATGCATGATCCAGATTGTCGAGCTGGTTGTCTGCATTTTTGTGATCAGACTTGCTCATCCTTTTCTTCAATCATCAGTGAGAGAGGTAACATTACATTATTTGAATTGGATCTGTATGTTCCCTTGGGAATGTTTTTTCCCACTCTTGGCCACTCATTTATCCCTTCCTACTTCCCATCTTACTTGGACGAAATGCTAGGAATTGAGGTTTATTTTTCCATTGTCATTGGCAATTTCTACTTCTACATCGAGATTTCAATAAATAAAAAAGATGGGTTGAGTAAGCAAATCACCACGTCTTTTATTTTTACAACTGATTTGCAGATCGGCGGTCTCACTCAAGTTCGAACTCTCATGACACCTGACAGTGCGTGTGAGAAAACCCTTCCCCTTTCTAACTTTAGTATATTTAAAAAAATAAATAAATAAATCCCACGTTTTGTTTTATTTTGGGCCGGGTTTGGATTGGGTTCTTTAGCCTAGCCCAGCTAATTTTATATTGGGCCTGGGTTTACCGAGCTAGGCTAGCCCCAGAACCAGAAACAAACAAGGTGAGAAAAATGGCATTTTATCCTCACTCACAATCTCACATGAATAGGTGTCTTTCTCTGAGTCGCACTGAAAGGGGAAGAAGATAGATAAGAACCCAAGAAGAAGAAGATGTTATCTATGGGTTTGGGGATCGAGTGTCAGGCAAACTTGAATGCCTCCGTCTTGAGGCAGAAGTTGCCTCAGCAAAAGCACAAGCTTTTATTGGTTAACAATAATCAGAGAGCATTGAATTTCAAGCCAAGGACCTCTACCTTCTCTGTTTCTCACTCGCTGCCGGAGTTGAAGCTCAGACTGACCCAAACCACGAGAAACGTCAAGCTCTCCGCCGCCGCTGAGTCTCTAGTTGCTGAAGAAACGGCCGCTGCTGATGACAACTTAACCACCGAAACGCCTCTGGAAAAAGAGGTCTGTTTCATCCCTCGCACTCTCTTTCTGGTTTTCTTTTTTCTTCTGATAAATTGATTATGTCATTGAAAATTTGATATATATGTTTTCCTGCGTTCTGTTTGGTTGCTGGGAAAATGTAGGGACAGTCTAGAAAGTTGAAAACTGATACAAACTGTAGCAATGTTGAGGCTGGCTGACGCTAATTCATAATTGGGTTTATCGAAGTGATGTGCTGAGTTGAATGGATTTTTGTTCTTTCTTTTTTCTTAACTTTTTCGTTTGCCCAGAATAAGACTCTCTGCTGTTAAAATTTTGAATTCATCTTACTCTGTTATTATGCATGAAATTATATTTAGTCACAACACAAGTTTTGTCATTGCTTTGTGTGAAAGAAATCTATTTTGTTATTAATCCTTGTATTTGCTTCTAATATAAGAGTGAATATCTAATCCAACATATTGATTTCCCCTCATTTTACCAGTTACCAAACGAGGGTATTAGTTTGGCAAAGCAATGCTCTTGTAGTTAACTTATATCTTTATTTTGGATGTTATAGAAGCTTGGAGTAGTTGTGAAGCCAATTGAGAAACCAAGGCTTGTATTGAAGTTCATTTGGATGGAAAAGAACATCGGCATCGCCCTCGATCAAATGATACCGGGTCATGGCTCCATCCCTCTCAGCCCCTATTATTTCTGGCCGAGGAAAGATGCCTGGGAGGAGCTCAAGGTCTTGCTCGAGAGCAAGCCATGGATATCTCAAAAGCAGATGATTATTCTTCTCAACCAGGCTACTGATATCATCAATTTGTGGCAGCAGAGTGGTGGCAATTTGGCGTAAGCTTTTAAGGTAGAAATCTTTTTGAGTTTGAAGGTGCTGTGTGCTATTAATAGCTTGAGCCCCCATTTAGCAATGCTCTTTGTGTAACCTGCTGAATAGGGCTCTATTGACTACTTGTGCATCAAATTCGTTAAATTTGAATGAAATATGGGTTCTATTTTCTCTTCGGATGATATCAGTTTAATCACATTTTGTTGCACTCGAGCATTTTTTTGGCCTTTGTAATTGAATTGTGTTGTTCAGTAGTTTAATATTCACCCATTGCCAGCCAAGCTAGGGTTCTCTTAAGCAACAGATCCTTCTGGCAAAGTGGATTAGGTGCCTTTCCAATCCCTGATATCTTTGTTATCGTTGAGTTATCGGAATATAACTCAGCGACTGTGTTAACCTTTAACTCTAGCAGCTTGAGCAGCAGCACTTGAGTCATTGAGAGCAGAGTTCTTCATTCAGTGAAAGTTACTAACCATTTAGAATATTTAAACACGAAGGCGAAAATTTGAACATTTGAAGTACAGAAATATAAACTCAAAATCATCCACTTTTCTTTTCTGAAAAGGTGAAAAAATCTGTATATAATATAAGTAACCACCAATATTTGAAGCAGATAATTTATGCCATCCAAAACATAAAAGGGGGGGATATGACACCGTCTGCTGAGGGATACAAGACAAATAGCTGGAATAAGAAGAGTATAAGAAACCCTACTAAACTTAACCCACATGGCAAAGAGTTCACACAGAAGAAAAGATGGACCACAGATAACCCATTTTGTCATATCATTCCTCAAACTCATGCATGTGATCCAAAAGATAGTTGGCCGCCAGCTCCTCATTCTTGTTGCATGCAAAGTATACCTCCAACACAAGGGCCCGATCGAAACCCATAGCTTCAAGCTGCAAGCAAAAGTTTTTGCATTTGTCAAAACCAGAGAACCAAAAACAAGTGGAACAAATGCACTTACAAGTAGAGAGGAATACTACTTACACGTTCGATGGCCTCTCGCTCCTCAGGGGTGACGGTCACAGCCTGTGGCACTGCTGCACCCAACTGCTCCAATAGGTTCCTGAACAGATGGTGTTTCAATAACTTAGCAACTTGTGTATCCAATTATCCACAAAGAAATCAACAAGTAAAGCAGATTTATCTAACCCTTCACCGCCTTCAACAGGCTCATTTATCAAGCGTAAGAAGTCAGCTTGATGTGCTTGAATGAGCTGCATTAGATGCGGATTTTGTTTCCCTAACTCTTGAAGCATAGGCTGCACCAAGATAAAATGCCAAGAGTTGTCAAATTATAATTAGTAATGAAAAAGACTGGCCAAAATGGGAGCAAAAAAAATGGGGAAACAAATAATACCTGGAGAATTTGAGGGTTTGCTTGCACCATAGCTCGCAAAGCTTGGAACTGAAATATGAGTTGGCAACTCAGATACCTTTCCACAAAAATAAGCATTAAACTGATTCAAAGATAAAAAGATGACATATGTACCTGTGGACTGTTGCGCAGGAAATCCAAATTGCCTGCACCAGCATTTGCACCCATATTGGGAAGGCCCTGATTCATCGAATAAAATTAATCACTTGTCCCAATAAATTATAACCAGGTTCATAGATTACTAAAGTATCTACCTGTGGAAACAGGTCTAGTGGATTTGCATTCGGACCTCCAGTAGGCGCTACTGGTTGTGGAGCCTGGGCTGGAGGATTTGCTGCTGGAGGATTTGCTGCTTGTTCACCAGCAGGAACTTGGGCTGCTGGTGGGACTTCAGCTTGTTCAGGAATGCCCTGACATGTATATCAATTCTTGTGTCAATCTGATAGTAACACCTAAATATGCTTGCTACTATATATGCAGATACAACATACTATAACCAAAACAAGTAAATGATGAAGAGAGTAAATACCAAAATAACAGTCTACATTTTGCAATTTTGCAATTTTCTTCAAGGAGATAACAGTTGTGAAAACTTAGAACACATGACCCAAACAGGTTAACATCAGAGCATAAGCAAGCAACAACCAAGATCTTAATTTCACTTTGGATGTTATTTTTAACACCAGCCAGTTTTATTGCTCTATATAGAGCTGAGTGGAGAAAGGATCATAACCCAACACCATTGAATAACATCATTTACAAAAGTGATTATCACAAAGTACACGATATTAATCAACTGAATACCTAATTGTCAACAATTCTGAGATAAACTGAGACAAAAAGTATATTGCATACTGCTAAATGACTTGTTAGGTAGAAAAACAACAAAACATTACCTTCACCTCCTAATCAATTAAAATTTCAAGATCAATTCTCAAATTCCTTTTCTCATTGAGTACTTACAGAATATAAATACTCAACAGCCCTTTCAGGGTTGTTGAAAGCAGCACGTAAAGCACGGACAACTGTATCACGATCCCAACTTCCTCCGCCCATATCTAGAATCTGCTGAACGGTAGCCTCTAAATTAGTTCCTGCAACAAGATTTGATGCAGCTTGGCCATACACATCTGATCTTGAACTGCCGAATAATAAAGCCAGAATAAAAAATTTAAGAAAAGGTCCATTTTATGGAGAGAAAAAAAATTTAATTCAAATCGTCAACTAGTTTATACTATAAGAAAAATTCAAAAGCAAAGCACATGGCCTTATACAGTATAAAATTCATAAATAGAAACAAAAATAAGTACTCACGAATCGGTGGGAGCTGCAACAGCAGGAGTCTCAACGACAGGCTGTGACCTGGACAGTTAACCAACATCAAAAATTGTAATTAGTATATAAACTACTTATAAAAGAACAAACTTCAGGTTGAATAGTGAACAACTAAAACAGCCTTCACGAGTTTAAACAAGTTCAATTCTACATAATCCAACATACTTCTTAAATAGAGGCTATAAATGAAGACTAATTACACTTACGAAAGGCCCGTTTAATGCCAAAAATACATATGTTAACAGTTACAAGTCTTGAGTAAAAACAATTACAGATGAATGCTTCAAAAGCAAATCATTAAATCAAAAGCTACAAGTGTGAGGCAACACTCACTCTGCCACAGCTCGCACAGGAGCTGGAGTTGCTACTGGTGGGGCTGTCGAGGTAGGAGTACTAGCAGGTTGAGCCTACAAAATCATAAGCCTATATAAGATGGACTCGCAAAAAGAAAACATCATATTGTCAGCTAGTCAAACCTAAGGACTCTATAAAATAAAATATTATTGGTTATTATCAGTTATCTTTGCATTGATTCAGCATGTATAAGTGACTATCAGTGAACATTAATATACCCAATATTCACACGTTTTTCTTTTTTCTTTTGATAGATTTCCATTTAAGAATTTATTAAGATAAGGATGCAATCTCCACCATTGTGAACTATAAAACATGCTAAAACCAATTAAATTAACAAACATTCCTAACCAAACTATTTATGCAAACAGCTATCATTGTCCGCATAAGTCAGTGCAATCAAGAGCATCAAAAGTGCAAAAGTCTATTTTTGGGCACATAGAGGACTTTATAAGTACAATTCTCCAAACAAGAATATCCATTAGATCATTCTGTTCACATTCACACAAACCTCTTCTTAGACAAACAGATGGATATGTTTCTAAAGTTGGTCTATTATACAGCTGATGTTAAGAGATCCAGTGTAATACAGAGATTACCAGTTTCACATCTAATATCAATGTGAAAAAAGACATTCCAATACAGTGATACTAAATACAGCAACCGAGCTGAATTTACCTGACTTGTGGCTGCACCTTTTGTACTGGAGGCTCCGCTTGGTGATGCCTTATTCTACAATTGATAAATGAGACCACACTTAAGATTACAGTGATAAGACTAAAAATCCCAACAGATTAATCAAGCCAAAGAACAAAAAACGTAATCATGCTTTAATATTCTCTTTATGATTGTCAAGCCCACTTTGAAAATCTTCTTTTAAAGATTGGATAAAATGGAAAACATGAGCAAGTTTGCATAGTGGACTCTACTTCTGCCAATTACAAATCCCGTTACACAGAAATTTTCTTAGTTTCATCACGACAGTTAGAAATAAATGCAAACTCACCTTGGTTAACATTATCACAATAAAACTATTTTCAGCAACTTGATTTTCTTCTAGAGTTGTGGTGTCCTTAAGAACTTTCCCCTGATGAATAAGCATCTGTTGTGAGGCAGGGTACACATCTGCACCCTGTACGGTCTCAATAATTTTCTTGACATCAGCAACCTGGGAGAAAGGATTAACAAAATTAATTTCCGCACTGAGCTGAAAATAAAAAGGATAAGAAAAAGTAGTCGAGGAACCAAAAGTAAGTGCACTAGTTGCTTAGTGGCAGTGCTCATGAAGTGGGCTAAGTAACGAAAAAATCACTTGGAATTAATCAGTTTTATTGTTTTTCATCTCTACGCCTCAGATGATTTCACTGTAGACCATGAATTGGGTTCAATGTGAGTGGTATAAAATCTTAAGCATTGAGTCCAAATCAACTAAAAATTTGAACGAACATAGAAGCGCATCCCTAGTCCACAGATCGAAGATGGAAAATTTTAAACAAATGTACATGCTTCAATAAAACACTAACGCTAAAGCTAGAGAATTTGCACAATCAAACAATAAATTCACAAAGACTTCACTAAATTCTGCGATTTCGCAAACAAGGACAGCGAACAATAATAAAAAAAAATCCGAACTCCGACAATAGCAGAAATGGGGAAAGCCCTAATTCGCATTCAATCCCCAAAAACCCTAATTACTCAAAATTGAAGCGATTATCATTACAAAATCAGCACAAAAACAATTAATTTTAATCTCTGATGATTAAGAAAAGTCACGGATATGTATATGCATGTTTTTATACCATCTCTTCGGGTTTCACTTCGATCTCGAAGTTAGTGCCCTTCAAAGTCTTGACAAAAACCTTCATCGTCTTCTTCTCGTTTCTTCGACTTACAACATTCACCTAATTCGAACAGTTCCGATTATCCGGCCAGTCTCCAATTTCCGGTTGCCGGCGGTCGCCTTTTTCAGATAGAGAGAGAAAAGAAGAGAGAGCACGAAGTCACTGTGATAACGAAAAGCAGGAGTCTTTGCTCTCCATTATATAGTAGCTACAGGATGCGCGGAAGGAACGATCCGGTAACTGGTAAATTTTCATGTCGTAATTTTTCATCCAATCGTTGTCTGCCACGCATACAATTTGTGTTGGGGATTGGGTAGTGGTAAAGTTTGGAGAGGATAGGGCTTTTGCTCCGTGTAGTTTGCGTAGAACACAATTTTAAGGAGTTGGATTGTTCCTAATTTATGCAAGACGTACCATCTGAATCATAAACATTTATTTGAAACATTTTTAACCCACCACTTTAACTCAAGATATACTATCACTACTCTTCTTAATACTTAATACGTGTTCGTAAGCATAACCATAATTAACTCAACCATTCACATTTAGTAAGCCCAACAAGAGCAACAACAAAAAAGCCCTAAAACCCACCTAGAAGCCGATCAAGCTCAGCCCACACCTAAAGTATCGGTTTTGTAGAACCCTAGCACAAACACACCGAAGCCACTGTCGCCGCCACCAATGCCGTCGTAAGGATAAGAACAGCATCACCGTGACAAAACACAACTACACTTGTGTATTCATTACACTTCTCTGTCTTTGTTTATTTTTTATTTATCCTAAAATCACTTCTTAAAACCGGCCCAAGAACAGAACAGACACAAACCAAGTGGTTAGAGGCGCAAAGAGGCCCAACCCATCAACATAAAACCTAGGCAGAAAAGCTAGATGCTGCGTCCCAAAATACCAAACATTCCGATTTACTTGACTTCTTCTACGTTGGCACATGGTTTCTGCCTCTAAACTCAATTCAGTTCAGGTACACATGTTCGTAAACATTAGAGATTAAGAAATTAACTGTTTTTGTGCTGATTTTGTGATGATATTTGCTTCAATTTTTGAGAAATTAGAGTTTTGGGGAATTGGTTTGCGTAATCGTAGAATTTAGTTAAGTGTTTTGTGAATTTATTATGCATTATACACTGAGCAACAAGATGAAGGAAGACGAAGTGAACCGATGCCAGATACAGGAATGGTACCCAAAATTCAAATCTGTGTCTATCAAAACTCGGATTCATGAACTTCCAGAACCATTTGTCCAGTACCTTCTAGATGATTCGGGGCCCTTCCTCCTCCCTGTTTCAATCACAAATGAAGATGCTTTTCCCAATAGAATTCATAATCCAGAGGAGGAAGATGACTATCAAGTATCAGAAGGGTCTGATGACGAGGCAGAGCAGCCTCCATTGCCACCTTCTTTCCCTGAGCTTGAGTTGCAGGTCAAGGAATCAATTGAATCACTAGGAGGCTCTGTGTTCCCTAAGCTCAACTGGAGTGCACCAAAAGACTCTGCTTGGATCAGCACAACTGGGACACTCAAATGCTCTTCATTCAGTGAAATTGCCCTCTTGCTACGCTCATCTGACTCATTGGTTCATGATTTATGTCATGCCTACGATTCTTGCCATGATAAAACCTCATCGAGACCTAAGAGTTTCGTGCTTGCACTTCGTAAATGGTACCAGTTCCTTAAGCCAGAGATGGAATTCCGTTGCTTTGTACGAAATCAGAATTTGGTTGGAATTTCCCAACGTGAGGTCACTACTTTTTACCCTGCTCTACTTGAAAAGAAAGACAGTCTTCGAGTGTTGATTGAAGATTTTTTCGTGGAGAATTTGATGTCCAGATTTGAGTCGGAAAACTACACCTTTGATGTCTATGTGACAGAGGATGATCGGGTTAAGGTTGTGGATTTTAACCCATGGGGTGCATTTACGTTGCCTCTAATGTTTACATGGGAGGAATTGGATCAGAATTGCAGTGAACTAGGGGATGATGGTGTGGACTTCAGAATTGTGGAGGGTCAGTGTGCTGTTAGGCCAGGTCTCAAGACTGCAGTGCCGTATGATTATTTGGACACCAGCCCCGGGAGCGGCTGGGACCAGTTTATGCGAAATGCCGATGAAGAGTTGCAGCAGCAAACTAGGAATGCTCAAGCAGGTGCTTAAGGTCGTCATTGTTTTGAAATCTTTGAGGTGAAATTTGAAAGTACTGTTTCGCGTATCACTTGTGCTTGCCAGGTTCAATACTATGGAGCCTGGATATTCCGTGTTAGGCCATGTCAAGGAAGAAACAAAGTTTTGCATTTCAATATCTGATTATGATTTGTTAAAATGAAAAACCGACTGCTAGTATTGAATTTCACTTTGGATTCTGTCAATTTCCTTCGAATTTCAATTGTATTTTGATGGTTCCTTACTTCCTCTGCCTCACTTTGTTGCTGTTTGAATTGAAATGCTGAGCAGTTAGAAAAGAACATGCTCATAAAATGACTGGCAGAAGGTCCGTTTGGTATCCTACTTATATCTAGTTTTATGAACTCGAAAATAGATTTTAAGTCCAAAGCTTAAAAATTCCGTTTGATTGGACCATTTTTAAGAACTCACACCGAAAATAAACTCAAAAACATTCTCTCCTCCCTCTCTTGTCGGTTGGTGGTTCTAGGTCGACGTTGTTTGCAGCTCCGTCAAGGTCTCCTTCATCCACTACATCCCTGGCTCGACCCGACACCACCCAAAATTGATCAATCTTTTTTCATGTTTTGGGTTTCTAGGGTTTCCCTTGAAACCACACAAAATTTCCCTTTTCTTTGGTTAATTTCAATTTAGGAATCTAGGGTTTTTAATTTTAATTTTAATTTTTTTTAGGACTTAAAAATAGTTTGGAGTTCAATACCAAAATTTTTTTTAGATTTGAAAATTACTATTTGAAAACTCATCTTTTAAAAAAGAATCATAGTTTTTGAGTTTAAGTTTTTGAATAGGATACCAAACAGACCATCTCAAGAAATTGGGTTCCATATTTTTGTGGTTTTATTCAGACACCATTGAGAAAGATGTGCAGCTTTGTAATTAACAAGTTTTGGGCTTTGTACTTAACAAAAGTTGGGATTTTGTGGGCTAACTGTAGACAATTATATCCAGTTCATGTTGGGTTTAATGGGAAGGGGCTCAATCCTTTGGTGAGGAGTGAGGCCAGTTTAACTTTGGTTCTTCAATTTTGAGATGGCCATAAGCCTTGATTAGCATGGGCTGGAAACGAGGGGTTGAGAATGAAGAATCTTAGAGTTTATTTTTAGCCGGAAACATTACTGATTTTGCTTTTGTAATTTAGAGACACACACCGCATGGCCTTCAAATTTTCTGCAATTTGATGTACAGGAAATAAAAACAATCAACAACTTGTGTAACAGAAACCAAATACGCAGCAAAAAATGCAAGAGGTCCCATCTTGAAAATCTGTCCAAAGCTTTCTTCGATCGCATCCAACCGCAACCGTACAAAGCATCTATACTATACATCAACATGATGTACGGCCAGAATTCAAATGCCTTGTAAGCTATAGCTTTTGAAGTGCAGGTAGCCCCAAAAGAATATGTTCCTTTTGCTTGCATTGCTACAGTATCTTGCATGTGTACATACTTTTTGACTCATCTCAGTCAACAATTCCTCTCTAATCTCTATCTTCCCTTTTTGAAAATTATAATCTGTAATGGTATTTTAATCATTAGCAGATTATGATTCTCTGAGTCTGAGTCCTTTGCTTTCCGCTAACTATGACATTTTTAATCCTTGATTTAACAGTAATTTAAACGCAGGGATTGGTACTACGCACCGACGCACCAACCAGTAGCTTCCGATAAGGGCACTGCATATGGATGGAACATATCCAAAGATTCTTCGAACTGTTAATCTAACTACCCCTTTTGATCGTAATTGGCAAGTCTTGATCAACTTGTTAATGCACATATATCTAAGTTTGTCTGCTTTGATCAATTGTTAATGGAGATATATCTTAACTTGTTTGCTTTCGGCTGGGTTCCTTCACCCCCACTTGGTTATGGCTATGGCCGAGGAGGAGACCCTACAGAATATAAGAAGATTCGGTGTGCATGCTTAGAATACTAAATTTCAATCCATCAAACCTGATCGAATACTTACAGTACGGCTGCTAATTAAACTACCTTCTGTTCATACCATCATCAATGATCAATCCGCATGTGCTACGCTTGCGGATCGTTTATTCTTGTTAAACTGTGAATCTGAATTATAGATTAGGCATATTACTTTTGTGAAATTGTCGTACCATTAATTAAGCTCATTATTCACATTCACAACCTAAGCAACACAAACATTTATTCTTTGGCTAAGAAAATATTATCCGTGCTGTAGAATTCAACTTGTTTCTCAATTCTAATTTTATCCAATACCTGATATATATCCAACTTATTGAGTTTTGTTATAGGTATACATGTGTGAATCCGTATATATAGACATATAGATCAATTCAACCATTTAATTTCTACAGATATATCGTTAATTTCTAGGTATATAGCTGTATTTCTTCCATGTTAATTGAGTATATATGTATATACAGATTTTTTCTTATACGGACGTCCGGAAGTTATTATCGTATGGACGCCATGTATTTTCTGTTACTCCTCCCCGATTTTCTTCTTGTTTACAATGACATCCATACGGTAATAACGTCCACATAAAAGAATAATATATATATAGTTAGTTAGTTAGTATAATGCAATATTTATATAACACCTTTGGAATATTATTTTACAGGTGCAACCTGCAGGGCACCATCTAAGAAGAAAGCTGCTGTGTGAAATGCATGTGCAAGCCAATAAGGAATTAGAGAGCGTTGCACGAGGCCATAATAATTGATAATGTTTTTAATTGATGCATGTTATGAGCAATGCAATGTGTGATGAAATTCATGTATCTACCTATATATATATAGAAAAGTTTTACGCATAAACATGTAAAAGTTGCAGGAGAAACACATGCATGCATTAATCTTAATCCACATGCACCATAAATTCAATTTAAGCATAATACAAAGAAGAATTAGCCTCGATGACTTTAATTCTGATCCCACTTGTTGACTTGCAGTTGATACTAAATTCCACACCACATAAAAAGTCAAAACAGCATCTCCTTTCGAATTATTTTATTTTATTTGTATTTTGGTAATCACCTTTCGACTGAAATTGACTCCAAAGGTCACACATGGATTTTACACACAGATTGATCATTCACACACAGATATTTACCAGTAGGACTTACCAAATACTAATGGAATTGAATTATGTTACGCACATATGACATGGATAAATTATTTCATAAACTCGGATCTTATATAAGTTAAGTACATAAAAACTGTGTGCTCATTCGTGTATGCACTGATTTAGGTATGTCTAATTTACACAAAAAAGTTAACATTTATAAAATAAATAGATATAAGTAAAACACGTGATAAGTTATGTACGAAATAAAATCCGTGGTTGATGTTTGCTTTTACCAATTCATTTTAACTTTGGGGGTGTAGTTCATATATAAATCTTAGTTCTAATCTAATAAAATGTCAACATCTTAATTTGCATTATGCAATTGACAGATGAGTGTCGAGTTTGAAATAGGTCGAAGGTTGCAAGAATATACATAGCAACAGTGTAGAAATGGATCGAAACTACTAAATTTTCAAATATGTACACTCTGCAATTGACAAATTATCGTACTAATTACAATATTCTCATTTGAGCAGCTAATGAAAGTACTTTCTTAATTGACTATTAAATTCCTTTTTGCTCTCTTCTAATTTGATCTATGATCGATACTTTGAATCATGTTTTAGGTAGTACAGTTGCAAAAGCCTCAATATGTTTCGTTTTCAAAATTTTCATCCTCCATAAAGTTCTTTGAAAACATCATAACCAAAAATGTAGTGAAGAAGGTGCGAAATGTGAGAATTGCTAACTTGGAAAAGAAAAAAAAACCTCACTTACATGATCTTTGAAAAATTATGAAAAAAAACAGCAAATAAGGGAAGGAAAAAGATACACACTTTCTACACATTGAGCCCCACCATATTGTTATTAATTATTTTGAAAATATAGGAAGCAACTTACGTCAACTTTTCCTAATTTATTTTTTGGAATTAATTCTGGAACAGATTGGGGAACAAAATTCCTGGCAGATTGAGGGAAGAGGAAATGGAGATTGCAGATCCAGATCATTCATTGGATGAATTGGACGGTTGGATTCCCCTTATATAAAAAGACATTAGATTTTTATTTGTTTCTAATTTTTAAATTCTGAGAAAATAATTGGAATTAATACAATTAGCTACCCAGCAGCACCCACCCACCTATGAAGCATAATTTCCTTTTATATAATAACCCTTTTTTTAATGGTCAGACTGGGCATGCGTGGGAATATAAACCTACTTCTCAAGTCACAAATTAAGAAACTTGTAAAATTTGTGGTTTTTTTTATAAAAAAAATTTAAATTTTTTTAAAACAACATTAAAAAAAAGAAAAAAGATAGACGTATGGAGTAGAAATTGATGTGATAGTAAAACAAGAATTCTGAGTTGTCTCTGATTAAAACAAGATAGATGTAAACAATTTTTATATATAAAAATGCGATAAAATTTTATTAGATTAATAATAATAAAGAGTACAAAGGTACATACAGAGAGACAAATTAAATGAGCTTGAAAGAATAAAGCATGAGGGTAATGCTATATAAAGTTAAAATTGTCACTATATATAGAAATTTTAGTACCTCACAAGCGCCAAGTTAATCTGCATATCAAATACGCAGGCTTGAAATTTAAACCAAAGATTTCTGTGTGATGCTAATAGAATGACACGCTTTGTAACGAATTTAGAAAAGAAAATGGGTGATGTGCCAAATTAGAAAAAGTTATTAAAATTAAATGTGTGCCTTCGCTTCACCAACAGTTTGACGAGAAATTTTTATATATTCTGGATACACCATGTGGTAAAAGTGAGTACACATTATTTACTAATATTTTTTATATTGATAAGATGTTTGTGTTTAAAATTGTGTCCCTTTTGGATACTAAATAATCTCTCTTTTTTTAATCTTTTTTTTCCCAGATAAGTATACAATCTCTTGATTCAAACCGAAATGACTAATACATTGCAAAATCATTTAACCACAAATGATCTCATTGGATTTTACATTCAATTCCAAAAAAATTAAAAGGAAACAAGGAAAGAAGCACTTCATGCCACAATCAGATTTGTATGAGGCCAAATAAGGTAGACCAAATGATAATGTGGATTAGTCCTTTCTAAATTGGGGCGAATTTGTTAATTGAATTGTGAATATGGAAGAAATGATAGGGAAGAAGATAACCATGCTTCAAAGTGACAAAAAAGATTATTTCCGTGGTGACGCCGAAAGCCCCTCATAATTAAGTCAATATTATTGTTTTAAACTTATGTACCAAAAATAATAATATTCACCACCTCCGCCCAAATATTTAGACTTCTTTCAACACTACGAAGAAAATTACCACTTATTTCAAAGCTAGTAATGTATCTTTGAAAAAAATGTTGATTCTAATTTCCCCAATCCCAACACTCATAAAACGGTCAACCCAGCACTACTATTTTACTCATCCCCTCATATGTGTGTGTGTGTGTGTCTCTCTCTCTCTCTCTCTCTCTCTCTCTCTCTCTCTCTATATATATATATATATATATATATATATTGATAGGTTCTGCCCCTAGCCCCTGCCGTTAAAATCAAATTCCAAACAAATTCCCACTTAGTAACATTACGAATCTGATTTTAAGTTTTTTTTTTTATATAATCAAATAATGATATTCATTACAAAACTTGAGCAATATATTAAGCGAGGTGATTTTCTCACTCATTTTTTCTTCACTTACACTCTCTTTTGTTTTTTAATACTTTTTAATCAATTTTTTTTTCTTTTTCCTATTCTACACTTACCCTACAATTCTCTTTAATAAGAAGACATGTACAATCACTTACTAATATTATGAGAGAATAAAAATTTGAGACTATTATGCATACTTTGCTCTCTTAATATCTAAGCTCTTAATGATAATTTGGTTAGCAAGATTCTGAGTCTTCTACCTATAAATATGTTAGCTCAAAAAATTTATTATCTATTAACTACAACAAAGATAAATAGTACTCATATACTTGGTATTAAAAATAAAATAAAAAAACAAAGAATTTAGCATACAAATATTTACATTATTTCTATCCATTTCATTTTTTTTTTGTTAACTTTTCTTAATTTCAATTATCAAAACCTTAATAAAGGGTAATGGTATAATAGGAAAGAGACAACCCAAAGAAAAGGGAGTGTAAGTAGAGAAGGAAGTGGAAAAATAAGCTCCTTATATTCAAGATACATAGAAAAAATCTTGAGTCCGCCCGTATACAAAACAGGAATCTCAAAACAACCCAAGAAGGAAGAAAACCAACCCAAAATGGAAAACTAAATCGGGTAAATCTAAATAATATTTCTCCCAAATTTGTTTATTTTTTCTTATTTTAAAAAGCTAACACTCACCGTGTGTTCTAATTTTTTTTTAAAAATGCTGCTATTTCCATTCCTTATACTGTTTCCCCATTCACCTTATCTTCCCACCCACCATGTAAATTTTATCCTAAATCTGGATTTCATATATAACATCTGCTTATGTTGTTGAATAACGATTAGAAATCGACTGCTGTAATATATTTAATTTGGTCTTGTTTCATTTTTCCATTTTGCTGTTCTAATAATTTTCTTTAAAGGAAAGTTCAGCTAAAAAAATCTTTATAGTATCCAATTTTCATACGACATGTATTGAATTAGGAGATATTTCATTGAATAAGTATTGAGATAGAATTGTGTTTTTTAAAATTTACATGGTAGGTGAAAAGATAAGGTGGGCGGGAAAATAGAACAGGTGGAAATAACAGCACTAAAAAAAATTGTTGACAGGCTAGGCCTTCTCGGGCCATTATAAATGGGGTTGTGGTTGCTTGATTCGTATTAAGACCACTCTCTCTTGTTCTTGTTTTATCAACCTGAGCAACTCTGCTAATCATTTTCCACCTCATAGCCATGGCCGCGGTGCTCCTAACTGCTCTGCTAGTCATATTGAGCTTGTTAATAAGAGTTGCTTATGACACTGTCTCATGCTACTTTTTAACCCCAAGACGCATAAAAAAAATCATGGAAAAGCAAGGGGTGCGTGGCCCTAAACCCCGCCCTCTCAACGGCAACATCTTGGACATGGCCTCCCTTGTCGCCAAATCAACTTCTCATGACATGCACACTATCAGCCATGACATCGTCGGCCGCCTCTTGCCCCATTACGTCCTCTGGTCGAAGCAATATGGTTTGTTATTTCGTTTCGTTTTCTAATCGTGTAATTTAATCGATCACATAATTAATCAATGAAGCTTATGTGGTTTGCTTGGTATTTGAATTGGGTTATAGGAAAAAGGTTCATATATTGGACTGGAATTGAGCCCCGGATGTGCCTAGCCGAGACTGAGTTGATCAAGGAGCTTCTGTCCAAGTACAGCACCATCTCTGGTAAATCCTGGCTTCAGCAGCAAGGCTCCAAGCATTTCATCGGCCGCGGCCTACTAATGGCCAACGGCGAAGACTGGTATCACCAACGCCACATCGTTGCACCGGCATTCATGGGAGATAGACTCAAGGTACATACATACAACAATTTTTGTTTCGTGTTTAATTAGAATGTTTTGTGTTAATTATGGTAACAAATTATTTATTGGTTTTGATTTAATTTGGTGTGTGCTTGCTTTTTATTAGAGCTATGCGGGGTACATGGTGGAATGCACTAAAGAGATGCTCCAATCTCTGCAAAATGAGATAGAGACTTCAGGAGGAAGGGAGTTTGAGATAGGAGAGTACATGACAAGGCTCACGGCAGACATAATTTCAAGAACAGAGTTCGATAGCAGCTACGAGAAGGGAAAACAGATTTTTCGACTGCTCACTGTTCTGCAGCATCTATGCTCCCAAGCAAGCAAGCATTTGTGCCTTCCCGGAAGCCGGTGAGTAGAACATAAGATATTTGATGTGCATTTTAGGAGGATATTGATTTGGTTTCGTTTGCTATTTGATAAATAATAAAAGAGCCAATATATATCTTTTACGTGGTCACGTTTTCTTCTTCCTAATTTCTTTACTCGATTCCATTTTTTCCCAATAAGCTTCTTTTTGTGTGGCCATTTGTTCTATGCTTATTATGGTTAATATAATTTGTTCTTTGTCAATTGTCAATCACTTTTAAGTCAGTTGTTGTGCTAGCTGCTCTTTAAATTGAGTCATGACAGATGTGCTAATTGTATGTCATGATACTTATTAATTTATAATATTTTTCTGCAATTTTAATTGGTTTTTCAGGTTTTTCCCAAGTAAATACAACAGAGAAATAAAATCCCTGAAAATGGAGGTGGAGAGGCTCCTAATGGAGATAATACAGAGTCGAAAGGACTGCGTGGAGATCGGCCGGAGCAGCTCTTATGGGAATGATTTGCTGGGGATGTTGCTTAATGAGATGCAGAAGAAGAGAGGGAATGGTTTTAGCATAAATTTGCAGCTGATCATGGATGAATGCAAGACGTTCTTCTTTGCAGGACATGAAACCACTGCCCTGCTTCTCACTTGGACTGTCATGTTACTAGCCAGCAACCCCTCTTGGCAAGAAAAGGTTAGGGCTGAGGTCAAGCAAGTCTGCAATGGTGGAACTCCCTCTGTTGATCATCTCCCCAAGCTCACTTTGGTAAGCAAGCTTGCTTACTTACTCTGTATCTTTCTTAATTATTTTATCGCTACTTTTTAGGTTTTTTTGGGTGGTTTGGTATGGTGGGCATTTGGGCATTTGTTTTGCAAGGGTCATGAACTGAAATTACCAAAAAATTAAGGTAGTGTGGGTAGGGACAAGATATAACAGCCAGCCACTAAGCAATGCTTCCAAAACTTGAAAACAAATTACTCTGTTCCAAGTACCTCTTCATACTGGCATTAAGCAAGAGGTATTTAAAAACAATGTGGGAAAAAGTAGTGGCCCCTAGTCTACTAGCCCTTGACATAGGCTCTCCATTGGTTCTAATTAATGAGCAGAAGCCTAATTAAAAAAAACCCAGAACACCAAAATGAATATTTTATAGAGGCTTAGCTGGTAAAAAGGCTTGGCAGTGCCAGTGCCTTGGATGTCTAGGTCCTGCCTTTAATTATATGTGTTCTTTTCTGCAATCATGTTGATGTAGCTGAGTTTATTGGTCAGTTAATAATTTATTTTATTTTATTTTTTGCAGTTAAATATGGTAATAAATGAATCACTGAGGCTGTATCCACCAGCAACTGTTCTGCCTCGAATGGCCTTTGAAGACATCAAACTTGGTGACCTCCATATTCCAAAGGGCCTATCTATATGGATACCTGTTCTGGCCATTCACCACAGTGAAGAATTATGGGGCAAAGATGCAAATGAATTTAACCCTGAAAGGTTTGCTTCCAAGTCATTCACCCCCGGGAGGTTCATCCCATTTGCTACCGGTCCTCGAAATTGTATTGGCCAATCTTTCGCCATGATGGAAGCTAAGATCATATTAGCCATGTTAATCTCCCGGTTTAGCTTCACGATTTCTCCTAATTATCGTCATGCTCCCGTTATTGTCCTGACCATCAAACCTAAGTATGGGGTTCAAGTATGCATGACCCCTATAGACCCTTCGACTTAGCATAATGATTTTGGAATTAGAGTGCATGGATGAGTTTGTTATTTGAGGAGCTAGGAGAGCTTGAGATGGAATTTTGGTCATCATTTTTCTTGTAATTTTGTTTTGTCTTGAGTTATACATAGTAAAGAGACGGGGATTGGAACGATGTTTGTGGATTAACCAAACGAGTTACATGTCAATAAAAATGAAAATCGCAGTGATTATTTCAACCGAAGAATAGATGACATTGTTTTACTTGCTTTTAGCCATGCTTGTGAATGAATTGTAAGTCTAATCGAAAACCTAATTATATATTTCTTGTTTAATTTGAATATGCGATACCAATTAACAGTTTGGAGGTTAAAACTTGCATTTAAATAATGAGAGGATACGCATAAAAACGATATGATTAAAGCAAGAAAAACACACACAAAGGGATGAGTTATAAAGGGTTTCTTCTTTAGCTTTGATGGCCCATAAACTTATATATGAATGATAGGTTGATTCTTTTTATTCAATCGGATTTGATTTAACAAAGTGCTTATCTTTCAAGATTAATTAAAATAAGCCAACTCGCATTTGACAGGGGGGTAGGGTAGGGTAGGGTCAGGATCTTCCTTTCAAAGGAGACTCTTGTATATATATAAATATAGAGTGCTTTGGCAACCATCCCATCATCTGCTTACACCAAACTCTGATTCTTCTGCGTCTCCCACTACTCTATTTTTTCTCAATTGTTTTGTTGTCAACTACCTTTTATTTATTTATTTATCTTCTCTGTCATTGTCTAATGCATTGCATACGAGAAATTCCAATGCCGCACTTTTAAATACGGCCTTCTATAAGAAACAGGGAAACACCCCACCCCCAATTTGAACCAATTGCTATTTCTTACATTCATGTATTCGACCCATAAAGTCAATGAGATTTTATCTTAATTCCTTTTTTAAAAAGTTTCTTTTACACAAGAGTATGATTTATGAACTTTCAACTCCGTCCTCGTTTACAATCTTTACTAAAAAGCATTTATCAATGAGTGATACTTATCGTGAAAATATATTTATTTTTATTTTTAAATACAAGCGATAATTTAAACTATAAGGGGAAAATAAATTTCTCACATATACTACCAACGTGTCATGAAGGTTCAAACATAAACCAATTGGTCACAAATCAAGGCCATTTTCTATTGAGTTAAATTTCATTGGCTCTTTACTTCTATTTTAGTATTCATCTCATCTTAATTATGACGAGGATATATTCAAACTTACACAGTCATCTTCCAATGGTGTAAAGATAATATCACTAAATCAATAGTGAATTGATAAACAAGGGTCTTGAAAAATTACATCGATAAAAGAAAAGATGAATTACTTGTGTGTACATCACATATATATCGAATCGAATGCATGGATAGAGTTGAAATAGAATCTAAAATTTCCAATCATCATAATGGATAGAGTTGAAAATAAATAAAAATGACAAAATTTGTGTTCCTTTCATCCGAGAGTGATATATAGAGCTAAAATATGCATATCCCTACAATAAAAGAAGTTAGAACATATATATTTATTATAATTAAGAAATCAAAACTTTATCGATTCGCGTATTAGAGAAGATCATGAAGAGTAGAGTAGGATGTGTAAAACTAGAACATAATTTATAGAAAAAGATAAGCATGTAGGCGGTTCAAAAGAAACTTTGTATCAAATGATTATAGGCTTATTTACTGTTTCACTTCTGGAATTCAAGTTCGGTCTCACTTAACCCCCTTGAACTCAAATTTCCTTACTTAACCATCCATTCTTCCACTTCGTCTAAAATGTTACCTCCTCTACTCAACGACATCCCCTTAACTTGTTAAATGAGCTTGCGTGGCCCGAAAAGTGGGCTAATTCACACAAGCGGTGGTGCTGATGTGGCGAGGGGCGAGTGTTGTCTCAAATAGGGGAACTAAAAGAGGTTATTATTTGTCAATTAGGGTTCAAAATAGCTGGGGATTTTGGGATTTTGCAGAGGAAATGGCGTGATGACAAGAGAACATACCTTATATTTGCCAGTGTGGCAATCCATGTCAGGTGGAGACATCGTGGACTGAAGCTAACCCAGGAAGGAGGTTTCAATTCTGTCAAAGGGTAATGAATTGACATATTTATTGATTTTTGTTGGTTTTTCAGTTTGAATATGTGTATTTTTCCGATGTAGAAATATGAGTTGATTGATACAAGGGAGGAACAATGGATGTGTGCATTTTGAGTGGTACGATCTTGAGATGTGCCCTTGTTCTAAGGCCATCATACCAAGGTTTCTAAGGAATCGTATAAGACTGGAAGAAGAAGTGGCTGTTCTTCGAGCAAAGCAGAAGAAATTGTGGGCAGTTTTGGTTGTTAGTTGGTTTCTTGTTTTTGCTTGGGTTTTGTGGTAGACCTCATGTGTTTCAGTGTTTTGGCTAAAGACTGGCTTGAGGCATATGTTTGAGTGAAGTTTGTAATGTTAAAGAAATGGAAATGAAGCATTTGAAGCACTTTGGTAAATTATAACCGTGCATAGCAGCTTGGTCATTTTTTCCCTAACCAACTATTTACATTACAAGCACAAGCAGTTTGGGTAGTTACATTCCCTAAGCAACTTAATATACAACAAGCACTAAACTTAACATAACAAGCAATGAAGGGAATTACAACCCTGCATTGATAAATCTCCAAATTACAAGCAATTTGACAAATTTTTCCTAAGCAACTTACATTCCAAGCACAAAATATACAAGTCCAAGCACAAAACTTCTGCAATAGTGTCCAAATTTACATTCCAAACTAGTTACCAATTGTTTGCAACAAAATACCATCCAAACTAGTTACATTCCAAATCAGTTTCTATCCAAACTAGTTACAAAATACCATCATAGCACAAAATACCAATGATTATGTGCCTATTTCTTTCTCTTTAATGGATACGTGAATCTCCTTTTAACAGTTGGAGTATGGTTGTGATTAAAGAACTTATGGAGTAGGTTGTGAGTGCACTTGACTTGGCCCAACTTGTGAGTGCACTTCACTTTGAATAGATTGTGAATGCACTTAACTTGGAACAGGTTGTGAGTGCCGGTTGTGAGTGCACTTGACTTGGAACAGGTTGTGAGTGCACTTGACTTGGTCCAACTTCTGACTGCACTCGATTTGGCCCAGTTGGTCCACTATGTGTGTGAATTGACCCACTTTCCCTGCCACACAAGCTCATTTAACGGGTCAATAGGATGACATTGAGCAGAAGAGATAATAGTTTGCATGATGTGGGAGAATTTGTGATTAAATGAGCAAATTTGAGTTCAAAAGGGTTAAGTGAGATCGAGCTCGAATTCCAAAGGTGAAACAGTAAATAAGCAATGATTATATATGAGAAATTTGACCAAATCTAAGTTAGAGCAAGTTGACCATGGCCGCATCCTTGTACAATAAGGAACCCAATTTTCAATGAGTAATGCTACACTTATCACATTAGTATCCCACATTTCTATACCACATGATGTGGCATGTCCATATCATATGACATATCAATTAAATGAATGAAGTGTATTTTAATAAATAAAATTAGAAAAACAGAAACTAATATTTTACATGATGTGGTATGTACACATCAGCAGCCACATCATGTGGTATAAAAAATGTGGTAAGACTAGTATTATTCATTTTCAATTACATGCAAACTTAAATATTTTACAAAACAAATTCAATTGAATGAATTATCTTCTGCATTCCTCATGTGAATAGGATCCGGCGTTCACACATACTTGTTATTTATTTATTTATAATTTTAATTTTATGAGGACGTACTTACTTATATTAACATGAGATGCTCAAGAGTTTTAAAGATTAGTAAATTTAGCTTAACCTCTTGAAAGTCATTTTCCCTCACCTACAACCTATTTCTTTATTTTTGTTTGAATAAAACTTGTTTTTTCTAAAGGGACATTTTGGAAAAAGCAAAAGGAGAGAGAAAAATTTTAAAAGAAGCAAAAATGGACAAAAATGCCCTTATTTATTTTTAGATTTCCTAAGGAATCCAATACATTTGCATGTCTTTGATTTGAAAGTTGAGAGGTTTTTTTGTCTTTTTTGAAAAAGCTTTGACTTTTTCTAAAAGTGAAATTTTTTTTATGTCTAAAACCTAAAAAACCTTTTTCGTTCTAAATAAAACCCGATGACTAGAATCCAACTTGACAAGTTACCAAATTAAGTGCAAAATCGAATTTAATATGTAATTTTTTTTATTCCTAAAATACCCTCAACTAAGCTGTTATTGCATTTTGTATATTATGTAGGAACCAATATAGAAACAAAAATTTAATTGGTTTGTAACTAATGATACACGTTGAATTTGGAAAGACACATGTAGAAATTAATTTGGAAACTTTTTTTAAAAAAATTTAACAATAAATTCATATTTAACATACCTAATCGGTTTATTTAATAAATTTTTTTTTAAAAATTTATTTATGAAGTGTACGTGATTAATTATCTATTATATTATTATTTTATAAATATAATAGCATACATACATTTTTATGTTGAAAAAATAACGTACCTGGTATGAATTTACTTATTATTCAAATAATATACCAATTTTATAAATGCATTTTGGATATAATTTACCTAATAATTGACTATTATGCAATAATATAACTTGTAATTTACCTATTATGGGTATATTATATTGTAGGTATATCAAAGCCAACACATTTATAGGTATAGTGTGAAAATAATTTACCTACCCAACTTTTCACAACATATTGTGAAAATAATGTACCTAATATGAATTTACTCATTATTCAAATAATATACCCAACTTTAATAAACACATTTTGGATATAATTTACCTAATAATTGACTTTTATGCAATAACATAACTTGTAATTTACCTATTATGGGTATATTGTAGGCATATTAAAGCCAACACATTTTTTCTATGAGTATTGTACCTATTAGAATATATATTATACATATATCATTGGAGTATATTAGGTAATGTTTAAATATAATTGTAGGATATTAGGTATAATAAAATTCATTTATTCGAGCTATAGGAGGTTAGGATGGAATTTTGAAGTAATATGGTTGTAGCCCATTATTTATAGGAGTGGAAACATAAATGTATAGTGAGGTATGATTCATTTGTCTTAATTAGGTGATTGAAAAACGGTTAGCAACTAAATAAAGATCTAGTTGCATAATTTGTAAATAAATTAACCTACATGGACAAATTTTATCATAATTAAAAATTGAATTTTACTTAAACATTGAATTATTGGTGGGTTATTATTGTCTAGAGTTTTTAAATTGTAAAAGCCTATTTTAGTATGGATCAACGCTGGATTAAATTGCCATTTTACGTTGTCTTTTTAGTTGGTGGCAATCTCTTTGTTTTTTCTGGTTTGCGAACAATAGATGAATTCATTTATAGTCGGGGCCAATTACAGAGATTTGAGATCATTACAGACCCTCTAAACACGGAAACATGGAGAGATCTAGCCAAACTAATGAGGGTTGGTTTAGTTGGTAAGGTCTTTACATTATGTGTAGCACTGCTAGTGTTTGAGTCCCACTGCTAACAATCCTCATTGATGTGCGATCTGTAATTTCTTATATAAATCCATACCGGTGGCCGCTGACAGTTGGGTGTCATGTGCAAGTCTTTTTAGCTCGAGATTGTGAGTATACTCTAGCGTTTGTGGTGAGAGTAGCCAATACTCTCATAAACTTTTTTTTATTAAAAAAATAAAGAAAGACAAAAAGAAATGCTCTAGCGTTTGTGGTGAGAATAGTCAATACTCTTATACACTTTTTTTATTTATTTATTATTTATATATATATATATATATAAAATACAACAATATACACCAAGGCCAGAATCAATGAGCGAACACTAAACCCAGCTCACTACCAGAAGCCAGAATCTTAAACAAACTCAAAGTAAATAGAGCTTGCAAAACTAGTGCCACAAGTGAATCCGGTAATCATCTGACAAAATCTGATTTGAGAAGAAAACAATGCTTCTAAGAGAAAGGGCATAAGCACCCAGCTTCCTCCCGACACTCAAACAAGTATCAGAACACGGTCTCTTCTTCACCAAATTCACAACACCTCAACTCTGAAAAGTCCTCCAAGAAATCTGACTTCTCCTCCATAAAGCCAAGCCAACCCCAAAGCAATCTCGTGTTTTAATGCTTCAACTATTTACTTGGGTTTTTTTTTAGGGAGTTTCACTAAAACACCCAAAATGGAGGTTGAAATTATAAAAAAACCCAACACCCAAAACACTTTATAAACACACCCAAAACCCATCATTACACACACTCAAAACCCATTTATAAACACACCCAAAAAGTTGACTTTGGAGTTGATTTTGGGTGTGTTTCTATGTTTAAATAGTACTTGGGTTTTTTTATAAATACATGTCTAGGATTGGGTTTATTTATAAATTTGTATTTTTTTTTAAGAGAAAAGCGATAACAACTATTTACTTTTTGATTTTCTTAACCTTAGCTAGATTCTACATTTTCTCACTTTACTCCAGTAATACTTGAGTAAGAGCTGATTCCTTAATTGGGTGCTTATCCCAATAGAAAAGCAGTAGTGCTAAGGACATAAAATTGACCCAAAAAAGTTTGCAACTTGCTCAAAAGATAATTTATACATAAATTTGCAGTCATATCATGTTTCCTATGTAAAATGGGTCAAACTTAATAGTAACGCTCAAAGTCAAAATTATGAGGTGACAATAATTTTGTGTAGGAATTCTCCTTTGAGCATCACATATGTTTGTATCATCATTTCCTAGAAAAAAAAATGAGACATCGAAATAAATGAAACGATATCGCATTATTTAGTGAACAGGATTTGATACACAATTTAACGAATGTAGCAATACATGGAACACAAAGAAGATGATAATATTAATCAAGTAGTTCTGTCTAATCCGTATGCTATTGAAAATGTATGATTTACACTCAAGGACATCCCTTCGTACAGTAAAACAGTATTGTATTATTATGTATAGAAGAGATTAGAGCCAGGTAATCTCCTCATACACTTTCTGGGAGCACGCACACACAAAATATATTTATAAATTAAATAAATAAATAAACCAGTTTATCCGATGATGTATAATGATTAGATGTAACCTTTTTATTTCCTTTCTATTTCCTCTTGCACGAGTGGGGGTGGCTCAAAAGTAGTGACCTTCTTCCCCCCTCACACAAAAAGTTGGTGATATCTCCAAAATAGGGGCCCCATAAAATTAATTAAACAACTTTGGACTTGAAAGAGACAGAGTCAAAATTAGATTATAAGGTTGATATCTAATCAGTACAAGTGATTAACCTTTTAATTTGCTAATGATTAAAAAAAAACATATAAACAACAGCATTAGTTGTCAAATTTTATGCGCCACCATTAATCTCACCCCACTCCCCACCACCACCTTCTTCCCTACCACAATTCTCTTGGCCTCACAAATATATGCAAAACTACTCAATTTTTCATTTTTTTTGGCGATGATAATGAGGTAGTGCTTCTGATTTAAAAAAATTATAATTACGTACATGATTTTTTGTCCTTAAAGAAGATGTTACTTTGGGTTTCATTTTGATATGATACAAATTAATTCAAGTGGATGATCATGATTACATTCATAATTTAAATGATTAATTGAACCCTCGTGTGCTACCATTGTCTTATTGATGATACTATATACCTTTTGTTTTTGTGAAGAATAATACTAATATTATTTTATACCTTTAGATATTTAACAACTAATTAAGCATAAGAGGTAATGTTTCTGTCTTGTATGTAAAAAGTGGCAATACCAGCAGGATTATATAGGGTCCAGAAGAGTATTGATAGAATCATTGCACTCAGTGCTGCAAGAAGATAAGACGATAGATGAGAGCTCTCTACTAATTTAAGATTTTAAAATAGAAAATACCTACAAGTGAAAATAAATCCCACTCAACTTTTACCAGGAAACGCGGTGCATAATTGCAATGTTGAAACTTGATGTAGAGCTCAACAAGAATGATAATTTGAAATTCTAGCTCTAGCTCTAGTTCTAGTTCTAGTTCTAGATGAGCTTTTTCCCCCAACTCATTAGAGGGCAAACTTTACTTTTCCCCAATTTATCAAAATTCTCAATCATGATTTGGATTCTACCTATGAAGACAGTGATAGGGTAAAAACACCTAACTCCTTCAAGGAAACCCATCGAGAAGGATACTATTATAGGAAAGCAGCCACCTCACAAGTCGTGACATTGTCCACCCGTTGTTTTTTCAAATAATTTCATTGACCAACCTTCAAAAATATCGATGTAAACCTAAATCAAAAGATAATTATGCCAATTAGATTCAATGATTCTATAATAATGTACACCTAAATCATGCTTGTTTAATATCTTGTTTGACTCATATGCAGGAGAAGATCTATCCTAAATCTCACCAACCAATCTGTAAACTCAGCAAGATGTTTATTTTATTGTTTCGAAAAGGTCCAGATCATCTTTGGATTTGGGAATGTTTTGGGTAGATCTTTGCAATTGCATCATGGTTTGGCATATGTTTTTAAACACAAGTAAGCCAAATCTAATTATCGAAGCGTGACGTAAATGCATCCTAATTAAATTGTTTATATGCACACCCATTTAGGCCATCATTTTGGTTTCTTATATTCTTCAGCTTTCACCATTTAGAATTTAGTGGAAATTACCTAAGAAATTGCGGCCACGAAGCACGCCCATGTCCAGGTGAATTGCTGCGAACAGTTGTTTTTCCTTTAATTTTTGGATAGGGCAACATTTTTCTAGAGGCACTTATGAAGAAGGAAACATGTCATATGTGTTCACTAAAGATAGCACCAAGCAATATAATTGCCCATAACGACAAGATAAGTTATTGGATACAGCGCTTCTCTCACAATGATTCATCACACAATACAATAGACGTTTGCATTCTAGAATTTCCATGTTAGAGATGTCAATACAACATCAAAAGCCCATTCATTTTCCAGCAAAGTGAGCCCCAAACATGAGAACCCTATCTTAGAAAATGAATGCTGGTGATGGGGATTTTCTCGAAACGTATGCGTACTGTATATGCAATATGCACAAATTTTGTCGGACCACTTGTTATTCTTCCTAAGCTTAAAGGCTTCATACTAATGGCTCATGCCAACTGTATTTCAAAAGTTTGATTGACTTTGTATAGTTGGATTGGTATTTTGGTCAATAGTCATAGGCCATGCAATGATGAAACCCAAATCATAAACAATAGTACTAAATGCACCAAAATTATTCACAAGTTTGTTAACCAAATAATGTGTTTGTTCATATAGTTGGATTCGTATTTTGGTCAATAGTCATAGGACATGCAATGATGAAACCCAAATCATAAACAATAGTACTAAATGCACCAAAATTATTCACAAGTTTGTTCACCAAATCATGTGTTTGTTCATATAGTTGGATTCGTATTTTGGTCAATAGTCATAGGCCATGCAATGATGAAACCCAAATCATAAACAATAGTACTAAATGCACCAAAATTATTCACAAGTTTGTTCACCAAATGATGTGTCTGTTCACATGACGAAGTTTTACTTGTTATAAATAAATGAAGTTCAAAGTGAATCCATATTTAAATAAGTGACAGAATGACACATCATTTGGTGAACAAGATCTGGCGAGTGCAGGAGTGCATGGTGGCGATACTATCGAACAATGGAAACCATGAAGTTGCAATTGCACTATAAGGTGCTGCCGGATAAGAAGAAACTTTGTCGACAGGTTGAAGAAAAGACAAGTTAGATCTCACAATGCATGAGTTGGATGAGGAACAGTCAATTGGTCATGTCTAGAATCAAAATATATAGGATGGTGATGGTCATGGTCATGGTGGTGATGTTAGTGTTCATAGATATCAATGATTCAATGAAGCCAAGAGAAGAAACCATGAACATATGGATAACATGAAAAAAGCGTCTTCTTGTGGGATTTCATGGGAATGGATGATGAAGATGACAAGGCAAACACCAAAGCTTCTCAACAGGGCTCACCACAATGCAATTCCTCTGAGTGAGTGAGTGGCCACTGGCCAAGTTGAAGGAGCACTTAAATGTTATTGAGGTTGAGAAATTAGCATCTCATGAACAACTCTTGCTTTCTTCATCATGGGATTTTTGAGGTACTAAGCTTTATCTAATTGGGCACTTGATGACTAATTCACGTGTGAAATGAAAAATACTCATCATCTCCTTCAACACATAATGGAAGGAAGATGTACTTTTCTGTACCAGATAGAAGACCTCCAATTACAAAAAGGTCAACCCTAGATTGGCCAAGTGCTCCCCACCCCATGCTTGTAATGCAGATGGGACTTGTCGACACACTTGGACAATTTGGCTTGTAATTGACTGGGGATAATATCCCCGTTTGACACAAGTTTTTCCGATACTTTTTCCGATACTGTTGGCTGCATTTGGATTTACAAGTTCATGCGGATCAATTTGTAGAGGAAAACTCTTTTAACATTTTATCTTCTTTACTATGACCACCATTTACCATTCCTTTCACAAAAAAAGCAACATGAACTGATTTGCAATTCAATCCATTTGACAAGATGATCCAAATTTCTTGGATAAGTACATTTGTTTATAAGAAAAATCGGATATTTTTGCGAACTTTTTTGTAGCTTGCTTTGTTATCATCTTTTTTTAGTTTTGGTTAATTAGCTTGCTTTGTTATTATCAAAGTAACTGGTTCTTGATGGTTAATAGAGATCTCATCAAGAAGGAGAAACATGGTGAAAAGTAAATCAAGCAAAATGAAAATTTCATACAGTCAACAATTTGTGGTCATACAGGAAACCCTTATGTATATTGGAATGATGTTTACAACTCCCTGAAGCACATAACAGGACGTGTTACTTCAGTCACACCTAGAAACTCAAAGGAATTTGACAACTTAAGTATTTTCTATAGTATCCTGTTGGTACACTAATAATACCAATCCTTATCTTTCTTTTTTTTTAAAGGATACCGATCCTTATCTAGAAGCATAATATAAATTATGATACAAAAATTCCCGAATCAGAGTCGGTATTGGTAGGTACCTTGCTGTGAATTATAGTTGTGGTAGGCGCCTTGAGAAGCATTGATGTTGGGGTATGAACCTTGTTGAGCACTCAATTGATAGGGGCTTTGCGTAGCATTTATTTGGTAGGGGCTTCGCGGAGCATTTATTTGGTAGGGGCTTCGCTGAGGATTGTTTTGATAGGGGCTTTGCTGAAAACTCATTTGGAAGGGCAAGGGGCTTTGCTGAGAACTCATTTGGAAGGGGCTTTGCTGAGAATTCATTTGGTAGGGACTTTGCTGAGGATTCGTGTTGTGGTAGGAGCCTTGCAAAGCATTCACATTGTGGTAAGAACCAGCCTGAGCACTCACACTTTGACCAGCAGAAGCCATGAATGCCTGAAGGATGTTCTGTGCTACATTCAAATTATCAGAACCACGGATTTCAACAGGACGTTCAGAGAAAACACCTTGGGAGTCTTGGAGCTTTATTCTCGGTGCACCAACCTGAATAACAATTGAAGAGATTAGCAATCATATTGCCTTAAGAACAGTTTTCAAAACAAGATCAAATTATGCAAATAAGATGAGCATTCAAATCATGCTTAATGATATGAGAATATTCAAATTATGATATCAAGGGATACAATTCCAATCTTCCACATTAGGATTCTGCCTTTTACATAACTTACATCTAAAAATGCGGGGAAAAAGAGGAAGAAATATAACAAAAAGCTAATAAGAATGCCCCAAACCAAAAAAACACCATTGAATGAAGCCAATTCAAATAACCAAATAAAAACACTTTCCGATTTTTCTAATGCTTTTGAACTAAAGCTGAGGACCACGTAGCTGCTTTGCGTCAGACATACTAGGGTGCTATTCTTGAGCCTTGCTGAGTACTAAGCTTATAATTTACCTTGGATTCTTTGAGCGAAAGTTTAATTGAAACAATATTTAAGCAAATCAACCTATAAGACACCAGTTGACAGTGAAACAATCACAGCTTAAGTTGACTTCTTCCAAAGCATAACTAAAAGACAATAATTTTTTTTTTGGGTAACAACTAAAAGACAATTTCACAGGACTCATAGCAAGGCATGCCAAAATGTGCCCTAGATCATTCTACTTCTACTTCTAAAAGTCCTGTCAAGAACAGGCCGAATGACAAAATTTCAAATGGCTAGATGTATACTTTGTCAAAGGTGTTGGCATATTACCATGTCCCTTATCCTATTACTCCTATAAAGTTGTGAAAATATACCTCTCTAATAGTGGAAGTGTTGCTTCCTCTTGTTCTAGGAAAAGAATCCACTGTATTCTTTGGGATCTTACCCTCCAAGGCATGGCTGACACTTGGATAACTGGAACAACATAAAACAAGCATAAAAATCAGGCGGATTAAATATGAGGTTTACTAATAAAGTCAAGAGTTTGAATACTTCCATACCCAGAAGCAGCCGAAGGAATTCGATAACTCTGTAGTTCATATTCACGTCTACCAACCTTCAAGAGTGTAACCAAAAAAATTTAATTATCATTCATGAACATATTATTTCACTTATCTGTGAAGTAAGTTTCTCATTATCTGGATTTACTTTTTTATTGTATTAGAGTCTGGATAAGAATTATGGTTCAATATATGGGAATTTTCATGCATAAGCTGTGGATCACATGTACTGTTATTTCTAAGCAGATTGCATATGCTCTTAATCGATTTGAATTCCATGTAACCAGTAAAAGCTTCATATGGAAGGGAAGACAACTGTTTTTCTGTGAAAAAATAGAGGGCAAAATGGCAAAAATCTTCACCTCCCTCTTAGCTTGTAATGCTCAACTTATGTCCTTGTCCAATAAAAGCTCATTAAGTTTTAGAGAAATTAAAAAACATGGGGGGTTACCTTTAGAGGGTCATATCTACTAGAGCTTCCAGCTCCAACTGCACTTGGTGGTTGTCGTGGTCCTCCACCAGGTATGCTGCCTGCAAGACCAAATCCGCGTGCAGGGCCAACAAGAGCAGGTTCTGCTCCAGCATTTGCATCTCGCAGAGTTCTCACTCTAAGTCTTGAAGTAATCTCAGCCAAAGCGTCTTTAGCAACTCCAAAGTTCCCAGATATCTTAATGACCAAAATAAGAGAAAATAATCAAGAACTGCAAAGTTGAAAAGGTGAAAGTTATCTGCCAAATAGAAAAAATAAATAAAAATTGATGCAACTGCATCACCTGCACAAGCTCTTCATCTTCAGCTGCACACCTAGGCCTATCATCCTTCGAGTAAACACGAATATCAGCCTGGGTTCTCCTTCTCATCTCATTTATAACTTGACCTCCTTGTCCAAGGATGCAGCCAACTTTACTTGATGGAACAAGAAGCCTAGTAGTAATTATACCTTTATCAGATAATTCACTTGTTTTGTTCTGAAGCTCAAGAATTGCCTCAATGGTTTGTGATATGGGATTCCAGAAAGCCTGAAAAAATATCAGCCAGGTGATCCACCACTAGCATATTGGTAGCAAATAATCCATATGCATGAACAAATAGTTGATGCACATTAGGCTATCCATGCACATAACACTTCTGAGCCAATATGAATAAAAGTTAAAGGTAGAAAAATGGTTGTGTATTACAAAACGGCATACCTCAAAAGCAGAGACATGAATTACACGTTCTTCTGAGTCTGTTGATGCTTCCTGAACATGAATACTGGCTCCTGTTTCCAGTTGTAACTGTTTTACATTAAAACCCCCCTTGCCAATGACCCCACCAATTTTCCCAGGTGAACACAAAATTTTCATAGAAAACTCAGCTAAAGCTTCACCCCCATGTCCAGGAGGAACACCATTAAAACCACCTGGTGCAAATTCAGAAGAACGGTTTCCATATCCTTCCATCCGTGGCATTGGGGACATACTGTGGGAAGGAGCCCGATTAGACCACATTGGATTTCCAGGTGGCAGCACATTAGTCATCGGGGCTCCAGGAGGACGAAACCCCTGGCCCCCAAAAGGCATAGGAAAACCTGAAGGAGGCTTGTCCTTCCGAGGATTCTGATGCAGTAGCGTAGACACTTCATAAAGCGCTCTCTTTGTCACATCTGGTTTTCCAGATATCTGTCATTTTTGTTGAAAGTTAATACGGGTGCCAAAAATAAACAACAAAAAATTCATGAAATTTTAATCTAAGCATTTTCAGAGATTAAAAGTTATTTTTAATCTAAGTATGTTCAGATATTAAAAGTGACCAACCTCCAAAATCATATACTTGTAAAAAGGAATGTAAAATCCTAATACAGCATCGTAGCATCAAACCCACAAGTTTGCATTATGCAAGAAAGCAAACAAAAGAACAGAAACAGTACCTGCACCAATTCATCAGTTTCCATAGCACAAGTTGGAAGCTGATCTGCAGGAAGCACACGAATGCTTGCACTCGTCTCACTTCGTAATCTTTGAATAACATCTCCACCCTTTCCAAGAAGACACCCCACCATATTGTTTGGAACTAGAAGCCTTGCGGTGACAACACTGTTTTCATTGTCATCATCAAATGTAACTCCACCAAAAAGATCTTCCTCTACAATTCTGTTATGAACTTTCAAGAGAGCATCCTGGGCAGCACAGTGCGGGTCCATGGGCTCCAGTTCATTTTCCTCAGCTGAATCTCCATCATTATTTTGTTTACTTGAAATTTTTGTTGGAGAGCTAAAGATAATAATTACTCTCTCATCTGAGCCTAGAACAGAATCAGCAACCGTTATCTTTGCCTGCGTCTCTTCTCTCAGGGCTTTGACTATGCCACCACCTTTTCCAATAACACCACCGATTCTTTTAGAAGGGCAGAGTATACGATACACTGTGTCCAGGGATTGATAATTCTCTAAAGGTTGTTCACGGGTTGAATTATTCCAGTTTCCTTTCTTGTAGTTGTTGTTACCTCCTTTTCTTTTAAACTGGACATTAGGGCGTTTCTTGAAAAAGTTCCGCTTGTTCCCATCCATAATACCACGAAAAGGAAAACTAATACCAAGCAGAGTAAATTTTAAGCAAAGACCAAAGCACCTGGATTAAAAGAAACAAACTAGAGCACCTGGATTAAAAGAAACAAAACTAGTTGTTGTCATTACTGAGAGAGAGCCCAATAAAACATACTAATTTTAGCACAGAGCAAAATTGAACACATATCAATTTCTAGTTTCATAGGGAGATGTAAAGCGCAAACCACTAATCGTGCATCGTTGAAGATTGTAGTTAAATGACGTACCTTGTTGAACAATAATTCAGGGATCCTAGTAAAGCATTTCACAACGAGCAAGTAGCTAAGCAGCCGTGATCAGTTTAGTCTTCAGCTTGGAGCTCACGCCCTAGGGTTCCACAACCAAAACATATACAGCCCAAGAACAAAAACGAAAGCAAAACGATGCCTTTGGGCAAACGAAACAGGAAGACCTGGCTAAACAAGCACGTAAGAAATCAAATTCAAGCATTTTCTTCCGGAATTAACCAAAACTAAGAATGCGACGAAGAAATCTGGAATCTTTAGCTAATTAATAATAGCAAAAAATCATTTTGATGGAGGATGATCGAAGAAATGAGAGGAATATAATACAGATCAGTAAGTAAAATTATGGCTTGTGGGGAAGTTAAAGAAAAAGTTTTACGTACCAGAGCTGGGGAGAGAGAGAGAATCAGAGTTAAAGCCACTGTGGTTGCCGCTTGCTGGGGCGACTGGACGTCTCATCTTCGGAGAGGGATGAATTGGGCGCAACAGAGCTTTGCAGAATTCTGTTTTTTTGTTTTTTTTCTGTGTTTTTTTTCCGGCCTGTTTCAAACAAGCTGTTTGTGGAAGAGGAGGGTGGGCTTCGACCCAATTCGAAGTCATAGAATTGGGCCGACCTTAATTCTTCCCAAATTATAGAACAAAAGGACATAAATAAGGGACATGGGTTGGCAATGACTCATGTGGTGACCCGTTTGTCTCTTGTTAGGATTATATATACGTGTAAACTGTTCAACCCAAACCTGATCTGTTTAATAAATGTGTCATGTTAGGTTGACCCAATAATTTCCTATGCGGGTTTCGAGTTGTGTATCGGGTTACCCACTAAGTCGTAGCAGCGAGGTAAAAATGTAGAAGGAAAAAAAATATCGTAGAGAAAGATACGACTATTCAAAGAATTTTTCCATAATCACAATAATGTGAGAATTGGTTATGATACACAAAGAAACATGTGTAAATTCCTAAAATAGTTTTTCATGTAATTTTTTATTTGGTAATTAGCATGTAATTGTTATAAATATCAAATTATATACATGTGAAATTCTTCTTCTTTGAGAAACAGCTTGTAAAGACATTATAAATATCAAATGTTGTAGCATATAATCACAAAGGTATTATCATCATGGTGGATAAGACTCTAGAGAAAATAGAATGTGGGATATTAGGATATTGGGACATAACGTTACATAGTCAAGAGAAAACAAAATGTGGTACCAACTGTCATAGATCCACTTTTTTCATAATCTGAGGAGCGTTTATGTAATCCTAGTTAGACTTATTTATCAAACTATCATGTTAGACTATTTTTGAAAGGACTAGCCCCGAATTCCCCCTCGAAATCAGTTGACCATAACTTTTTCATTAAAACTCCGATTCAAGCCTGGTAAGTGTCCACAAACTCGTGAGAGTGCGCTCTATGAAATAGTGCAAAGAAATTTTAAAAACTTATCCCGAACAAAAATTGACCAAAATACCCATATTATGAAGGTAATACGATGATTTCACAAGAAATAAATAGAAAATTAAATAAATTCATGACTATTTGTTACAGTTGTTTTCATAAGTAAACCATAACAAGGTCTATACGCTTATATTGGTCAAACATATCTAGTATTTACTCCTAAAGAGTGAAGGAGCTTGATGGTGCAGTGTAGCGAAGCATCTTCTTCTAAGAAAGTTAGAGCTAATCTCGAGGCTCCAATGTAACTTTACATTTGAGGTATAGTGATAACCAGATTTGGTCTTGACATTGTGCTTAGGACTCTTAGGTGAACATTAGTTATCAATAGTTTTGAATTATTAATAAGAGTCGAATCTTGCTTCACTAGCATCCGCAATCATACTCCTTATTTTTATATAGTTAAAATGTAGCTAAAAAATATACAAAGTTAATTTTTAGCTCTCTATAAAATTTGAACTCTAATCATACTCCTTAGTTTAGCGAGTCGTAAATATTATAATTATTTTTAATTCAATATAATTGGTCCATCTCTGCCCAAAAAAAAAATAAAAAAATAAAAAATAGTTAGCATTAATTAAAAGTTTAAAATATGCATAAAACAAAGCATCATTAAATTATATGGAGCAACTAGAAGACTTTTCTCTCTTCTCAGATTTAGGAGCTCCTAAAAGTCTCCCTATTTTAGGAGGTAAATAGGGAGCATATTTGGAGTTATATTTTTCCAATTCCTCCCTAAAATTTGTTTGGGTAATGTTAGCAATCTTGTCTTTTGGACATTCTCCATTTTTCTCATAACATGTGTCATTCTCCTTACATTTAAAACTATGTCATTAATGCATCATACAAACTATCTTTTGTTTTCCAAATTTACCCTTGTTATATGTATTGACTTTCATGTTTCTTTCAACTTATCCAATTTTTTTTTCTTCATAACTTCCTTACGACCGTATTAAAAAATTAAAAAAGAAAAATCGTCAATTTTTTGCTATTTACTTGGTTGTGGTCTTGAAGTGACGTTTTTCTTTCAAAATTGTTATGTGCAACAAAATTATGGGCCTTATTACTCATATATTTTTTTTAATTAAAAAAAAACATATATTTTCTTTCAAGTTTTCTTTTTATTGAATCAGGTGATAAGAAAGTTATTAAATTTTTTTGGATAAATTAAAGGAAACATAAAATTTTAATACATTTAATAAGGGTAAATTTGGAAAACAAAAGATAGTTTGTAAGATACATTAATGACATTGTTTAAGTGTGAGAGAGTGACACATGTCATAAGAAAAAATGAGAAAGTTCAAAAGAGAAGGTTAGAAAGAAGATTGCTAGCATTCTCCAATTTGTCTAATGAGATAGTTTGAGGAGAATATTGAGGATGTTCCTAGAGCATCTCCAACAGTCTCTTCAAACTAAACTATTCAAATTGTGGTTTGTTGACCTACATGGAAATTTGAATGGTAAAATTTACTACTTTACTATTTTGTAACCCCATCAACCTTTTCAGATTAATTAATTTAATGTTTGACTTTTCTTTTTCTTTTTAATCAAATACAAATATTAAATTCGGATAATAATACCAAATCAATATTTAAAGAATAATTCATTATGGTTCACTCAACCCCATGTATGTTTTTACCATTCCAAGACAGCTTTTGTTGTTTCAAAATTTAATAAATGTGTTGAAGAGTGAAAGAGGAGTTCTAGGTTTGATGAGTGAGTTTGACAAGACTGTTAGAGAAGATTTTGTGGATGTGACCCACTTATTTTAGTATCCCAAAGCCTTTAAAGAGATTGGTTCGAGATGCTATGCCAACAGTCTACTAAAGTCTATATATTCGAAGTAACAAAACAGTTCAATACACATCTAAATGGTCTTTCTGTTTTGGAAGTTCTTCATTCAATCTGCCCTCTAATTTCCTTGTTAATAATAAATTGACTGAAGCAATATACATACATATATCTTCGCTCCACCATTTCAGTACTCAGTTTACAAGATTGTGCTAGGCTCTCATTATGAATCTGTGCATGTTATGTGATGTGTGATGAGTTTAGATTAGTGAGGTTAATTTAGGAAGAAGGGATTGTTGTAGAGAACATTTTAATTTCTCTAAAATTGTATTGTTGGGTTCCATTAATTAGGCAGAATTAATAACAATAAAAGGGGTACGAAATAATAGTAGAACTTGAAACGAAGGAAACTAAACCCTGTATCAAAGTTTGGGCATCGCATAAAAAATTGAAGTTCAGGCCCAAAGAAAGAAGATACAAACAAGCTATAAAAAAAATAAAAAAAATAAAAGAAGATACAAACATTCAAGTTGGGTTTATTATGGAAACCGGAACACGTACATCATTTATTTCTTTGCACGAGTCCTTAAAACTTTCTTAAAATTGATAGAAACAAATATCAGCAAAAATGACGTAAAAATTCAAATGTGAATAATCCATGTTTGAATTGAAATTGAGATATTGATACAAGTTCTTCCCTTATGAATCAGACTGATCGATTAATGTCAAATGAAGTCTGAAAATACCAAAGGTTTGCCTTTTTTGGCAAATATTCCCGCTCCATAAGTAGAAATGAAGATCTCAACAAGGAGGGGAAATTGCATCCATGCAAAGGAGACGATTGGAGCACTAGCAAGTAAAATGATTGGAATCACAATCCATGAATTTTCACCCAACATAATAAAAAGGGTAGAAACAAACGCAATCATCATGGTGGCTATGGAGAAAAAGAGGGTGAAAAGGCCTATAATCATTTTCTTTGGCAATGATTCAAGGAAATCAGCTTCGGCATAGCGTGAGGTGAGGACTCCCAAAAATGTCATTACAGAAGTCGTGGAAGAAAAGAGTGATAGGGCATCAGAAACTATAAACACCTTAAACAACTTTTTATCTAAGAAAAAGGGCAAGCCTGTATTTCCGTTGTTTCCACCTGGAACTGTGAATGCTGCAGTAAACATGATGGTAATGATAAGCGCACCTGCAACCGTACAAGAAGTTGCTGTCTCTTTCATTGATCTTTCTCCTTCTTTCGCCAACTCTTTGTGGTTCTTAGTAAATAAATCACGTGCTGTCATGCCATCTGTAACATTTACAACCTCAAGAATCTTGGGAGGTACAATGTTTTCAATCTCCTGCATTTCGTTGAAGCAATTACTGATTTTCTAATCCTCGAATATATGCTTTTCGACCAAAAAGAAAAAGGAAAATAATATTTTCTAATCCTCGAAATGTGTAGAGAAATTCTGACCTTGAACCATTGTAATTCTCTCTGCATTTGCAACGCAGCACCTTGGATATGATTAAGCTGTGCAATTGGGGATAGACTCGCTGCTGCATGTAGCAACGTATTGCTAAACTGATCTATTGTCACTAACAAATCAGGCGCTATTCGGGTCAGTCTATAGAAAAAGAAATAGACTTTTTCTTGACGACATTCAATGGCAAACTGAAGCATAGTCTTCCCATTTTCACCAGTGAGACTAACCAGTACTGGATTAGCTTTAAACATCTCATAACCAAACTCAACATTCCCTTGTTTAATGGCTTCGAAGATAGCTGCTTGCACCACACTTCCTTGCAGTTGTTTAAGACTTTTACCCTTTACCACTTCGCACATTGATTGTAGAATTTCAGATGTTCTTACGTGGGTCCATTTCATCTTATATATGTGATCAATTCCTAGGATGGCATAAATAAAACAATATTAATTACCAAGTCTCAACAGAATACGACCAACATAAGATTTAAGAAAATGGATAATTATACGTTTTTGAAAATCGAAGGAAAAGATTAACAAAGTCTAGATATTTAACATTACGTACCAAAGAGGTTACGGGGATTGGGAACAAGTCCTCGCAATATAGAACAAATCCTCGCAATACCTATTGCAAATCGAAATATGTTCGCATTAGAGAATATTTTAATCACGAATTTTGGGTATATGATCGTAATGTACAATGCTATTTTAATTTCATGAATTCATTCAAATTTTAAAACATGTACAATCATTTATTTTAAAATATAAATTCAACATATAGATATGAGTAATGCCACTTGGTCAAGTCAGTATACTCGCACCTTGCACCCAAGTTAGAATGAATTCATAACAGTGAAATGACGGTGTGGTGCCTATATATATATATATACACACACAACTTTTTCTTCTTTGACAAAATATTTAACTTCTCGCCACAAATATGACCACAGACATGGAAATTGGGGAAGCACATGCCTAAAAGTTCCTACGCTAGTATAGTCAGTTGTTTTATGCCTCATTGTATTAGTGGGTTCTATCCCTATTAGAGAGGTAGAGAGGTAGAGAGATAGTACATAAGGTGGTATGTAAATGTGGCATGGTTATGTTCTTATTGATGTATCTGATAAGTTATGATGATAAATAGGTATTCATCAATTTAATTTTTTGTTGACAATATGCTATTTTAAACTACTCTAACCTTTGGAGAGGGACACAAACTTAGATATAAGGAGGCATGTACATTGCCTAGTCAACTAAACTAACCTATATATATATATATATATATATATATATATATTAAATTCTTAGTACAAGTTTATTTTAATAAATAAACCATGTGATATTTGATCACAATGTTAAGTTTCCACGTCAATGTTGGTTTTCAAAACAATCAAAACTGGCCTTATTCAATCTAGAAATTTTAAAATAAAATATAAAAAAAGACCCGTAAAAGTTGTGTGCAAAACCAAACCGACCAAAGGTTTAGTATACCTTCAGAACAGCTTTGTGTCCAAAAGTATCGGTTAACAAAAGATTTTGACCTCTACTGAAAGTCTGGTACGGTGATCAATTAAACTCTCTGCCGATCTGTGTTAAGACCTACTCTATGTCTCGCAATTAAGGAGAAATTTTTGTTATACACACACAATCATGTAATATGTCTCGCAATCCCATTCATTTCAATACTTACTAGCAAAAATCGTAATGCCACTTTTCGGATATATCATACCTGAGCCACCCCTTTCACTAATTGGGTCATCTTCGACGTTTCCAACATTTATGCGAATATCATAAATTGCTGAACCAGGTCGTATGTGTATACCTATCAAGTTATCAACATACAAGAACAAATGACTAATCAATACGTTAAATGTTTCCTTTTGATGCAAGAGCTTTCCCCTATATAGTGATTTTTGTGTCGTGAACATGGAAGTTCATGCGCATATAGAACAATAATGAATGAGTGATGGTATAAGAACACATTATTTTTACCATAACTCTTTAATATACACAACAATAATAAATATGTGATGTTGAGAGAACATATTATTTTACTATATTGTATGCTATCTCTTCAATAGAAATATGATGTACCAATACAAGGAGAGGTTTCATTTTTATTAGAGACGTGCCACACATCGTGGTACAATAATGTTGTCTTCTTAGCATTTCATAATAAAATTTAAGTAATTAATTTGTAGTTCAAGTAGTTAACAACATTTATCTTTTTTCAAATAGAAGGTTGAATCATTTCTTTATCACCGGAGAGAAAATGAAAATTCAAACTTGATAATTACTAGGCTTTGGGTTGTGTTTCAGCAGGGCTTTTTGCTGCAATCACTAGGGCAGAAGCCCAGCCATCACCAGCTGCAGGCCTGATCCAAAAGGTGGATACCAGCCATAACGAACTGGTGGCATTCTTGGAGAGTTCGTGGGTGTTGGTTCTGTGTCCGTCGAAAAGAGTCGAGTGTGGGGGTAAGTGCACCGGGTGGTTTGGCTGCTGTAGTGCATGAGTTATTGATCATTGAGGAGATAGAGAGATAGATATCGATTGGGCTTGGTGGGTGCTAGGGAGATCAAAACCGAAGGGGATGTGTTGCTGGGGTTGGGTGGGAAAATCAATTTGGGTGGCTAGGGTGGAAAGTGTGGGTGGCTGATATTGGGAAAAGTTCAGAGGAGGTGTTGATTTTAATTTTCTGTTTTTACTTTCGTATTTTAATTAGACAAAAAAATAAATTATTATATGAAGTCCAAATATATATATATATATATATATATGGGACATAACTTTAAATAGTAGAGAGAATGGAGTACTAACGTTCATAGATCCATTGTTGCCAAAATTTGAGATGCATTCCACTTAAAAATCCAGAACGCGTACCAGCACACACTTGTAAAGGGGTCAACCCAGAGTAGCTTTTAGCAAGGGCTAAGTTTGGGCAACGCCGAATTAAATCCAATGCAACATCTACAGTAGGGTAGAGGAGGAGTGACAAGAAAAACGAAGGCATCTTATTATATGGCAAAAGGTTAAATTGGAAACACGTACCGAAATTTTTGGCCCTAAAACTCTCCGAAACAATCTCAGCGCCAACGTGGCCGTTGTCTTGCAACAGAGCATCGAGTGGAGTAACAGAATAGAGGTAGCGAGCCAATTCCCAGTGGCCGAGACTGTGAGCCAGGACAAGTGGAATTGAGTTGTTTGGAGGAGATGGAAGGCTAAGCAGCTTCTTGTTTTTTTAATTATGCACTTAGCCAATTGTGTGATTCCTAGAATCGCAGCGTAGGCCATAGCTATTTGACCAGTAGCGTCCTGTATTTCCAAGTCGTCCTCCGTCATCAACTCCACTAACGCTTTCGCCATTTTTACATTTTTAAGCGCAACTGCCAGGTGAAGAGCTGTCCCACGTGTTGTTGAACCTCTTTCTCTGATTGCTTCGGGATTTCAACTAAGATACTCCTTCGCTAAATCCCAAGCACCCTCTCTCACATTATCAATGAAGGGTTGATGGAGGCCGAACTCATTTCTTGCCAAGTTTTTATTGTTTTAATAAATTACAATTTGCTAAGAATGTCAGCGTCCAACTCACTCAAACAAATTTTTTGAAAATTCTTGTCACTTAGTGGATAAGTTAAAGATTAGATATTGAAGGGAAACAAAACAAGGAAAAAAAAAGTGTTTACGAGAGATCACATACCATCATTCGACGTCGGATTCATATTCAAGTCTTCCTGTCGCACCAACGGAAACAACTCCTCTGCATCGCACACATGATTGTTGAGATTTGGATAACAAAGGGAGCTAGAGAGCAAAAATTGAGAGAGAGCTTGAGCAAGAAGAATAAAATGGTAATGACAACTACACCTCTGCATAACCGTTGCAGCAGAGGATATTCATTCATGACCAAAACGTGTTCTTACATCAGCAATTTCAATCTAACCGTTGTGAAGGTTAAGCCAATGTGAATATGACACACGACATTACAAAGCTTTAGAACCGCTGGAAAAGAGACTAACCTAAGCCTTAGAGCCAGCAGCAAGCCCAGCTCGAGGCTAGGGAAAAAAAAAAAATTTGCGTTCCAGCCGAGCAGCCCAGGCCCGGGGGGGTGTGGGACCCACCAACTTGGGCTGGCCCGAAGGCAACTTCTACCCGAGGTCCAAAACGCTGGGGGTGACGTCATGTCGACGTCGACACGCGGTAATCAAATTTTTTTTACTGTTGGCGCGTGCAATGCACGCGTCAACGGTAAAAAAAATTTGAACCAGCGTGCGCTGACGTCAGCGCGACGCAGGGCCAACAGCTAGAAGCCACGTGGCATGCCCCCAGCGCTCCGATTTGATTCCACAGCCTTCATCCAACGGCTGTCGATTTTCCAGCAATAAAATTATGAAAAAAAATCGAAATTTTTTTTAAAAAAATACCATAAAATACTTTAAAATTCTGATTTTTTTTTCCTATACATACCTATAAATACCCTTCACTTTCAGCACCAATTCTCATACATTTTATTCTACTTCTACAATTACTCAACATTTTTTTCACTCTTCACTTAACATTTTCATCTCTTTCACCTTGTATTTTTATTTCTTATTTTTATGGCTTCTTCTATTGAAACCGGAGGAGCGTGGAGCACCATGGAAGATGTTTCTTTGTGTGAGGCTTGGCTCCGAGTTTGTCATTGTCCCGTGACAGGTAATGAGATGAAATTTTTCCATATGTGGAAAAAAAATCGTGCCGAATTTTGCGAAAAAATTCCGAAGTCGCCTCGTACGGAAATGACATTGTTGAGTAGGTGGAAACTTCTCAACAAAGAGATGACAAAATGGAGAGATGCCTTGGCAAAAGCGATGAATTTGTATAGAAGTGGGGAAAATCGTACTAACGAGGTAAGTATTTTGTAATTTTCGTTTTATTAAGTTTAATGTCCTAATATATATATGTTGTTAATATTTATTGCATTTTCAATATTTTGTTAATATTTCTTGCATTTCAAATATTTTGTTAATATTTCTTGCATTTTCAATATGTTGTTAATATTTCTTGCATTTCCAATTGTTTCTTCATATTTCTTGCATTTTCAATATGTTGTTAATATTTATTGCATTTCCAATTGTTTCTTCATATTTCTTGCACTTCCAATTTATTTGTAAGGTTAATTGCATTTCCATTATTTTTATTTTGTTACTTGCATACCCAATATATTTTAAATATTTATTGCATTGCCATTTTTTTTGTTAAATAGCTCATTCAAGCACAGATGTGGTTCGGTGCAATCGGGGGTGGCAAAAAAAGTTTCACCCATCATGAATGTTGGGAGGTGGTGAAATATTGTAAACGCTTCATAATTATTCACACGGGTCCCGACGTTGTGTTAAACGAGACGCCTCTCCGTGATTCAACGACATCAGATTCACCTCTCGATTCCCCTATGAGTGAAGACTCACCCATCCAAAAGAAACCGAGGCCTATTGGCCGAAAGGCTGTGAAGGCTGGCCGAAAGGCTGTGAAGGCAAAGGTAATTCAAGCAATTATAATTCAAAGTTTTTGGAGGAAATTGCAAGGCAAAACACTATAAGAATTGAAATGGAGCAGAAACGCCAAGATATGGAGGTGGCAATTCAAGCCGAGTGTGCACGAGAAAAAGAGTATTTGCGCAAAAAAGATATGCAGAAGACGGATCGGGAAACCATGACAATGGATACAAGTCATATGTCCCCTGAAACAAAACAATATTGGAAGCTAGAACGAAGGGATGTTATGAGAAGAAGACTTTTCCAGGATGATGGGCCTAGAAACACGGATTGGTTAAATGATCAAAACCATTAAATTAGTTGGCATACCTTTTATGTATTTTTATTTTTCATGTTTTCTATTAAAGTTGGTGTACTTCATGTATTTTATTTTAGTAGTAGTAATTCTTAATGACTTGTATTGGATTTCTTTATTTAATAAACAAAGCATTCAATAAAAGACCATTTTATTCAACATATTCCATACATCAAACAAAACATAATTAAAATTAAAACAAAAACTACAAACAAGGCACAATAATAAATAAAAAAACAACACAACCAAACCATAAGCAATAGTAAACAACACAACCAAACCATAAGTAAATAAAACATAACCAAAGCATCTATGCTCCATCATTCATCTTCATTCCCTTTCACCGCCCATATATGCTCTATCAAGTCAAGTTGACGGCTTTCATGAATATACGAAGATTGCATATCTGTATATCGATCTATCATTCGGGTCATCATACGATCGTCCCTCACCAACGGTTTCGGCTCAAACGGTTCTCCATTTGGCCCCATGGGCCTTTCATAAATCCGGGTCAAGGCCGTGTTTATTGGATCCGGTTTATAGACCTCTCCAGCATCATAATCGTACTCATCCTCCACAATCATATTATGGAGGATGATGCAAGTCATCATAATGCTTCGGAGGATCTCCTCATCAAACATACGAGCCGCACCTCGAACAATCAACCATCGAGCTTGAAGGATGCCAAAACACCTTTCGACATCTTTCCTGTATCCTTCTTGATAGGTAGCAAATAATTTTTGCTTATGGGATCGGGGATTCGGAATGGATTTGACAAATGTGGTCCACCTTGGGTAGATACCGTCAGCTAGATAATACCCCGTCTAGTAAACTGTATTGTTGACTTGATAGGTAATATTGGGGCCTTGGCCGCTCAAAACATCGTTGAAGACCGGAGATTGAACCAGGACGTTGAGGTCATTTTGGGCTCCGGCAACTCCGAAGAAAGCATGCAAAACCCATGTGTCGAAGCCAGCAACGGCTTCCAGGATGATACTTTTTGTGCCTTTTCTATTTCCGTAATCACCTTGCCAGGCAGTTGGGCAATTCTTCCATTGTCAATGCATGCAGTCGATGCTACCAATCATTCTTGGAAATCCTCGAGCTTCGGCTTTTTGTAGAAGCCGTTGGAGGTCCCTGGGAGTAGGTCTACGCAGGTAGTCCCTAGTGTACAGATTTTCAACTGCATCACAAAATCTTACCAAAGCCTCCAACGTAGTGGACTTCCCCATTCAGGCAACCTCATCCACCTGATCAGCAGATGCTCCATACGCCAACATTCGTATAACAGCTGTAAGCTTTTGCTCCGGAAGAAGGCCCAAAACCCCAGTAGTATCACACTTTTGAACAAAGTATGCATCATAATTGCAAATATCATGCATGACTTTATTGAACAAATGGGGTTGCATTCTAAATCGCCTTCGAAAATCAACATTAGAGTACAAAGCAGTTGGGATAAAATAATCTTCCAAAATATTCTTACCCCGAGAATGCCTATGTCTGTCCACATTCCGGCGACGGCCGACTTGTGAACCACGGCGGCGACCTTAGTTCTCTTCCTCTTCCATTGCCACTGCTATGAGAACTTGTTCATCGACTTGCCTTTGCAACTCATTGATTTCATCGGCTCTACAGTTTCTCTCCTTTCTTTCTCTCTCTTGCCTCTCCAAGCATCTCCTATATTCTTCCATTGAGAATGAATGGAGTATGAATTCTAAACTCTAAGAAATGAAAATATTGAAAGATGTGGTGTGAGAGGTATGAGGTGAGCCTATGGTTTTATAGAAAAATTTGGCAAGATAGAGATGCCACGTGGCTTGATTTGATTGGATGAAAATCTTATCTGAAATTTGAAATTCATCCGAAATTTGAACCCAAATTTATCTTAAATTTGAATTTTGAAATTCATCCGAAATTTGAACCCAAAAATCTTATCCCGAAATTTTATCCGATTATGAATAGTCTTGACACGTAGGAACCCGTAAATCTTATCCGAAAATATTATCCAAATTAATTAGGGAGTTTCACTAAAACACCCAAAATGGGGGTTGAAATTATAAAAAAACCCAAGCACTATTTAAACATATAAACACACCCAAAACCCATCATTACACACACTCAAAACCCATTTATAAACACACCCAAAAAGTTGACTTTGGGGTTGATTTTGGGTGTGTTTCTATGTTTAAATAGTGCTTGGGTTTTTTTATAAATACATGTCTAGGATTGGGTTTATTTATAAATTTGTAAATTAATTATTGAGGTAAAAAAAGTTGTGAATAAAACAAAAAAATGAATTGTAACTGCCCTTAGCAAGGGCAACAGGTGGAAACACAAAATTCTGATTTGCAAGGGCAACCACTATTCACGTGAATAGTGGCTGCCCTAGCTCCCCCCCTTGCCATGGCTAAGGGCAAATGGGTGGAGTTGCTCTTACACTTGGCATATGAGCTCAAGATGCTCGGCTAACAAATGGTTTAAATAGACTAAATATAAACTGACTAAGAATGATAAGAAAATATCAATTAATTAAGTCGAAATGAGTAATTCTATAGACACTCAATTGGCATCTAGGTCCCAAGTTCCCAACTCAAAAGCTTAAGGTGGTATTGGATTTAGTCCATTTTCGTTTTCTATATTGGTTCCAGTCCATTGAGTTTTTAAATTAAGGTCCAAATGCTTTTATTTTCATTTTGCCCCCTTGAGGTATAAATTTATGAAGAAAATACAACCGTAATTTTTCACTGTGGTTTTGACCGAAATGGTCCCTGAACTTATGCACGAGTTTTATTTTAGTCCTTCAACTAAATGTATACTTATTTAACACAAGAGAGAGAGTTGGAGGACCAATGGATTGAAAAATTTAGTTAAAGAATCAAAATGGAACTCGAGCATAAATTCAAGGAATCATTAAAATTTTTTTTTAAAAAACTCATTTTATATATTTGCGAGAAATTTATGCCACATATGTCCTACACTCAATGAAAAAATTTGTCAATCATATACATACAAGTAAAAACTTAAAAATTCAATTACAAAAATGCTTATAGTTTTACTCAGCCTCGTGCACAGTCAAATAATGTTTACTACTGCAGCAGTAACATCATAAAAATAAAAAATGAAAATACAGTAACCTAGATCGAACCATATATATACAGATGTGATGTGCCCACCATTCCGTCAGAGTCATTTAGGTGTAAAACATGCATGCTTGTTTTGACTGCGTACCTAGAGCTGGCTTTAGCTTTTCGGCCAAAGTATCCCAGGCAGCTTTGGCGGTCTTAGTGCCCAAGACTAAAGGGTAATTAGCAGACCCGCAATAATTCTGGATTAAAATTAAAGCCTTGGCATCTTTCTTCCTCCAAGCCTTAAACTCAGCTTCACCGTCTTCTAGTTTAGGAGGCTCAGTGGTGGCTTCCACAACGTCCCAAAGATCTTCAGCTAACAAGTAGAGTTTAACCTGGAAACTCCAATCTTCATAGTTATGCTGGTTAAGAACTGGGGGATTAGGGATTGTACTAGTGACAGTTGTGGCTGCCATGTTCAATCTGCCAATTGACCCATGGTGGTATTATGTCAATCGAGAGCATAAACGTTAGAACAAACAAGAAAAAGAAAATTAAACAAACACAATCACAGATTGAGTTGTAAAAAGGCTGCAGGTAGAAGCTAGCTTGTAAATTCCCACTATATACGTGCACATAGATATAGGCAACTCACTTCTTACTTACAGATAACAGATCAGCGAAGACCAAAAAGAAGCTAACAAATCTTACCTCGATTTGACAGAAGGAATGCCGGGGCAGGTCACTCAGCGCTTTAACAACAATAGTCATTTTGAAGCAAACGGAGGTTTCACCAATTAAAAAAGACTTTGGAAAAAGACTTGGCAATTAAAAAAAGACTTGGAAAAAGACTTCGACCCATTTCGATTGGGCCGAACTTTAGTCTTCCCAAATTATGGAACTAAAGGACATAATTTGTTTCCATTCAACTATTTTTGGGCGTTGGGCCGAAAAGATTATTGTTGGCAAGTTGTACAAAGAATGAAGATGTGCAAAGAGTTATGATTTTGCTCTTGGTCTTCATGTGTTTCGGGAGGTTTCAGCTTTTTTTAGTGATTTATTAGCTGCTAATGTTCGAAGTGCTGTTAGACCTCGTTTAGTTTCTGTTTAGTTTCCTTTGGTTTGGGGCTTTAGCCCTCTTCTGTACCCAAAAAAAAAAGATAACAAAATATTTATAAATTCTAAACTTTGAAAAACACGATGACCAATTTAGCTAAATTTTTTACTTTTTATGTAGAATCACTGACCAAAAAGTATTTAACCCTTTTTAAAATGTACTCCAAACTCTGGCGAGTAGTAAGTGGGGTCTTCATGAAAATATTTTAGGGCTGCCACCTTGATAGATAATACGTATATGGCCTAGGAAGAAATATTTTATGCGTATAATGCGCATAACCTTGAAACCCATGCTTGCATTCAGAAAAACCTTGGGTATGAGTTAAAAGAGAGATAGACACAAAAATATATACCATCAATTGCAATCAAATGTCTGTCGTGTGCATTTGTTTTTTAGTATTGAGGGGATGAAAATTTGTCAAAATATCAAGTGAGGAGAGAGATAGACACAATACCACAAAATTAGAAACATCGAAGCTAATTCTTCCAACTGCAGTTAACTTATTTACAAAGAAAGTGATTTCTTCTTCGCTTTTCTCCAGGTACGGTAGCGGTAGGGAAGGGGAGTCTACTATGCACGCTCTCTGACAGTGCAAGGATATAGGCAAACTCACGTCTGATTTATAGATAACAAATCAGACAAAGAAAAAAAAAAAAAAAAAAAAAAAAAAAAAAAAAACAAGCTAACAAAAATAAAAAAACATTCATTGGCAAAAGACTTGGCAAAATTACAAAAGACTTGGAAATTAAAAGATTATTGTTGGCAAGTTGCATAAAAAACGAAGATGTGCGCATCAAAAATAAATTTTTTAGTGTCAAACAAAAATGAAATATAAAAATGTTGCGCATGTTACTCAAATTCAATTGAAATACAAGTGTGAATCATCTTGTTTCAGTTACAGCCAAATTTACAGGTAGTATGTTAGTGTACATACTAAGGCACCAGATTGAAGCCTTAGTCTTGTGCCACGTGTATTGTTCACGTGGGGAGTTTTGTGAAGCTTAATTGAGTTCATCCACATGGAGTATCAGAAGGAAGCTATCATGGTGTCAGAGGAGTGCCTCTGATTATCATCGGCGATCCTTGCTTCGCTGCTTCATTCTCCGGTATTCGAATCTCTCTGTTCTTCGAGCTTGAGATTTTGCTTTCTTCAAAGGCTTCTGTGTTGACTCATCTCTATTTTCTAGATTTTCGCATCTTGTTCTTCATTCTCTTAGAATTCTTGCTTGTGGTTGCTTTGTTCCTTTTCTGCAACTCAATTTCAATCTCTGTATTTTACTATGTAAACCCTAATTTTGCTTAAAATGGGGAAGAATTCTGTTACTCCGTTGGATTTGCTTCATAATGCATGCGATTACATTACGCTGAAACTTGATGAGACTAATTACGTTCAATGGAGCTATCAAGTGGAAAAATTTCCAAAAGTTCATCGCCTATCTGGATTTCTTGATGGTATTGTTGTGGCTCCTACTGATTCTAATAATGGTGATTTTAAGGAATTGGAAGCTATGGATACAACAATCTTGAACCTCATTGTTGCTAGTCTTTCATTAGAAATCAGAAGATTTATGAACCTTAGGTAAAGCCAAACGAAACATTTCATTAGAAATAAGAAGATATACTGTCTTTTCTTTACATAATTCATAAAGCATTCAAACAAAAATGTATGCATCAAACAAAGTTAATTATAAGGGTGGTTTTATTTGAACTATATATATAAACACACAAGTACATTGACAAAGCCAAAGACGAACATCACATGACATCAGAAGACAAACATCACACCAATCATGGATTTTATTCCCAGGCTCTGCATTTCTTGTCAAATATTCCTCTTCCATAGGTAAACATAAAAATGTCAAGAAAGAGGGGGAATTGCATCCACACAAACGAGGCGATTGGAACGCCGGCAAGCAAACTGATTGGAATAGATACCCATGATTCTCCATCAAGCATAATAAAAAGAGTTGAAGAAAAAGCAACCATCAAGGCAGCGATAGATAAAAAAAGGGTGAAAAGGCCTAATAGCATTTTTGTGGGCAAAGACCTGAGGAAATCGTCTTCTGCATAACGTGATGTGAGAATTCCCAAGAATATCATCACTGATGTCGTCGAAGAAAAGAGTGATATAGAATCTGAAATTAGAAAAACCCTAAAGAACTTCTTTCTTAAGAAGATGGGAAAACCTGTATCTTGATTGTTTCCACCAGGAACTGTAAATACAGTAGCAAACATAATGGTAACAATGAGGGCACCTACGACTGTGCAAGAAGTTGCTGTCCCTTTCATTGACTCTTCTCCTTCCTTCACCAATTCTTTGTGGTTCTTGGTGAATAGTTCTCGTGCTGTTATTTGCTCGGTCTTATTTCTTGCTTCCAAGTGCCGGGGGGGTAAAATACGTGCCACCTCCTACATTTCATTTAGAAAACTCACATTACATATATAGCCTATAGGGATTGTAGAAGAATATGCGAGTCCCACATCGGAAACCTAACAACATAGAAAGTCCCATATAATAAATAGTTCCACTCCTAATAACATCGAAGCCTTTCTGAAATCTTTACAGGGATATGTAACAAATTAATTGTCTAAGGTTGCATTTATGTAATAAAGTGAGAAAATATGACCTTAAACCATTGTAGCTCTCTTTGCATTTGCAAAGCTGCACCTTGAATATGATTAAGGTGGGCAGATAAACTCCCTGCTGCATGTAGGATAGTATTGTGAGACACATCTGCAGTCCCTACGATAGCATTCCTATCATATTCACTGAACCCATATATAAGATTAAAAACTTTTTCTTGACGACATTCGACGGCGTAATCAAACATTGATCTGCCTCTTTCATCCAACGTCACTAGTGTGAATCTTGGATTCGCCTTACACATCTCCTTAATAAACTCCACTTGTCCTCCTTCTACAGCTCGGAGGATTGCCTTTTTCACGAAGTCAGTTTGCTTCGAGTCAAGATTTGTACATTTTGCCACATCACACACGAGTGGTAGAATTTGAAGAATTCGGTCATGGTGAAATCTCATTTCATGCAAGTCATGGATTCCTAGGTTAACAGTGAAAACAATATTAATCTACAACGTATTACAAAAGTGAGAATTAAACCAAGAATCAATAATGTGGATGGATGTAGCTAGCGTACCTAACAGTTTGAGAAGATTCTTAACAACTCCTTGGAAGAAACCCGTAACTGCATTGCGAAATCCGTAGATGTTGGCTAAACAAAAACAAAAAGGAAAGAAAAACATACAAAAATATTTATAGAACTTTTTTACTTCGACTGCTGTACTCTATTTATATATGATGAACATTTTGAACACAATGTACATGAATACCATCAGGCTTTGCCTTAGAAGGATACGTTATATAAAATATTATATGTGTTTTTTTTCTATTACTTTATATAAAATATAACAAAGGATGGAATATTGAAAACCAAGAAATACCTGAGGAAATGAGATCCCTTCTATTTCTTTTGTCATCTTCTAGTTCTTCCAAATTTACACAAACATCAGGGTTGATAGGAGCAGGTTGATGTTGTTGTACGTGTATATCTAAAGAGAAAGCAACACAATCCAATCAATACATTTTCCTACTTTGCCTGAAGTAGTATTATTCTATTTCTATATAATGATATATATATATATTTATATATATGTGTGTGTGTGCGCGCGCACGCGCACCAATTTAGACACTGTCTTGTGAACCATGAAGGCTAATGAATATGCACTTGCACTTCTTCATATATACATAATAAATCAAATCAAAAGGAAACAAAAAAAATAGAAAGCGCTTGTAAAGTTCATTTCGTATTAATGTAATTAATATCTTTTTTTTTTCAGTCTCAATTTGATTATCCTTGCAATATAAAAGAAATCAAATCAGGCATATATATTTAGTTGGTACATCTCACTTTACATATATCTTTAACATGAAAAATTTAGTTTGATACTACGAAGAGAGAGAGACGAGAGAAGTGAGAAGAGAGAAGAGAATACAAAATACTTACTGTTATAAATCCAGCGTTGCCAAAATCTTAGGGGAACCCCACTTGGAAATGCGGAACGAGAACCAGCCAGTGCATTTAGAGGGGAGTACCCGTAGTAACCTTCAGTAAGGGCCAATTTTGGGTACTTTTGAAGTAAATCCCATCCAATATCTATAGTATAATTGGTTCATCATATAAGCAGCCACAGATCAACATATACTATAATTGGTTATCTATATATATATATATATTTGAAAATGATGTCAAAATTACCAAATTTATTTCTGTGGACAAAGCAATAGGAAATAAGTTGAGCACCATCGCGGCCGTTATTGTCTTGAGTCAAAACATGGATTGGAGTGCGAGAATAGAGAAAGCGAGCTATTTCCCAATGGCCCAAACCATAAGCGGCTAAAACTGGAGTCCTATCTTTTAAGTTGGTAAAACGCATGGTAACTAATTTCTTGTTCTTTTTAACCATACTGGCAACTATTGCGGCCATTCCTTTTTGCAAAGCATAGAAAAAAGCTGTGGAACCATTGTAATCTTGAATTTCCAAGTCCTCTTCTGTCATCAGCTTCAACAACTCTTCCACAATGTGTAACTGCTTCCTCTCGATTGCCTCGTGAAGAGCTGTCCCACCGCTTGTTGAACCTCTATGTGTTAGTGCCTCGGCGTGTCCATCAATAAACTCCTTTGCAGCATTCCAATCACCACGCTTCAAACTATCGTACAAAGGACCATACTTCACATCGCTCTCATCATTATTATTATGCCCTGTTTCTTAGCAAACATAAAAAAAAAAAATTATGCCATCCTGTTTAAATTAAATGTATCAAAACATATTTCCCGTCGTCTCTCATTTATCATTCCTTATTTTGACAAAGAGATATATGCGTATATGTGGCATCAGTTTCACAGCTAGACTTTACTTGCGTACAATAACAAATAAACTTGACAAGAATAAATGAAAAACACCACCCCAGTAAATTAAGGGAGCTGATTTTCACACTCCCTTTTGCTTTTTAATAAACATGTACAATCACTTACTAATATTATGAAAGAATAAAAATATGAGACTATTATACATACCTTGCTCTCTGCATATCTAAGCTCCTAATGACAGTTTGGTTAGTAGCATTCTGTGGTTTTGCTACCATATTTATATGTTAGCCCAGAAAAATTATTATCTATTAACTACAACAAAGATAAATAGCACTCGCATACTTGGTTAAAAAAAACTAAGAATTTGGCGTACAAATACTCACATTTCTATCCATTTTCCATTTTCTTTTCTTTTTTTGTTTTATTTTCTATTAACTTTTCTTAATTCCAGTTATCAAAACCTTAATGTAGGGTAAGGGTAGAATAGGAAAGAGAAAGAATAAAAAAGAACAATATTGATTAAAAAGTATTAAAAAGCAAAAGAGAGTGTAAGTGGAGAAAAGGAGAGTGGGAAAATCACCTCCCTTTAATACTCGGATATATACTCTCAAACTAAAAAGAAAAAGAATGCTACACCCAAAAAATTAAAATTAAACAAATATCGCGCAATATTATATATTATTATACCTATTTTGTGAGCACGGTTGACTAGAGAACGAAAACTATAGTAAACAAAAATAAAAGAAGAACAGAAGGCAACAGAAAATAAAAGAAGAAAAGAATCCAACAAACAAACCTCAAAATTCAAAACTGAAAAAACCCACCATAGAAATAAAACCAGCAATATACATGCAGTAATTAAGGAGTCCATAAAATTAATTGCTGCTGGAGGGTAAAACGGGCATTATGAAATTTTGAGGATGAGACCCAAAACAATCATCAGTTGCGGAGCGTTGATTTTATTTTTATATGTAGGAGGGTAACATATAAATATATTTATAAAAAAAATTAAATGAAATCTTTCAACCTTAACACCATGCATGAAAAAGAAAATATGAAGTCCAGTATGAGTATACCTTCTTCAGAATCAGAAGGCTTTAGCTCTTCAGAATCAAAAGGCTTTAGCTCTTTATTAGAATCAGAAGGCTTTAGCTCTTCAGCCAAAGCATCCCAGGCAGCTTTGGCCTCGGTAATGCCCTCGATTATAGGATAAGTATCATCCCCGCAACACGTCTGGATTGCAAGTAAAGCCTTGGCATTATTCTTCCTCCAAGCCTTAAACGCAACCTCACCATCTTCTGGTTTAGGTGGTTCAGTGGTTGCTTCCACAAGGTCCCAAACATCTTCAGCTAACAGGTACACTTTCACCCGGAGACTCCAATATTCATAGTTACGATGGTTAAGAAGTTTAAGATTAGCAATCGGGGAACCTGTAGCTGCCATGTTCAATCTGCGGAGCTAGAAGCTAGCTTGTAAATTCCCACCATGTGCACATGGATATAGGCAAACTCACTTCTGATTTATAGATAACAAATCAGCGAAGACCAAAAAGAAGCTAACAAATCACCAATTAAAAAAGACTTGGAAAAAGTCTTGGCAATTAAGAAATAAAAGAAGCATGTAAAGCCAGGCACGAGCCCGGCGCGAACCCCAAAATTTCGGACCGCCCCTGCTCGATCACGAACCCCAAGTATAATCTCAGTAAGGTATTAAGTTCAACACCTGTTATCTCACGAAGAGGTATATTAGGTTCAACACGTGTTGCCTCATTAAGAGGTGGTAAGCTTAAGAACGTATATAGTTCCTATCAGTTTAGGAACAAAACATTTATAAAGCATCTATATATTATTATTATTATACCATCAATTGTTTAGTAATGGACTCAGATTATTGTTGGCAAGTTGTATAAAAAACGAAGATGTGCGCATCAAAAATATTTTTTTTTAGTGTCAAACAGAAAAGAAATATAAAAATGTTGCGCATGGTGCTCAAATTCAATTGAAATACAAGTGTGAATCATCTTGTTTCATTTACAGCCAAATTTACAGGTTGTATGTGTTGGAAATCCCTCCTTAGCGGAGTCAAGATGTGCGGCTGAAAAAGAGGAGGGAAATGGAGCTGCACATGCTTTCGGCACCTTCGGTTTCCTCCTTGCTGTTTCTTTCATTGACTTTTCGCCCTCTTTCACCAATTCCTTGTGCTTCTTGGTAAATAGGGCCCTTGGTGTCATACGATTTGTCAGATTTTTAGTTTCACGATGTACAGGATCTACAATACTCTCCAACTCCTGCAGTTCATCCCGCAAAAACTTAGAATTCTTACAAATCATTGAACATTTGCGCTTTGAGATTCTGGTAACCAAACTCATCTGAGCTAAATAGGATGCTAGTGACAGTAATTAAATAAAACAGCTTATGATTGATTTCTTCTTCAATTTCGGGTTTTCCCATTTTGCCAAAACAGAGGCAAGTTTTAAAATAGTGTTGAAAAGGTTATAAGGCACTAAGCACTTCATGGACCCATCTTACAACGTGATCGTTAATTTTTTCCATTCCTTTCCATGTATCAATATTACATAAAATAAGTCAAATAAAATTCGATTAATCATTTATTAGTACTCAACTAATATATGAACACAATGTTTTGTATAAAACATTAAAATGATTTTGCTTATATTAAAAGGACTAAACGCTTTCCTATTTGAACAACTTTTTGCAAGTATAATCCTTGAATGGGAACTAAAAAATAGACGATTTGGATTATGAGATAGCATTGTGTAGGGTTCTAAAAGAGTGATTAGCATTGTACTAACGGATTTAACTAATTATTGTCTGAGGACTCCTATATAATTTTATTGTTACTAGCCACTCGAGATGCGGTCTCACACAATATGAATTTTTTTATTGAGTGAAGAAACTAATGATGTGGGCGTGTAATTTTGTTTTTGTTTCTTAACATGGTTTTTGTTTTACTTAGGTGCCCTTAGGTGTTCTATCCCTATAGTCATAACCTAAACTTGCTACCTTCCTAATTATAGTCAAGTAAAAGAGTAATAGAATACCAAAATGATAATACTACAAACACATCTAAAAGAAGAAACCAAAACTTGCATACCCACTAAAGTAATAAAGAGTCTTAGAAACCTTATCGCCAAAAATAAACTTAAAGCAGAAAATGTGAGTTTTTATCATTAGGTTAGCACATAGGGTAATATGTAGGTACTTATATACATATGCGGAAAATTTCTAACCTTGAACCATTGTAGTTCTCTCTGCATCTGTAAAGCCGCACCTCGAATATGATTAATCTGTGTGTGCTGAGAAAAATTTCCCACCAAATGCAGCACATTATTATTTTCACAATTATCTTTTTTACCTAGTATTTCTTGTTGGTCATGTTTATCAAACTTATATATGAGGCTAAAAGTTTTTTCTTGACGGTGCTCAACGGCAAGTTGAAACACGGTGCTTTCTAGGTGTTAAAATTTTGATGTCGTTAACAATAACCAAATGGCACTCCTGACAACGTACGTGTGCAAATGAGGCAAATGAGATGCCTTTGATTAGCTTGATCGCCTTCTAGTTTTTGAGCATTAGTACGACCATCATTAAAGGCATCGATAGTAGGTTCTTTTTCAGTATCGATAGTAGGAGTAGGTGGTACATGCATACCTATTAAGATAAAAACACGACACTCTTATGAAGTTTTGAAGTAGAACAAATTTGGATACTTTGGGAACAATAATCATGTCAGAGTCAATATATGTCTTTTGATCTATTAGAGTTTGTTTTTCTTCGGTTTAGTGTATTATTGCAATGATCCCACAATCACAGAAGTCTAAAGAAATTTGTTTGGGTTACTTAAGAAAAAAAAACACATATAGATATGCCAGTAAAACAAGAGTGGAGAAAAAAAGAATATAGACCTTCCTATAAAAGAAGTGGAAGAGCTGATAAGAGAGTAAATCTTATTAGAAAACGTAAGAAAGAATTTGAGCTTTCTTATTACTAACCGTCATAAATCCATCGCTCCCAGAATTTGAGCTTGCTTGCACTTAAGAAAATAGAAGGCATACCAGCCAAAAGCGAAAAAGGGCTTACTTTAGATTTGTTTTCAGTAAAAGCCGCTTTTGGATGGCGTTGAACTAAATCCAAAAGAATATCTGTATAGCGAAGTGAAAATAAAACAATATAATTATGCGGAAAAAGATTTGTAAAAAATAATAAATTGTACAGGAACATGTTGAAGTCACCGCTAGTAATTAATTATTTAATAATTGCTTTGGTTTTGGGTAAAGAGGAGAGCTTAAGTGCAGCACAAACACAAGGTTATTTATACCTACCAAATCGGCTTTTCACCACACACGCAGACATAACTACACCGGCATAGGCATGGTCCTCCAGAGTTTCCAGTGGAGAGGCAGAATAGAGATATTGAGACATTGCTACCCTTCCTTCTATAGTCGCCAAGACAAATGGAATTGCAATTTCATCATTGTTAAAACGAATGCTAAGTAATTTCTTGTTCTTTTCAACCATGCACTTAACTATTTCATGGGAATCTCCTCGATGTAATACAGCTAAATGTAGAGCTGCTCCACCAATAGAGTCTAGTATTTCTAAGTCTTCCTCGCTCATTAGCTGCACCAACTCTTTTGCAATTTCAAACCTCCCGTTTGAGACTACGAAGTGAAGAGCTGTCATTGTCGAATTGTTCAAAGGTCGCATTTAGTTTCTCAGGATGTTGCCTAAGATACTCCATGGCAGCATCCCAATCATTGTCTAACAAAGTTTGGAAGAAAGGCATGTACAAGTCATTGGCATCGCCTTCAAGTCCTACGAAAGTTTACGATTTAGTATTACAGAACATTTTGATTTGAATTTAACATATGTGTTAAACTATGATTTAAAAAAAAAAAAAAAAAAAAAAAAAAAAGAAACAAATCAAAAAAATAGTAGTGTTTTTTTACTAATATTGACTAGAAGTCTCTATGAGAATTAAGACACAATACCTTCAACTCGAACTTCGATTGTAGAGTCTTCCTCCACACCAGCATCACCACTGATTAGGGTGTGGTTGGTGTGAAGTTCAGATTCCTCATCTGAAAAGTGGAATGCTTGATGTTAACATTTACGAAATTTTTGTGATTTCTGATATATGAAAGTCTATATTTATTTATTTTATTTTTGTACAAACGATATTGGAGGAGGGGAATTGAACATAAAATCTTGGATCCATGGATAAATGCTATTAATTACTACTTGAGCTACTATCCTCCTTCCTTTTAGAAAGAAACTTAACATGTCTTTTTATCTATCAATACATCCCTAATCCAGTTTGGTTCTTCAAATCACGGTACTAACTGATCCTACAGGCTTGCAGTAATTTGAGCTTCTTTTTTTTATTCCTTATAATACTGAAAATATGTACGTACGTACCTGTGGTTTTTGATGCTTCAGCTGGCTTCAACTTTGTTGCCAAAGTATTCCAGGCAACGTTGGCCACGTAGATGCCCCGAATTAAAGAATGAGTATTGTTGATGCTCTTTTTCGGAGAGGGTCAACTTAGAGGAAAAAGGGGTTTGCCTTCAGCAGGGAAAGGGTCTGGGCCTTCAATAAAGGCTAGCCTGCAGAAGACAAAAATAGGGGAAGCAGTCGTCAAGCTCCGGGCACCGGTGTGGTGCTGGCCGAAGGCTCTCCGATGCTTAAGTCAGCTAAGAATGGTAACTTTTGCAGAGTAATAGTAAAAGGCAGAAAAGTAGTTAGCCTCTTACTAGGGTACTGTTCCCTTTTTATAGGGAAGTGAAAGTGGGAGGTTGGTGTAGATTTCCGATGTGGGACTCTGTGCAGGTTGCCGCGGTGGTGACACGTGTCATGAGAATTAGGTTTAACAGTTTGTGAGCTTTGGCAGTCGGGAGTTTCGGCAGGTGCTCGGCACCTCGGAAGAGTGTCTTCCTTCGGCAAGAGAGAAGGCGTGTCTGCCTTGGTGCTAGTTGTTTTGAGACTGGATATGCTCGGTTGATTATGGTGTAAACAGTAGTCCCCCAAGTTCGCGGTCAAGAAGTGACTTCTGGGTTGGGAACTTGTAAGCTTTTGTGTGATCATGACCGAGCATTCCAGGTTCAGTGGGAGCCGTAGGGCAGTCCCTAGTCCCCCAAGTTGTCAAGCTAGAAGTGGCGTTAACACTTGGAAGGTATAAGAAAAGCTGTGTTAGCCTTAGTGTTTGTTGGTAGCTGGGTACCTTTAAAAGAAAAGTAGACTTGGGTTTTTGAAGCTTCAGTAAGAGAATTAGTGGGCCTAGTGTGTATGACCCGGGTCCTTCACTTGATAACCAAAGGGATAGGTGGTGAGGAAATAGGGATTTGGGCCACAAATTTACAGCAAAAGAAAACCCAAAAAGGGGCCTTGGAATTTTTAAGAGAAAAAGCCGGGCTTTTTGTTGGTCAAGGTTGGGCTTTGGAATTTAGGCAGCAAGGCTCTAGTGGGCTTTGGCAAGGGAGAACCACATGAACCTCCCTAAAAAAATGAATGCTCCTTTTGCAAAAGTCCCAACCGTTTTTATTTTTTTATTTTTTTATTTTTAATTTTTTTTAAGGGACCTTGTGAGCTGAGACTTGTGGAGCTTGGTTGCCGAGGCAAAAGAAAGTGGTTTCGATGTGAGCAGTAGCCGGGGCATGGGCCCACAGATTCCTTTTTTTGCAAGGGGAGTGAGTTGGGACCATTTGGGTAGGCTGGGCCTTCGGCAAGGTCCTTGTTTTGGGCAAGGACCCGGGTATGTGGCCAGGGTTTTTTTTTAGTGGTGACCTGCTGTGTGAGCCTTAGAGAGTGCCCCTAAGAGTGCCCAAACGCTTGCAGCCTCCATATGTTTGAATGCTCCTTGCCGTTCGGCAAGGAGTCAACAAGACCTGAGGCTTGGCTCGAGATGTATGTGTCTTGGCCAAAACAAGGGGCTGGGTTCCTGGGCCTAGGGTTAGAAATAGGGGGGGCAATAAATAAGGTTTTTCAACACCTGCCGTTCGGCAATAGTAGCTGGGACCATTTTCAGAAAAACAACGAAAAAAAACCAAAGTGGAGCTGGAGTGTTCAGACCTTCGGCAAGGAGGTGAAGTGGAGCTGGGTCTGTGGCAACAGAGCCAAGTCCCTTATTTTCGCAGCTTCGGTAGTCTTGAGCTAGGCATTCAGACTGTCGGCAGGTTCCTTCAAAGTAGTTTCGAAAATTCCTAGTGTCGGGACTCTAGATTGGGAGGAGCAAGAGTTGGGACTGATGAGAAGAGGAGAATGGGCCGAGCCTGAATGAGCCTTCGGCCCTGTGGTGAGAGTTCGTGCTTGGGTCGGGGAGTTGCCCGGATGTGTTTTGGTCAACCCTTGCCGAACGGCAAGAGGTGACTGGAGTTTTTAGAGGCCTCCTGTTGGAACTGAACGGGGCTTGCCGTTCGGTAGCTCGAGATTCTTCTGCGGCACTGATTCGGCAAGGAGGCTGGGCTCGAGACATCTGCGAGCAGGAAGGGTTTCAGACTGCTGGTGTCGTTCGGTAAGTTTGGGGTTGGAGCTGGGCAGATCGGGTGTCTCCCTTTCCGTCCGAACGGTGCTTGAGTAAATCGGAGCTGGGAGTGAGGGTGCAGAGACCTAAGGGGCTAGCCACCTGAGTTGATTACCGTGAGTTTGAGCAAGAGCTGGGCTGTTGGGGCAGATTTGGCTAGCGGGTGCCTTGAGCAGTTTTGGAGGTGAGTTTTTTTTTTTTTTTTTTTTCTTTGAGGTCTCCATTTTGTTGCTACATAACCCTTGCCGTTCGGCAAGGGTGCTTGTAAATGTTTTTGTTTTGAATGGTTGTAGTTGTGTGTAGCTAGCTTCCTTGTAGCTGGGTATCAAGATTTGGAGCCTGGATTTGGAGGTTGCAGATCTTGACAAGAAGGTACTTCGTGAGCCCCTCAATTTGTCTCTGGGATATTTCCAGCTTTCGGCAAGGTGGAAGCTAGGTGAGCTTAGCATTTTAGTTTGAGCTGGGCTGTTTGGGCAGAGTCGGCAAGTGGGTGTCTTGAGCAGTGTCGGGTTTTGGCAAGGGGTTTGGATCCTTGGGTCTTGGTGAGCGTAGCTGTGTCGGTGAGCCGAGAATTGGAGCCGGGTAGGCAGTCTTGACACCTTGAGAATTTCATGAGTCCCTATTTGGATTTTTCATGGTCCTTGCCGTTCGGCAAGTGTAGGACCTAGGACTTTCTTTTGTGTGTTTTTATTTTTTTTTTTTTTTTATAACCTTTTGGCAGGTCTTGAGTATTGGCCAATGAGCTGAAGAGCTGGGTCATTTGGAGCTAGGCCTTCGGCAAGGCTGGGCTTTGGGAGCTGGGCTATCCGTAGCTGGGGTCCTTGGCAGAGCTGATCTGGAACAAATTGGGGCTGGGACATTGCAAAAGTAGGCGGAGCTGGGCTTTCCTTGTGACCTGGGTGTCTAGATCAAATTTCTGAGGTAAGTGCTGCCATTTGTGGAGGCCTCCATTTTATTGCTGCCCATCCCTTACCGTTTGGCAAGGGTGTTCGTAAATTTTCGCTGGCTAACCCGATTAGAGCTGGGTCTTTCGGGGTTTGGAGCTGGCCCAAATTGTAGCTATTTGGTTGGGCAAATTTGGGTGGATGTGGGGGTTGGGCCCGTGACTTTGGGCCTGGACTAGGACCAGTTTGGGCTTTTATATGAATTTAAATGTAGGAAAGCTGGGCCTTTATATTTAGAACTGGGTTTTGGGCTTGGCCTTTATCCAAGGCAATTTTGGGCCTGGCCTTGTACTGGGCTTGGGCTTTTGGTAGGTGAGGAGTTGAGTTATCCATGATCTAGGCCAATCGGGTGATATATGTGGAGAAATTCCTTGGAGCCGAGTCATTTGAGGTTGGGCCAATTTGGCAAGGCTTGGTGATTTGAGGCTGGGCAAAAATTGAATTGTGAGGCCACCTATTTTGCATTTCCATGGGCCTTGCCGTTCGGCAAGGTCCCTTCAGCTTCCTCCTTCGTTTTTTTTTGACTAATTTGAAATTAAAAATGCTGTGTAGGTACTCTTGTAACCCTAGGGCCTAGGGGTTTGGGAGGGAAGGTGAAAGGTTGCTAGGGTTTCTCTTGTAACCCTAGGGCCTTATAAATAGGAACTTGGAACTTGGAGTGACGTAGGCATCAAACTTGGAGATTTTGTGAGAAAGATTGTCAGAAAGTGAGAAGGAGAGAAAGATTACTGGTGAGATTTTGGTGGTGGTGCAAACAAGGTTAGACCTCATTTCCCTTGAATTCTCGAAATGAAATTCAACTTTTTGTATGAACATGTTAAAGAGTATGATGAACACCTTGAGCATGAGTATGAACATGTTGAATGTATGCATCTAGATCAAAAAGCATGTAGAGGCTGTCCAATTTTGTGTTTTTGTGCTTAGATCCTCTTTGCATGTGCATTAGTTCCTTTTTCTTGTTTCTGCATGTTGTAGATGTCTGAGAGTGAAGAGGCCAGTGAGTATGTTTGTTCTGAAGAGGAGAGTTCCCAGACAGATAGTTTTGTAGAAGGGCTTATAGAAGCTAGGATGGGAGTGCATGAGGGTGAGATGGCTGGGCCATCAGTAGAGTCTGGGTCAGAGGCATATAGGAAGATGCAGAAGAAGTATAAAGTGTTAGAAGCCATGTTGATCGGGTTCTAGCCTTGGCACATACACCGGAGGTGGGCTCGAGCAATCAGACATCACCATCAGAGTCTGTGGGTATAGCCATGGTTTCAGCTTCAGAGGGGGTGGACATCCGGGTTGGTGTCCCGTTGGGAAATCGGAATACACTCACAGAAGCCAAGTTGGTTGAGCTTCGGACAGATTATAGTGTGCCATCCTATGTGGGCCTGAGGTTACCTAGTGCGCGGATGTAGTGAGATATCCTCCGGAGGGTTCAGTGATGATATTCACCGATATGTACCAGCATGGTCTCAGGCTACCGTTTCATCCTTGGGTACAGATGATGCTGGCCAAGTTGGGGTATGCGCCGGGGCAATACAATCCCAACTTTTGGCTACTTCTGCATGGAGTTTACATTGCTTGGTGGTTGGTTGGGTTGGGGGAGCCAACATTTGAGCAGTTTATGTACTTGTATTCGATCTCCAAGCAACAGGGGACCTTTGGCTGGGTACAAGCCAATTGCCGGAAGGCAAAGGAGAGAGGTTACTTTATTGGGCATAAGCCGAGTACGCAGAAGTCTTGGCGGAACAGGTGGTGCTTGGCCTATGGTGATTGGGAGTGTCCTCCAGGGAAGACCGTCTCCAGACATATTCCAACCCACTTCCAGTCGATAGGTCCTTAGCCCCATCCTTTAAGACTAGTTGTGTTGTAGTGTTTTGACGCTTGGGTCTTTATTTATGTTTTATTGTTTTGCTTGTGCAAGCATAAATGGCTAAGTTGATATCTGAACTGTGGTGCAGGTTCGGTGAAGTGGGGACCGATCTCCAAGGAGCGAGAAGACGAGGTTGAGAGAGTGAGGTCACTGTTGTCGGAGACCCAGCGTGAGCGTAGAAACTTAGTCACCCAGAAGAACCTGTACGAGTCCGGACTCTTGCAAGGGAGTAAGTACCTGGGTCACTGTTGTTGTTTGTCTTATGATTCATTTTGTAGTTGAAACTGACTTGGCTTTTGATGTGCAGTGGCAGGGATCATAAGGGGGAGCACGAAGGTGGCCATGGATCTGGATGATCCCGAGATGCAGAAACGGCTGAGGGAGTCTCGGGCCAAGAAGGCCGAGAAGGGAGGTGCCCAACAGGCTGCTGGGAGGCGTTCCAGAGATGAGGAGGGCCTAGTCTCTGATGTGCTGGGAAAGAAGAGAGCGCTGGAGGAAGCTCACCGGAGCGTGATGGGGACAGGGCCGAGGCTTCCTCCCTTTGACCCGCAGGCGCCGCCGAAGCTCCCCTTTGGTATGGATGATGTTTACGCCGAGGGGGTAGAGAAGGTGGACTTCTCTGGACTGCGTCGGCAGAAGAAGGAGGTGAACTTGGCCATGCATCGGCAGGAGGTTCCCTTGGTGAACGTCTTCCTGGAAGGCGTGAAGAGTGACCCAGAGGTTCTGGCGAGGACCCCGGCTACCTCCTATGCAGATCGGGCCCAGAAGACGCTCCTGACCCAGGCCTATGTAAGTTGGCTTGCCTTAAGACTTTGCTCATATAATTCGAATTTGCCTTGAACTGATAATGTTGTGTGTTGCAGGCTTATGGTGAGATGTACGTGAATATGGCCAAGGCCGATAAAGAGATCCAGAGGTTGAAGAGGCGCAATGAGATGGCCAAGGATAAGGTAGCGGAGGCGCAGGAGGCCATCCGAGAGAAGAACACCCTGGTGCTGCAGAAAGCGGCGATGGCCAAGGAGATGGAAGAGCTGAAGCGGTCGAGGGCCGAGGAGGTAGCTGCTGCCCGGGTCGAAGCGATCGAGTCGTTTCGGGGTTCGGATGAGCTGAGGAACTACATCATGGATCAGATGGTGGCGATGCAGCTGGGTTGGGAGGAGAGGGTGGCGATGTTCAACCCTTCAGTGGAGATTAACTTTGACACGAGTGGCGAGCCTCCCTCATCTAGTCGTACCACTGATGTCGTTCCAGAGCCAGAGCCAGAGCCAGCCATTACGGATGCTCCATCGACTGAGTCCTGAAGGCGTTGCCTTCTTTATGTATTCTAGCTTTTTAGTTTAAACACTTGATGTTTATTTTGATTATGTATGAACATTTTGCCTTGCCTGGGGCAAGGTTACTTTGATGTGCTATGATATGAGACTTGTTGTCATTTGATATCAATTGTGCTTAGCAAAATGAGAACCATGTGATTGATGAAAATGAGCCAGGGTCGGGCGTTCATTAAATATGTGCCGGAAGGCAAAAAGTACAAGAGTTGGTTGAGTCAAGGCTCGAGACCAAAGTATAAGAAAACATAATAGCCTAGAGTCTAGGTATGTTTACTTATAGTAGTACTTGAGGTGATCAGCATTCCAAGGATGAGGCAAGGTCTTGCCCTTGGTGTCACGAAGCTGATAAGTGCCGGGGCGGCAGACTTTGGTAACCTCATAAGGACCTTCCCATGTTGGGCCCAAGGTACCTTCAGTGGGATTCTTGGTGGCCAAGGAAACCTTGCGCATGACCCAGTCCCCAAGTTTGAAAGCACGGGCTTTGACTCGGGAGTCGTAGTACTTAGCGATGCGCTGTTTGTACGCGACATTGCGCATGTTGGATTGGTCACGAAGCTCGTCAATGAAGTCGAGGTTCAGGGCTAGCTGCTCGTCATTGGCCTCGGCCTCATAGGTGGAGGTGCGGTATGTGGGCTGGCCAATCTCCACTGGTGCCACTGCTTCGGTACCAAAGGAGAGAGAGAAAGGTGTTTCTCCTGTTGAGGTCCGGAAGGTGGTGCGATAAGACCAGAGAACCTCTGGGAGTAGCTCCGGCCAGCAACCTTTAGCTTTGTCAAGCTTAGTTTTTAGAGTTTTCTTGATGATCTTGTTCACAGCTTCCACCTGGCCATTAGATTGAGGATGGGCTGGGGAGGCGAAGCAAAGCTTTATCTTGAGGTTGGAACAAAATTGCTTGAACTTTGCGTTGTCAAATTGCCGGCCATTGTCTGTGACGATGGTGTTGGGGATGCCAAAGCGACAGACGATGTTTTGCCAAACAAAAGTTTCAATGCGGGCTGCAGTGATGGTGGCTAAGGCCTCAGCTTCAACCCACTTGGTGAAGTAGTCCACAGCTACAACTGCATACTTGACTTGGCCCTTGCCCTCAGGCATAGGTCCAATGAGGTCAAGTCCCCATTGGGCGAATGGCCAAGGACTGACCATGGCTGTCAATGGCTCAGCTGGAAGTTGTGGGATGTTGGCAAATCGCTGACACTTATCGCACTTCTGGGTGAAGGTCTGGGCATCAGTGTGAAGTGATGGCCAAAAGTATCCCTGCCGAATGATCTTGTGTGCTAGGGAGCGAGCGCCAGAGTGGTTGCCACAGATACCCTCATGAATCTCTCTCAGGACATAGGTACCTTCCTCTGGGGTCAAGCACCGAAGGTAGGGGAGGCTGAAGCCGCGCTTGTATAGGGCACCATTGATGATCAAGTATCGGGCGGAACGATAGCGAACACGCCGCGCTTCAGCAGGATCAGCAGGTAGTGTCTGGTTCTGCAAGAACTGAGTGATGGGGTCCATCCATGTAGGGCTTTGATCGATGACACAAATGAGTGGTGCCCGTGTACTGGGCTGGTCCAAGAACTCGATGTGGATGTTTCGACCTATGCCCTGCTCCATCGCCGAGGCTAGCCTTGCTAATGCATCAGCATGGCTGTTCTCAGAGCGTGGCACCTGGCCTATGAGATAAGCATTGAAAGTTGTAAGCAGGTGGCGGGTATGTTGGAGGTAGGCTGTCATGGAGATGTCCTTGGCCGTGAAGTCCTGGTTGACTTGGTGGACAACAAGCTGCGAGTCGCTGAATATTTGGATTTGCTTGGCGCCCATCTCCTTGGCTAGGCGAAGGCCGGCTAAGAGTGCTTCGTATTCGGCCTCATTGTTGGAGGCGTGGAATTTGAAGCGGAGGGCGTACTCAAGGGCAACCTTGTCTGGGGATATGAGAACGAGGCCAGCTCCACATCCCTGGGCATTGGAAGAGCCATCCACATACAAGGTCCACAAGGGCTGAGTTAAGTCTAGGGAGCCGTTTGCTGGCGACATGGACCTGGTTCGAGGTAGGAGTAGGCGTGATTGCAATCTGAGGACTGGCCAGAGTATGGGGTTCGGTGAATTCAGATATGAAATCAGCCACGGCTTGGCCCTTTGCGGCTTGGCGGGGTTTGTAGTGGATATCAAACTCACCAAGTTCAATGGCCCACTTGACTAACCTCCCAGAAGTCTCTGGCTTCTGCAACACTTGCCTGAGTGGTTGGTTGGTTAGGACATGGATGGTGTGAGCTTGAAAGTATGGCCGGAGGCGTCTAGCCGAAACCACCAGGGCGAAAGCAAGTTTCTCAATGTCTGGGTATCGAATCTCCGCATCTTGCAATCCTTTGCTCACATAGTGCACCGGATGCTCAGCACCTTCATGTGGTCGAATGAGCACTGAGCTAACCGCTGTAGCCGAGACAGAGAGGTAGATGGTGAGGACGTCCCCAGACTCAGGGGTTGACAATAAAGGGGCTCGGCTCATGTATGCCTTGAGCTCGCCGAATGCCTGGTCACATTCTGCAGTCCAGGTGATGTTGCGCTTGCTACCCTTAAGTGCCTTGAAGAATGGGGCGCAACGATCAGTGGCCTTAGAGATAAATCTGGTCAGGGCTGCGACACGCCCGGTAAGGCTCTGAATGTCCTTGACCGTCTTGGGTATCGTCATGTCCAAAATAGCCTGGATCTTCTCTGGGTTGGCCTCAATACCTCTTTGGCTGATCATGAAGCCAAGGAATTTGCCGGAGGCCACCCCAAATGCACACTTGGTGGGGTTGAGCCGCATCCTATACTGCTTCAAAATGGTGAACGTGGCAGAGAGGTTGGGGATGTGCTGGTCAGCAGTGCGACTCTTGACCAGCATGTCATCAACATAAACCTCCATGGTGTTGCCAATGAGTGGAGCGAAGATGCTGTTCACCAGACGCTGATATGTAGCCCCGGCGTTCTTGAGGCCGAATGGGCATGACTTTGTAGCAGTAAAGGCCACGGTCGGTGATGAAGGATGTATGAGCTTGGTCCTCAGGATGCATGAAGATCTGGTTGTACCCTGAGTAAGCATCCATGAAGCTGAGGAGGGCTTGGCCAGCTGTGGCGTCAACTAGCTGGTCAATGCGGGGTAGGGGGAAACTATCCTTTGGGCAGGCCCGGTTGAGATTTGTGTAGTCTACGCACATGCGCCAACCCTTCTTTAGTTTACGTACCATTACCACATTGGCTAGCCAGGTGGGATAATCCACCTCCTTGATGAAACCAATGGTGCTCAGCTTATCCACCTCCGCCTTCATGGCCTCATACCGCTCTGGGTCATAAGCACGACGCTTCTGCCGAACGGGTCGGACGACAGGATTAATGCTTAGCCTATGGGAGATGACGTCAGGTGATATGCCCGGCATGTCGTTGTAAGACCAAGCAAAGACTTCAGAGTTGAGGCGGAGGAAGGCAATAAGATCAGAGCGAAGCTCTTGGGAGAGGGAGGTGCCGATCCTGACCTGTCGATCCGGGATATCCTCATGGAGAGTGACCAGTTCAAGGTCCTCCACAGGTTCGGCCTGTTGGGTGGCAGATTCCTCCCTGGGGTCCTCTGGGCGCTCAGTGCCAGCTCGAGGTGGGGCTAGGGCCTGGGTTACTGCTAGGGCCTCACCCCTATGTTGGCGATTAGTAGACTTTACTGCTGAAGCATAGCAGCTTCGGGCGCCCAGTTGATCACCGCGCGCAGTGCCCGTGCCATAGGGGGTAGGAAATTTCAACAGTAACATATGTGTGGAAATGAAAACCTTCATCTGGGCCATGGCAGGGCGTCCCAGGATAACGTTGTAGGCTGTGGGGCAGTCAATGATGAGGAAGGGAGTGGTGACCGTCGTTCGCTGGGGAGCTGCTCCAATAGAGATAGGGAGATGAATGCTCCCAATAGGCTGGACCACATCACCCGAAAAGCTCACCAGGGGTGTGACGCTTCGGTCGAGCAAATGAGATGGGACCTGGAGCTCATTGAAGGCATCAGCAAACATCACACTGACTGAGCTGCCAGTGTCTACCAATATGCGCCCAACGTCAAAGTTAGATATGTCGGCGCGGATAATGATTGGGTCATCATGAGGGAGGATAACGCCGCGCTCCTCCTCCTCGCAGAAGGTAATGGGGGCCCAGCCTGTTTTTTGTGTCTTCGGCAAGCGTCCCTGCTCAGTACTGAAGACCTGGTGCGCATAAGTAGAGCGGACATAATGTTTGATGGAGTTGTTGGAGGTGCCAGCCATGGTTGGGCCACCGCTGATGGTTGAGATCATGTTGATCTGCCGTTGGTGAGGGTTAGGTGGGAGGTTGTGCACGTATTTATCCAGCTTCCCCTCGCGAATAAGTCCCTCAATGATGTTGCGCAAGGCAACACAAGATTCGGTATCATGGCCACCGAACTGATGAAAGCGACAGAAGACTCCTGTGTTAGGCATAGGCTTGCTGCCTGGTTTCCGGGGTGGAGGCTGAGGTATGATAGGTGCCTCGTGCACTAGGACATTCTCATAGGTAGTGTTGAGGGTGGTGAAGACCTCGAACCTGGGTTTGGGTGAGAATGGGAGTGGGGCCCGGTCATTTGTCCTGGGGGGGTTGCTTCCACTAGACTGGTGGTGGTTCCCATGTCTGCCCCGCTTGTTATTGTTGAAGGTATGCTGGTAGCTATCCTTCCTCTTGGGGTGTTGGGCACCCTGGGTGCTTGGTGCAGGGGCAGAATGTTGGGGTGGAGCTGGGATGGGTACCGAAGCAGGTGGAGGATCAGCAAAAGGATTATGCGCCGGGGATGGCTGGGCTGCGCTTGGAGTTGAAGTACTCAGCCTTGGCATGAACTGCTGCCTGCTTCATCAGCTCGGCATATGTGTTCCAAGGGTTGCTGTGGACCAGGTACCGGAAGTTAGACTCTCGGAGGCCACTCTTGAAAGCACCGAAGGCGGCACGATCATCAGTATCTGGGCAGCGGGAGTATTCGTGGCTGAACCTGGCTGCATACTCCCGAAGGGGCTCATCCTCACCCTGTCTAAGCATGTATAGGTCGTCCGCGGAGTAGAGGCGATCGGTCTGGATCATGAAATGGTCCAGGAAAGGCCTGTTTCAGACTGTCAAATGTATTGATAGTGCGGGGGTTCAGCCTGTAAAACCAGTTCAGGGCCGCGCCACTGAGAGTGGAAGGGAAGAGGAGACACATGCCTTCGTCAGTGAGGCCCTTGCACCCCAGGGCAGACTGGAAAGAATGTATGTGGGTGAGAGGATCCTCTGTGCCAGTGTAGAAGGCGATGCGGAGTGGCTGGATGTCCTTCTCCTGGTGGTAATTAAGGATGCGTTCGGTAAAGGGCCCAGGTCGTGGCTTTGCCCAGAGAGGTTGGTGGTTGCGCTGATGTTCGCTCTCCAGGCGCCGGACTTTCTCGAAGAGAAGCCTCATTGCCGGGTCGGTATGAGGGAGAGTCTCGGGTGCTGGGGGTCTGGTGTGTGGGTGGCCATGGGCTGGGTAGAATTCTTCGAACGCCTCGGTGTGATAAGACTCGTAGTCTTCTGAGTAACCCTGGCCCCCAGTTCTCTGAGTCCCCTATACCTTCTCCAAGGGGTAGTTGGGTAGGCTTTGGCGGGGGGCCCAGGTGTTTCATCTTTGGGTCTTGGAGATTAACAGAGATAAGATGGGGGTTCCGTTTGACGGTCCAGGATACGGTCCCTGCAATCCCTGTAGACCTTTGTTGGTTCATGAGGGCCGGTTCCTGGTGGGGAGATGCGGAGAAGCCGCGACTTGGTCGTTTCCGGATAGAGGGGGCCTTTACCCTTGCTGGGCTTAGGCTGGGTTGGGACATTGTGGTGGGAGTGCTCCGGCTGGTTTGGCTGTGTACGCTCAGGTACCTGGGTAGGGCCGTGTTGGGAGCCTTGGGTCTGATTCATCTCCCAGTTACGCTTCAGTGTGCGGTAGTCATGCTCGAGCTCGACGTTCTTAGCATGAAGATTGTCATATTTCTCAGACATCTTGGTGACACTGGCGCGGAGGCTCTCCAGTTCTGCCTGGAGATTGGCATCTGCTGAAGGTCTTCTCTGGGAGGTACCCCCATGGGGGATATGGTGCTGAGTCCCCTGGCTATCCTCAGTAGGCATAGCTGAGTGTGGAGTGAAGAAGAGGCGACGGGGCCGGATAGGAGAAGGAGCCAGCTGGGCTGGTAGAGAAAAAATGGGATTCAAGTATCGTTTCCCACAGACGGCGCCAAACTGTTGATGCTCTTTTTCGGAGAGGGTCAACTTAGAGAAAAAGGGGTTTGCCTTCAGCAGGGAAAGGGTCTGGGCCTTCAATAAAGGCTAGCCTGCAGAAGACAAAAATAGGGGAAGCAGTCGTCAAGCTCCGGGCACCGGTGTGGTGCCGGCCGAAGGCTCTCCGATGCTTAAGTCAGCTAAGAATGGTAACTTTTGCAGAGTAATAGTAAAAGGCAGAAAAGTAGTTACCCTCTTACTAGGGTACTGTTCCCTTTTTATAGGGAAGTGAAAGTGGGAGGTTGGTGTAGATTTCCGATGTGGGACTCTGTGCAGGTTGCCGCGGTGGTGACACGTGTCATGAGAATTAGGTTTAACAGTTTGTGAGCTTTGGCAGTCGGGAGTTTCGGCAGGTGCTCGGCACCTCGGAAGAGTGTCTTCCTTCGGCAAGAGAGAAGGCGTGTCTGCCTTGGTGCTAGTTGTTTTGAGACTGGATATGCTCGGTTGATTATGGTGTAAACAAGTATCATCCCCACAAGAACTCTGAATTCCATGTAAAGCCTTGGCATTAAGTTTGCTCCAAACCTTAAATTCAGCGTCTCGTCTTGGAGGTTGATTGGTGTCATTGACAAAGTCCCAAAGATCTTCAGCCAACAAGTAGATTTGCATCCGGAAGCTCCAATCTTCGTAGTTATCATGGTTAAGAAGTTTCAGATTAGCAATTACACCAGGGGCAGCTGTAGCTTCCATGTTCGATCTGTCAATTTATCCCATGTGAGTTTTATGTCAATCGAGCATATCATATGTGAAAACAAGCAAGGAAACAAAAATGAAACAAATTAAGTGTAACTATGCTCTCACAGGTTGGATTGGGGCAATCTTCAAAATTAAGCTGCTGCTAGAGCTAGCTTGAAATTCCCAGGATGTCCACATAGGGTACCCCCAACGTCTGATTTATATAACTAAAAATTTATACATGATTATTTATAATAACAAATTATCAGCAATTAAAAAAGACTTGGCAAAAGACCAAGATGATGCTCATTAGATCGTGGTCCCACTTAGTTTGGCACTATACTTAAAAGAACTAGTCACTCATGAAATTCTCTGCAAGCATTTATGAAGCCCGACCTAATATTTACCGATGTGGGACTCAATATGCTAGCACACCTTTGGAATTGTTACTTAGAGATTCTTTGAAATCTACAATTGTAAAGTCAGTATAAAAAAGGGGACGGCATCCTTTATAAATTCTAATTGATGTGGATAGTTCATCAACTGCCCCGTAAGATATATGGAATGGAGTGAGTGATGATATATTAATATTCTAAATTCAAATCTATCTGTGAAAAATATTTTAAACACATAGACAACAAATGTACAATTTTGTTTAGTCTTTTAATTTAAACTAGTTGTGATTAAAAAAATTGGGATAAATCAAAACGGGTTGTGACAAAAAAATAAAAGTCATTCATTATGCCAGGTCCTTCCATGCATTATTCTTGGCAGTGTATCAATTTTTTTTAATAAGGTGCATCATTTATTCTTTGAGTAGTGCTATCTTCCATCCATGATCTGACATAAAAATCAACGGTGCAATGAAACGTTAGTTTTACAAGTGGCTCAGATTAATAATTCAAAGTAATGCGAGATGTACCATAATTTGATATCACATGATGTAGTGTATTTTATAATTTAATTTTATTATCTATTTTAATTCATTAATTATCATAGTAATTCAAAAATCCATAAGTCTCACCATTGAAACCTACCCAATGAAGGAGGTCTGGGGATTTGGAGCAGGAGGCTTTGATTTGATGGGCTCCAGGAAGATGGTTGTGCGAGCGATCAGTAGACATGGTGGTTTTAGAGGGAGGTCAGGGAAGAGGATGTGTGGTGGCTGGGCGGTGGGTAGTGGTGTCTGCGAGGGGGGATGCTCTGTCAAATTTTGCTGTGCATGTGTTTTAAAATTGGATGCTCTCTTCCACTTAGGATTTCGTCAAAAATTTGCTTTACATCATATTTACCTTTCATATGTCATGAAACAGGGATGAATAAAAAGAGTACCTCCCTATCCTTGTCTAGCAGTGGAAGAATCCCAAAAGGTGCCATATCCTCCCAAAACATCTGATGTTGAAGCCGCATGCCTACCTGGGTCAAAGAATGCGCCACCTTACTGCCCACTTGTTAGAGTTTTGTGAAGAGATAATGGTGAATAGAATGAGAAGAAAAACGCAGAGAGAGGAAAGAGCAGGGAGAGAATCAAATCGAGTGTGTATTTCTCATTTCATGCTCTAGCGGAAAATAGAGCAAGCTCAGTATGAGCTATATGACCGTTAGAAAGAATAGCTGGATTCTCTTACATCACTGAAAATCACAGCCTTACATCCAAAACTGCTCTCTAGGAGCATTACACGTGGCTATCACAACTTTACATTACTAACGCCTAACACTTGTCAATTTTAGTGACTAAGTGAATACACCATTTAGCTTAATAGGCCTAATTACATTTCTATCAGCTCACTACTTACGTTTCAACACTCCCCTTTAAGTTGTGAGCTGATTTCACACCAAACTTTTCTCTGAGATAGCAGAAACGATCCTTAGCCAAAGCCTTTGTAAAGATATCTGCTAACTGCTCATTTGTAGGGCAATAATCAAGTCCACAATTCCTTCTTGCAAAGCATCTTTAATAAAATGATACCTCCGATCAATATGCTTGGTTTTTTTGGTGAAATACAGGGTTCTTTGTAATGGCAATAGCTGAAATGTTGTCATAATGTAGAGGTGTAGCTTCTGTTTGAAATTCTCCAAAGTCTTCTAGGACAAATCTCAACCAAATAGCTTGTGTTGTTGCTTCAGAGGCACTAATGTATTCCGCTTCTACTGTAGAGAGTGCAACACAATTTTGCTTGACTGAAGCCCAAGCAAACACTCCACTGCCAAAGGAAAAGGCATATCCAGAAGTGCTCTTGCTATCATCCACTGAACCACTCCAATCGCTGTCACAATAGCCAATTAGAACTGCCTCTTTTCCTTTCTCATACTCCAGACCATAACCCAAAGTTCCTTTTAAATATCTAAGAACACGTTTTGCTGTTCCAAGATGTTTGCTAGTGGGACAATGCATGAACCTTGCAAGCAAACTAGCTGCAAACATAATGTCAGGTCTAGTGGCTGTGAGATACAACAGACTTCCAACAATCCTTTTGTATTGCTCTTCACTTGCCAAGCCACTCCCATCATCCTTACTTAATTTCTTTGAGGTGACTAGTGGAATAGATACCGGCTTACACTCACTCAAGCCAAATATGCTTAACAGAGTTGTTGCATATTTCTTCTGATGAAGGAATATGCATGTTGGTGTTTGAATTACTCACATTCCTAAGAAGTGATGCAAAAGCCCCAAATCAGTCATTTCATATTTCTCCTTCATGTTCTTCTTGAATTCTTCTAACATTTCTTGATCATTTCCAGTGTAGACTATATCATCTACATAAATAGACACTATCAAGATGCTTGCTTCACTTCTAGTCTTGACATAAAGAGTAGCCTCACGTTGACTCTTTGTGAAACCACACTCAGCAAAATAACCATCAATTTCACTATACCAAGCTCTTGGCGCTTGTTTCAAGTCATATAGAGCTTTGTGCAGCTTGTAAACCTTGCTTTCACTCCCCTTCACCACAAATCCCTCCGGTTGATCTACATACACTTCTTCTTCTAAGATACCATTTAGAAAAGCTGACTTAACATCTAATTGATATAGCTTCCAACTCTTCTGTGCTACTAGTGCAATTAGAGTTCAGATTGTGTCTAATCTAGCCACTGGTGCTAATTTTTCATTGTAGTCTACCCATGGTTTCTGTGAGTATCCTTTAACCACCAGTCTTTCCTTATTCTTCTGCACTGAACCATCCATATTTAGCTTAGTTTTAAATACCCATTTAACTCCAATCACTGGTTTATCCATAGGTCTGTCAACAAGTTCCCACGTAGCATTCTTTTCTATCATGTTCAACTCATCTTTCATTGCCTTCATCCATGACTCATCCTTCACAGCTTCTTCAACTTCTCAGGCTCCATTATGCACAGATTGCATTGTGCTAAAATATCATCCAACTTCCTCCATTTCAATGGAGTATGATCAAAGTTCTGAATGTCTTCCATTCTACTGCTTGCTTTGCTTGATTCTTCATAGGAGACTGAGTCTCTAGATATGAAACCAGAATTCTGATTTCCTACAGGTGTTTCAAACGATTCTGCTTGAGAATTCCTAGGCTGCTCTTTATAGTTCACCATAACCACATAATTTTCAGTCACTTCCTTCCAATTCCAGGTTGCTCATTCATCAAATACAACATCTCTTGACAGTAGCAGTTTTCTAGTGACAGGATCAAACACTCTATAGCCATTCTCACATGTTGCTTATCCAACAACACTCCCCTTGTGCTTTTGGCATCCAATTTCTGTCTACCTTTATCTGGTTTATGCACAAAACACACACTGCCAAACACCTTCAAATGAGCAACACCTAGTTTTCTTGTACTATAAGCTTCAAACGGAGTCTTGTCTCTAAGAGACTTAGTAGGACACCTGTTCAAAATATACACTGCAGTGTGTACAGCTTCTGCCCACAAGTAATAGGGCAACTCCTCCTCATGTAGCATAGCCTTAGCCATCTTCACCACTGTCCTATTATTTCTTTCTACCACTCCATTCTGTTGGGGTGTGTAAGCCATGGAGAACTACCTTTGAATTCCTGCATCTTCACATAATTTATTGAATTCACTATATGTGAACTCACCCCCTCTATCACTTCTAACACATTTCACTTTGCAACCACTTTGCAACTCTACCATAGACTTGAATTTTTGAAAACAGTTTAGTGCATCAGATTTATATCTCAAGAAGTAGACCCAAGTCATCCTTGTACAATCGTCTATGAGCAACATAAAGTATTTATTACCTGCTAGGGACTCATTTTGCATTGGTCCACACAAGTCCATGTGTATTAGCTCAAGCCCAATGTCCAAATCTGTCACACTTATAGCACTTAGATTGGCCCTTATATCTACATTCTCCAAAATGAAATTTAGAGCAGACTTTGCATTGAGGCTTCACTCTATCTTGATGCACATATTGTGATCCATTTGAGTTCTATGCAGCACCAACTTGCTGTGGCTAGGTCTAGACTCCCATGGTTTGTTGTTAGACTTCCAATTTTTCTGAGACTTAGCAGAACCAGTTTGAGTACTATTCTTGTTCTGCCCTTGTGTATTGACTGAGAAAGAGCCAAATGCCTTCTCAGCTGTGTCCACATTATGCATGTAAAAACACTGCTCTTGGCTCTTCAATATTGCAATAACCTCCTGCAATTCAATAGTCTCCAAACTCTTTATATTTTCAATCACCAAGCAGATGGGGTCATACAATTTACTAAGAATGATTAACACTTTTGAACCAGCCTCTCGTTTGATAACACTTCTCCAAACGTTTTCATTTGATTTATCAATTCATTTAACCAAGTAAGATATGCTCAAATTCTCATATGAGATTCTGGAGTTTTACATATCTAACCTGATCACCACCGTGGTACTCACTATAGAGCAGATTCCATGCCATTTTAGATGAGTCGGTGTAGGCAATCCGAGGAAAGATCTTGTCAGAAATTGCGTTTTGTATAATGCCCAGAGCCTTCACGTCTTTCATGAGCACAACTATCATCTCTGCATCAACTTCTTCTTCCGATGACTCTTCAGCTTTCTTCGTCTTCTTCGAATCAGGGGTTGGAATCCCCTTTTCTACAAGACTCCATAACCCAAGAGATTTGAAGATCGTTACCATCTTAATCCTCCAGAACTCGTAGTTCTCACCGGAGAAAATTGGAGTCCTCACCTCCGAGCCTCCAGACCCAGACATCTTTTGGTCTGAATCAACCAATTTTCTCTTCTCAGATGCTTAGCTGAGCTTCGATTGAGCTCAGTGACCTCACAGACTACGCCCAGATCTAAATGATCCAACCTGACTCTGAGGCCATGTTAGAGTTTTGTGAAGAGATAGTGGTGAATAGAATGAGAAGATAGCTGGATTCTCTTACATCAGTGTGAGCTATATGACCGTTAGAAAGAATAGTTGGATTCTCTTACATCACTGAGAATCACAGCCTTACATCCAAAACTGCTCTCTAGGAGCATTACACGTGGCTATCACAACTTTACATTACTAACGCCTAACACTTGTCAATTTTAGTGACTAAGTGAATACACCATTTAGCTTAATAGGCCTAATTACATTTCTATCAGCTCACTACTTACATTTCAACACCACTCGGGGTTGGAACAAAACATCCACAATATGCAACTGTGCTATAAGAAATTAACATGCTTAACTAGACGGTCAAGAGATGCCACCAGGGATACTTTGGGAATTCAGAATATGGGCAAACGAAAGGACTTGGTTTTGTCCGCGTGGTCGTGTCGTCGAATGGGCAGGTGGTGCCAAAGCAAGTCAATGACGGAGAGGCCCAAGGCGCCAGCGGGGGACAAGACAAGTTGTTGAATACCCAACTGAGTAGCGAGGTGATGGGTCCAGCCCAATTATAGGTAGGACATGATGGCGACAAGAGGGTTAGAATGGGAGTTGAACCAGCGGAGGAGAGGATCGTGGAGTTGGCCCAAGGCGCACATCTTGGGCTTGAAGGAGTGAGCGGGCAAGTCCTGGATGTTCTCGAAGCCGGCGGGGATGGAGGGGTGGCCGGGGAGAGGGAGGACTAGGGCTTGGATGGAATTAGGGTAGTTGTGGGTGGACAGGAGAGGTTGGAGGAGAGGGAGGTTTTGAGGGGTGACAAGAATGGTGTCGTCTCTGCCTCTCTATTACGGGTAGGCGTCAGGAATCTAGATTGAGACTTTCTTGGGGGTGAGTTTATGGTGTTTGAAGAATCCAAGCTTTCAACTTATATCAAGAGCAAAACCCGAAGGAGGCTTGTCCTTCCGAGGATTCTGATGCAGTAGCATAGACACTTCATACAGCGCTCCCTTTGTCACATCTGGTTTTCCAGATATCTGTAATTTTTGTTGAAAGTTAATATGGGTGCCAAAAATAAACAACAAAAATTCATGAAATTTTAATCTAAGCATTTTCAGAGATTAAAAGTTATTTTAATCTAAGTATGTTCAGATATTAAAAGTGACCAACCTCCAAAATCATATACTTGTAAACAGGAATGTAAATCCTAATACAGCATCGTAGCATCAAACCCACAAGTTTGCATTATGGAAGAAAGCAAACAAGAGAACAGACACAGTACTTGCACCAATTCATCAGTTTCCATAGCACAAGTTGGAAGCTGATCTGCAGGAAGCACACGAATGCTTGCACTCGTCTCACTTCGTAATCTTTGAATAACATCTCCACCCTTTCCAAGAAGACACCTCACCATTTTGTTTGGAACTAGAAGCCTTGCGGTGACAACACTGTTCTCATTGTCATCATCAAATGTAATTCCACCAAAAAGATCTTCCTCTACAATTCTGTTATGAACTTTCAAGAGAGCATCCTGGGCAGCACAGTGCGGGTCCATGGGCTCCAGTTCATTTTCCTCAGCTGAATCTCCATCATTATTTTGTTTACTTGAAATTTTTGTTGGAGAGCTAAAGATAATAATTACTCTCTCATCTGAGCCTAGAACAGAATCAGCAACCGTTATCGTTGCCCGCGTTTCTTCTCTCAGGGCTTTGACTATGCCACCACCTTTTCCAATAACACCACCGATTCTTTTAGAAGGGCAGAGTATACGATACACTGTGTCCAGGGATTGATAATTCTCTAAAGGTTGTTCACGGGTTGAATTATTCCAGTTTCCTTTCTTGTAGTTGTTGTTACCTCCTTTTCTTTTAAACTGGACATTAGGGCGTTTCTTGAAAAAGTTCCGCTTGTTCCCATCCATAATACCACGAAAAGGAAAACTAATACCAAGCAGAGTAAATTTTAAGCAAAGACCAAAGCACCTGGATTAAAAGAAACAAAACTAGAGCACCTGGATTAAAAGAAACAAAACTAGTTGTTGTCATTACTGAGAGAGAGCCCAATAAAACATACTAATTTTAGCACAGAGCAAAATTGAACACATATCAATTTCTAGTTTCATAGGGAGATGTAAAGCGCAAACCACTAATCGTGCATCGTTGAAGATTGTAGTTAAATGACGTACCTTGTTGAACAATAATTCAGGGATCCTAGTAAAGCATTTCACAACGAGCAAGTAGCTAAGCAGCCGTGATCAGTTTAGTCTTCAGCTTGGAGCTCACGCCCTAGGGTTCCACAACCAAAACATATACAGCCCAAGAACAAAAACGAAAGCAAAACGATGCCTTTGGGCAAACGAAACAGGAAGACCTGGCTAAACAAGCACGTAAGAATACAAATTCAAGCATTTTCATCTGGAATTAACCAAAACTAAGAATGCGACGAAGAAATCTGGAATTTTTAGCTAATTAATAATAGCAAAAAATCATTTTGATGGAGGATGATCGAAGAAATGAGAGGAATATAATACAGATCAGTAAGTAAAATTATGGCTTGTGGGGAAGTTAAAGAAAAAGTTTTACGTACCAGAGCTGGGGTAGAGAGAGAGAATCAGAGTTAAAGCCACTGTGGTTGCTGCTTGCTGGGGCGACTGGACGTCTCCATTTTGCAGAGTTCTTTTTTTTTATTTTTCCGGCCTGTTTCAAACAAGCTGTTTATGGAAGAGGAGGGTGGGCTTCGACCCATTTCGAATTCATAGAATGGGCCGACCTTAATTCTTCCCAAATTATAGAACAAAAGGACATAACTAAGGGACATAAGGGTTGGCAATGAGTAATATCGTGTTCGGTTTGTGTCATGTTAGGATTATATACGTGTAAAAAATACTCAACTCAAATCCGACCCATTTAATAAATGTGCCATGTCAAGTTGACCCACTAAGTCGTAGCATAGCGAGGTAAAAATGTAGAAGGAAAAAAAAATCGTAGAGAAAAATACGACTATTCAAAGAATTTTTCCATAATCACAATAATGTGAGAATTGGTTATGATACACAAAGAAACATGTGTAAATTCCTAAAATAGTTTTTCATGTAATTTTTTATTTGGTAATTAGCATGTAATTGTTATAAATATAAATATCAAATTATATACATGTGAAATTCTTCTTCTTTGAGAAACAGCTTGTAAAGACATTATAAATATCAAATGTTGTAGCATATAATCACAAAGTTATTATCATCATGATGGATAAGACTCTAGAGAAAACAGAATGTGGGATATTATGATATTGGGACATAACGTTAAATAGTCAAGAGAAAACAAAATGTGATACTATCTGTCATAGATCCACTTTTTCCATAATCCGAGGAGCGTTCATGTAATCCTAGGTAGACTTATTTATCAAACTATCATGTTAGACTATTTTTGAAAGGACCAGCCCCGAATTCCCCCTTGAAATCTGTTCATCTTAACTTTTTCATTAAAACTCCGATTCAAGCCCGGTAAGTGTCCATGAACTCGTGAGAGTGAGCTCTACGAAATAGTACAAAGAAATTTTAAAAACTTATCCCGAACAAAAATTGACCAAAATACCCATATTATGAAGGTAATACGGTGATTTCACAAGAAATAAATAGAAAATTAAATAAATTCATGACTATTTGTTACAATTGTTCTCGTAAGTATACCAAGGACTATGGGCTTATATTGGTCAAACGTATCTAGTAGTTACTCCTAAAGAGTGAAGGAGCTTGATGGTGCAGTGTAGCAAAGCATCTTCTTCTAAGAAAGTTAGAGCTTATCTCCAGGCAACGTAACTTTACGTTTGAGGTATAGTGATAGCCAGATTTGGTCTTGACATTGTGCGTAGGGCTTTTAGGTGAACATTAGTTATCAATAGTTTTGAACTATTAATATGAGCCGAATCTTGCTTCACTAGCATCCGCAATCATACTCCTTTTTTTATTTTTTATTTTTTATATTTATAGTTAAAATGTAGCTAAAAAATGCACAAAGCTATTTTAAGAGCTCTCTATAAAATTTGAACTCCAATCACACTCTCTAGTTTAGCGAGTCATAAATATTATAATTATTTTTTAATTCAATATAATTGGTCCATCTCAACAAAAAAAAAGTTAGCATTAATTAAAAGTTTAAAATATGCAATAAAAAAAAGCATCATTAAATTATAGGGAGTAACTAGAAGTCATTTCTCTCTCCTCAGATTTAGGAACTCCTAGAAGTCTCCTTATTTTACGAGGTGGATAGGAAACATGGTTGGAGTTGTATTTTTCCAATTCCTCCCTAAAATTTGTCTAGGGAATGCTAGCAACATTCTCTCTTTCTATTTGGACCTCATCCATTTTCCTCATGACATGTGTCATTCTCCTTATATTTAAAACTATGTCATTAATGCATCATACAAGCTATCTTTTGTTTTCCAAATTATCCTTATGATATGTTTTAACTTTTATGTTTTTTTCAACTTATCCCTGTTTTTTCATAATTTCCTTACCACCTTATTAAAAAATTACATAATAAAAAACGTCATTTTTTTGCTGTTTACTTGGTTGTGGTCTTGAAGTGACCTTTTTCTTTCAAAATTGTTTTGTGCAACAAAATTATGGGCCTTATTACTCAGATTATTTTTTTTCTAAAAAAAACAAATATTTTCTTTCAAATTTTCTTTTATTAAATAAGGTGATAAGAAAGTTATTAAATTTTTTTGGGATAAATTAAAGGAAACATTAATGACATTGTTTTAAGTATGAAGAGAGTGACACATGTGATAAGAAAAAGAGAAGGTTAGAAAGAAGATTGCTAGCATTCCCCAATTTGTCTAATGAGGTGGTTTATGGAGCCTATTGAGGATGTTTCAGAGCATCTCCAATAGTCTCTTCAAACTAAACTATTCAAATTGTGGTTTGTTGACCTATGTGGAAAATTGAATGGTAAAGTTTACTACTCTACCATTTTGCAACCTCATCAACCTTTTCAAATCAATTAATTTAATGTTTGACTTTTCTTTTTCTTTTTAATCAAATACAAATATTAAATTCGGTTAATAATACCAAATTAATATTTAAATAATAATTCATTATTGTTCACTCAACCCCATGTATGGTTGTACCATTCCAAGGCAGCTTTTGTTGTTCCAAAACTTATTAAATGTGTTGAAGAGTGAAAGAGGAGTCCTAGATTTGGTGAGTGAGTTTGACAAGGCTGTTGGTGTAACATCCCGACCCAAAATATAATCATATATGCCACCACTTGGGGCGGCACTGGTCCTGTTAGAATTGCCTCACTTCCCTCTTTGATTCCTACCGGTCCCAGTCTCGATCCGACGTCGTGGTCACTGGAAACAGCCCCAAAACAGACCAAATTTTTGACAGCTTTGACAGATTTTCTCAAGCTCGTTTCGGGTGATTCGGCCACCATTTCCGACGATCCAGGTATGATTTTTCAACCTCTCGACGTGTTCTAGTTGCTGGTTGTGTTATTTTTGAGAAATTTCTGCGTTTAGCAAATCAAATAAGCGATGGAAGTTTGGCCGATTTTCGGCCTCCAATTCTGACCACTTCCGTTGACTTTTTGGGGGTAGGTCCAAGAACAAAAGTTGCTCCACTCAACATGCTGATCCTATAGTGTAAGTCTTGGCCCGCGGTTTGGAGTTTTTCCGATCGCTGAATTTGATTTGGACACCCACGTGCTATTGGCCCGTGGGGCGACGCGTGGGCCACGTGGTGGCCTGTCATTGAGTCCTAAAATAATCCTCATGTAGTCCCGAGCACGACAGTATACTTGGATTTCAATTTGGTTATCGTTTGGTCGTTGATCGGATATCGCATATTAGGTGTTATTAGGGTCCGATATGTTCGGACCATTGGATCGACTCCATTTCAATATATGTTGATCTAGGCTTTTCTAGGATGGTGTAGGATTTCGCGGATCGTGAATCAGAGCTCTGGATGTTCCGATTCAACAACTTAAGGTTTGTATTTTACAATAACCGTCCGATCGAACGATCGTGAGCAATGCGACAGTTTGATTAGAACCAACTTACAGGACGTGCTTAGTAAACCTTGTGGAACCCTTAGGAACTTCTTAAATGGAAATCGGATGTCGCGGGTCCCGTGGGCCCGATTGACCCAATTTGGGAAGTTTGACCGCCTTGTTGACCGAGCGTCTTTCAAGGCTATATCTTCACCCGAAACACGTAGTTGGACTTTAGGATTGTCTCGTTCCTCATGCACTTACTTGAAACCTGGGAAACTAGGATTTTAATTTAAAGTTCTTGTTCAAATCTCGTACTCGTATTCTGAAATAGGTACTCCGACCACGCGTACGCAGCAGGCAGGACCCTCTCAGGGTCAGGCAACGTGGGACTATTTGTGAGTGGACTTTGTTTCAAACAATAAGCATGGTTTTATGATGGAAACATTATGCATAATGTTTTAATGGTTTATTGAATACATTATATATTCAATTGTTGAACTTGATGTTTTTATAAAGCATTTGCAATATATATTTGGGGTTTTGGCACATTTGAGTATCTTGAGTTTATATATTTGAATTTTGAGAATTTCTATGTTGGTTATGTGTGGGGTTTTTGAGTTATTAATGTGAGATTGTGGAAAGAAATGAGTTATTAGTATGTTAGTTGAAGTGCTATACGCACTACCCTATGTACCTCCCTGGTTACGGAAATTATGGAATGGATTTGGATTACTAAGATACTTGGATATGTTGGAACTCAGACCCTCACGGTTTTGTTTATGAGAACTCACGAGCACTTCCCAGTGGGTTACCCATCTTGGGATTGCTCTAGCCCAAACTTGCTTAACTTCGGAGTTCCTATGACTCCGAAGCCAGTGAGCTCCCAAAAGGTCTCGTGTTAGATGGAGGTAAGCATGTACATATAAGACACATCACCCCCTCTCCGTTGATCGATGTGGGATGTTACATACATACATAATTTATTTCTTTGCACAAGTCCTTAAAACTTTCTTAAAATTGATAGAAACAAATATCAGCAAAAATGCCAAATCCAAATGTGAATAATCCATGTTTGAATTGAAATTGAGATAATGATACAAGTCCTTCCCTTACAATCAGACAGATCGATTCATGTCAAAAGGAGTCTGTTGCTGCCAAAGGTTTGCCTCTTTTGGCAAATATTCCTACTCCATAAGTAGAAATGAAGATGTCAACAAGGAGGGGAAATTGCATCCATGCAAAGGAGACGACTGGAGCACTAGCAAGTAAAATGATTGGAATCACAATCCATGAATTTTCACCCAACATAATAAAAAGGGTAGAAACAAACGCAATCATCATGGTGGCTATGGAGAAAAAGAGGGTGAAAAGGCCTATAATCATTTTCGTTGGCAATGATTTAAGGAAATCAGCTTCGGCATAGCGTGAGGTGAGGACTCCCAAAAATGTCATTACAGAAGTCGTGGAAGAAAAGAGTGATAGGGCATCAGAAACTATAAAGACCTGAAACAACTTTTTATCTAAGAACAAGGGCATGCCTGTATTTCCGTTGTTTCCACCTGGAACTGTGAATGCTGCAGTAAACATGATGGTAATGATAAGCGCACCTACAACCGTACAAGAAGTTGCTGTCTCTTTCATTGATCTTTCTCCTTCTTTCGCCAACTCTTTGTGGTTCTTAGTAAATAAATCACGTGCTGTCATGCCATCTGTAACATTTACAACCTCAAGAATCTTGGGAGGTACAATTTTTTCAATCTCCTGCATTTCGTTGAAGCAATTACCGATTTTCTAATCCTCGAATATATGCTTTCGACCACAAAAAAAAAGGAAAAGAATATGTTCTAATCCTCGAAATGTGTAGAGAAATTCTGACCTTGAACCATTGTAATTCTCTCTGCAATTGCAAAGCCGCACCTTGGATATGATTAAGCTGTGCAATTGGGGATAAACTCTCTGCTGCATGTAGCAACGTATTGCCAAACTGATCTATACTCGTTAACCAATTAGGCACTACTCCGGTAAATTTATATAAAAAGAAATAGACTTTTTCTTGACGACATTCAATGGCAAACTGAAGCATGCTCTTCCCATTTTCACCAATGAGCCCACTCGCTGCTTGGTTTGCTATAAACATCTCACGAACAAACTCAACATGCCCTTGTTTAATGGCTTCGAAGATTGCTGCTTCCACGACACTTCCTCGCAGTTGTTTAACACTTTTACCCTCTATCACTTCGCACATGGAGTGTAGAATTTCAGATGTTCTTTCGTGGGTCCATTTCATCTTATATATGTGATTAATTCCTTGGATGACATAAATAAAACAATATTAATTACTAAGTGAAAAAGAATATGACCAAAATAAGATTTAAGAGAATGAATAATTATACGTACTGAAAATCGAAGTAAAAGATTAACAAAGTGTGGATATTTAACATTACGTACCAAAAAGTTTACGGGGATTTGGAACAAGTCCTCGCAGTATACCCATACCTATTGCAAATCGAAATATGTTTGCATTAGAGAATATTTTAATCACAAATTTTGTGTGTGATAGTAATGTACAATGTCATTTTAATGTTATGAATTCATTCAAATTTTAATACATGTACAATCATTGATTTTAAAATTTAAATTCAACATATAGATGTGGGAAATGCCACTTGGTCAGGACAATAAACCCGCCTCTTATACCTAAATTAGAAAGAATTTATAACAGTGAAATGACGGTGTACATGCTTCAAAATATATATATATATATATATATATTATATACATACAACTTTTTCTTCTTTGACAAAATATTTAACTTCTCGCCACAAATATGACCACAGACATGCAAATTGGGGAAGCACATGCCTCAAAGTTCCTGCGCTAGTATAGTCAGTCGTTTTATGTATAATATGGTCATGGTGAACAAGGCCATACACTATGTTGTATGTTCTCAGTGTCATTGGCCAGTATTATATTCCGCAGTAGCACGTTAGTACTTGGACATGTACATATGTTTGGGTATAATAATAATAATAAATCTCTCTGTTTAAAATATGTTTTAATCAGTGCATCGAGATTTTAATAAATCTGACAATACAAATGGTTTTTATAGAGGATGTTCCTCAAATACTTATGTATTTAAACGCTCTGGTTTCATTCATTTTCATTCTGAAGAAGAAAAACTCTATGTGCTGACAATATTAAAATTTTCACATATACGAGGAGCAGTTAGTGGGCCACGTCAAAACATGCTATCCCACACCCTCATAATTCCCTCTCTCTTCTTCTTATGAAAAATGCTAGCAGTACCCCTAGTCCCAGGTTAATAATCCCTATGTAATTGTTTGGTTTTGGGCACTCGGCCCCATTTTGTAATAAAAAAAAAAAGAAATTGCTAGTCATACTATATTTATATAGGAAAATACTAGGTTTATCACATTTTTATATCAAATTGTGTACCACATCTCTAACAGAGGTGGACTCCATTGTATTGGTGGGCTCCACCTCCATTAGAGAGGTGGTACACAATATGGTATAAAGATGTGGTACGCCTATTATTATCCATTTATATACTATTTTGTGTACCACATTTATTAGTAGACCACATTGTATTATTGGACTCCATCCCTATTAGAGCATCTCCAGTGTGCAAGGCCAACAGGGCAGGAGGGGGCCCAAGGGCAAGAATCCAACTCCACCGTGCAAAGTCCCGCCCAGGCAATGGGTGGGTCCCACGAGCCCAGGCAAGTTCAGCCTGAGCTGCTGCCTGGGCAAAATGACAAAAAATAATAAAAAAAACCAAAATTTTTCAATTTTATTTATTTATAAATACCTAGTTATATTCTTTACTTCCCACACCAAAAACTCTATACAAATTCATCTCCTCATATCTCATGTGAATAGTGTTTGCCCTTGCCTAGTCCATAGGGGTGGAAACAAAATTGCAAGGGCTGCCACTATTCACGTGAATAGTGACAGCCCTTGCCTTGCCTTTGCCCATAAGGGTAAAAGTGCTCTTAGAAAGGTGGTACACAATGTGGTATACAAATGTGGCATACCTAACATTGCTATGTTCTTATTAATGTGTCTGATATTTATGATGACAAATAGGTATTCATTAGTTAATTTTTTGTTGACAATATGCTATTTTAAACTACTCTAACGTTTGGGGAGGAACACAAACTTAGGTATAAGGAGAAAGGTACATTGCCTAGTCAACTAAACTAACCCACATATGTTAAGTGCTAGTAGGTTTAATTTTAATAAATAAACCATGTGATACTTTGATCACAATGTTAAGTTTTAACCTCAATGTTGGTCTTCAAAACAATCAAAACTGGCTTATTCAACCTAGAAATTAAAATAAAAAATAAATAAAAAAAGACCAATAAAAATCGTAATGCCACTTTTCAGATATATCATACCTGAGCGAACTATGAGATCCCTTTTACTAATTGGGCCATCTTCGACGTTTTCAACATTTATGCAAATATCATAAACTGCTGAATGAGGTCGTACGTGTATACCTATCAGGTTATCAACACAAGAACAAATCCTAATCAATATGTTAAATGTTTCCTTTTGATGTAAGAGCCTTCCCCTATATAGTGATTTTTGTGTCGTGAACATGGAAGTTCATGTGCATATACAAAAATAATGAATGAGTGATGGAATAAGAACACATTATTTTTACATACCTCTTTAATACACAACAATAATAAATATGTGATGTTAGAGACCTTTTTTTTTTTTTTTTTTTTTTTTTCCTATAATACGAGATGTCCTCACACCTGAATGGTGGGATTAATCCCTGCTCGGAATTCAGCTTGCTCCTGACCACAAAGTGCTTCCAACGAAGGAGAACATATTTTACCATATTGTATACTACCTCTTTAATAGAAATAGGATGTACCGATACAAGTAGAGGTTTCATTTTTATATGTGCCACACATCGTGGTACAATAATGTGGTCCTCTTAGCATTTCATAATGAAATTTAAGTAATTGATTTGTAATTCAAGTAGTTAACAATATTTATCTTTCTTCAAATAGAAGGTTCAATCATTTCTTTATCACCAGAGAGAAATGAAAATTCATACTTATGTACTAGGCTTTGGGTTGTGTTTCAGCTGGGCTTTTTGCTGTAATCACTAGGGCAGAAGCCCAGCCATCACCAGCTGCGGGCTCCGATCCAAAAGGTGGATACCAGCCACAACGGACTAGTGGCATTCTTGGAGAGTTCGTGGGTGTAGGTTCTGTGTGCGTCGGAAAAAGTTGGGTGTGGGGGTAAGTGCTAGGGCCGGCCCTAAGATTTTGGTGGCCCAAGGCAAAGTAAAAAAGAAGGCCCTATAAATGCAAGACTACTTACAAGTAAAAATTTTTGTTTTCATTTATAGGTGTGTATATAGAATGTAGACCTTTTACAACTAGTAACAAAAATTAAGCCTTAAAAAAAAATTAATTTTACTTCTGGAAATGTTTAAATTTTTTATATATAAAGCAATAATTGAACACAAGAAAAAAAAGAAGAAGAAAGAGATTGGAAGAAAAATATGACATTTTAAGTAGTAAAATGCACCAAAGGAAGAAAGATGGGTAGAACAATATATGTTAATTATATAAACCACAAATTAGTCCTTCCAAAGTCATTTATAGTCCCTTATTATTATTATTTTTTTTTCCAAAGATAGTCCACTTGATACATTTATAATAAGAACATCCACTCATCAAGCATCATTAAAAAAAAGAAGTTTTATTTCTTAAAACTAGTAGGACTTGAACATAGATTTGGTTTGAATAAAATCAAGGAGAAACCATTAATGCAAGATGGAACTTCAAAAATCTTGATGTTATTAGCTTCTTATATATACTCTAGACCTTTATATATACTTATATATACTAGTAAGAAACTATTTTAGAAGCAACTTTTAAAAGAACAATAAAATAAATAAATATTTTGGGGTCCTCCTTGAGATGGGGCCCAGGGCAGTAGCCCTTCTCGCTCTGCCTCAGGGCCGGGCCTGGTAAGTGCCCCGGGTAGGTTGGCTCAAGCTGTAGAGAGATAGAGATCTATTGGGCTTGGTGGGTGCTAGGGAGATCAAAACCGATGGGGGTGTGTTGCTGGGGTTGGGTGGGAAAATCAATTTGGTGACTAGGGTGGGAAGTGTGGGTGGCTGATGTTGGGAAAAGTCCACAGGAGGTGTTGATTTTAATTTTCTGTTTTTACTTTCGTATTTTAATTAGACTAAAAAATAAATTATTATATGAAGTCCAAAAAAAATATGGGACATAACTTTAAATAAAGGCTTATTTATTGTAGTGCCCCTTGAAACTTCGGTCAAATCTCACTTTACTCTCTTACTCTCCCAAAAAAAAAAGGCCCACTTTCATCCCTTGACCGAGGTTTGGTGACCCACTTTGCCCTCTGCCATCAACTGCATCCAAAATTCTGTTAAATTTGATACTTGACATGAGTGTTTTTGTAATTTCATACACATGAATCATTACACCAATTGAGTGGGTGACATGGCAAGTTGAGCCCACCTCCCATAGATAAACATATAATTAAATATTCTAATAATTAAAAATAACAAAATTAAAAAAAGATATATATTCTAATAATTAATAACCCTACCCAACACCCAATCACTCCCCCAGCCGCCACAATCCTCGCCAGCCACCAACCCCATCCCTCCATCATCATTTGATCTCTAATCTCTCTGAAAATGAGAAGGAGAGCAAAAGCAAAACAAAATTACAGTGAAGATCAGTTCCCAAGCCACCCAAACCTCATCCCTTCCTCTCTCTCTCTCTCTCTCTCTCTCTCTCTCTCTCTCTCTCTCTCTGTTTCTTCAAACCCCCCAACCCAGGTTGATATTTTAATTTAAAATCATATACCCACTGTGTTTCTCCCATCCCCACCCACCACCAGCAACGATACCCACTGCACCACCCAACAACCCCATGGCCACTAGCGGACTCCTCTGAATTTGTTTCGGTAAACTGGGTCTGCTTACGGCATTGTCTACTGTGTGCGAAACGGGAAGAGAGAGAGCAACAACCCTAACCCAGATCTGAATATGTGTTCTTTGTGCGCAGAGAGAGAGAGAGAGGCTGATAGAGAGATTGCTGGACATAAAAGCAGCAGCCATAACAGAAGTTTGTAACCAAAGAAATAAAGAAGGGGTAAAGAAAAGATGAAAGATTCGTCAGGTGAAGGCAATCAAAGAGAGAGAGTCTGTAGGATTAGATGGGGGAGAGGGAATTAGGATGGGGTCGGGAGGATGAGATGGCCTGGGTTTGTTTTTGAATTTTTTTGGTTACTTTTTCTAATTTTTCTTGTTATTTTATTATTTTATATATTTTTATTTTAAATTCTTTAATTAATTTAAACAATGAAGAATTTTTAATTAAGTTGTGTTATCCATCTCACCCACTCAATTAGTTTAATAATTCATGTGTATGAAATTACAAAAACAGTCATGCCACGTCATCAAATTTAAAGGGATGAAAGTGGGTCACTTTAACTTTAAAGAGTAAAATGAGATTTGATCGAAGTTTCAGAGGCACTACAGTAATATAAGCCTTAAATAAATAGTAGAGAGAATGTAGTACTAACAGTCATAAATCCATTGTTGCCAAAATTTGAGATGCATTCCATTTAAAAATCCAGAACGCGTACTAGCGCACATTTGCAAAGGGGTCAATCCAGAGTAGTTTTTAGCAACGGCTAAGTTTGGGCAACGCCGAATTAAATCCAATGCAATATCTACAAGGGTAGAGGAGGAGTGAGTGACAAGAAAAACGAATGAATCTTAATATATGGCAAAAGGTTAAATTGGAAACACATACCTAATTTTTTGGCCCTAAAACTCTCCGAAACAATCTCAGCGCCACCGCAGCCGTCGTCTTGCAACAGAGCTTCGAGTGGAGTAACAGAATAGAGGTAGCGAGCCAATTCCCAATGGCCGATGCTATAAGCCCAGACAAGTGGAATTAAGTTGTCTGGAGGAGATGGAAGGCTAAGCAGTTTCTTGTTTTTTTCAATTATGCACTTAGCCAATTGTGTGATTCCTCTACTCACAACGTGGGTAAAAGCTGTTAGACCATTAGCGTCCTGTATTTCCAAGTCTTCCTCCGTCATCGACTCCACCAACGCTTTCGCCATATTTACATTTTCAAGCGCAACTGCCATGTGAAGAGCTGTCAAACCGTATGTTGAACCTCTTTCTCTGATTGCTTCGGGATTTCGACTAAGATACTCCTTCGCTAAATCCCAATCACCCTCTGTCACACTATCAATGAAGGGTTGATGGAGGGCGAACTCATTGAAGACGCTGGTGTTACTCTCATTTCCTTCCAAAGTTTTTATTGCTTTAATAAATTAAAATTTGTAAAGAATTGTCAGCGTCCAACTCACTCAAACAAAATTCTTGAAAATTCTTGTCAGTCAGTGGATAAGTTAAAGATTAGATATTGAAAAGAAAAAAGAAAAAACAAAAGAAAAAGAAGAAAAGAAAAAAAAAAAAAAAGAGATCTACGATATCCATCATTCGACGTCGGATTGATAATCAAGTCTTCCCGTGGCACCAACGGAAACAACTCCTCTGCATCGCACACATGATAAGAAAATATCAATTAATTAAGTCAAAATGAGTAATTCTATAGACACTCAATTGGCATCTAGGTCCCATCTCCAAAGCTTAAGGTGGTATTGGATTTAGTCCATTTTCTTTTTCTATATTGGTTCGAGTCCATTGAATTTTTAATTAAGGTCCAAATTCTTTTATTTTCATTTTGCCCCCTCTAAGTATAAATTGATGAAGGAAACCATAATTTTACACTGGGGCTTTGATCGAAATGGTCCTTGAACTTATGCACGAGTTTTATTTTAATCCTTCAACTAAAGTTTTCACTCCATTGGTTCTTCAACTTTCTCTTTAATGTCAAATTGGTCCCACCAGTCAAGTTTTATCAAATTTGCCATCAAATTGAGGGGTAAAACCATCAGTTTGGGCACTAATCTCCTAAATCAACCAACCTAACTTTGTAACAAACATTTCCCTCCATAAGCCATAACTCTCTCCTCCAAATTGAAACTCTATCCCATAAGAGAAACGTCTTACAGAGGGAAATGTTCGTTACGAAGATGGAATGGTCATTTTAGAGATTAGAACATAAATTGACAATTATACCCCTTAATTTGACGACAAATTTGATGGAGAGACCAATTTAACACAAAAGAGAAAGTTGGAGAACCAATGGATTGAAAAATTTAGTTAGAGAATCAAAATGGAACTTGAGAATAAATTCATGGACCATTTCAATTTTTTTTATTTATAAAAACATTTTATATATTTGCGAGAAATTTATGCCACATATGTCCTACACTCAATGAAAAAATTTGTTAGCAATCGTAAATATACAAGTAAACACTTCAAAATTCAATTACAAATGCGTAAAGCACCCACAATATGAATATTCTACCTATAGTTTTACTCAGCCTTTTGCACAGTCAAATAATGTTTACTACTGCAGCTGTACCATCATAAAAAGAAAAAAAGAAAATACAGTAACCTAGATCGAACCATACATATATACAGATGTGCCCACCATTCTGTCAGAGTCATTTAGGTGTAAAACATGCATGCTTGTTTTGACTACGTACCTTGAGCTGGGTTTAGCTTTTCGGCCAAAGTATCCCAGGCAGCTTTGGCGGTCTTAGTGCCCCAGATTAAAGAGTAATTAGCAGACCCGCAATAATTCTGGATTACAATTAAAGCCTTGGCATCTTTCTTCCTCCAAGCCTTAAAATCAGCTTCACCATCTTCTGATTTAGGAGGTTCAGTGGTGGCTTCCACAACGTCCCAAAGATCTTCAGCTAACAAGTAGAGTTTAACCCGGAAACTCCAATCTTGATAGTTATACTGGTTAAGAACTGGGGGATTAGGGATTGCACTAGTGACAGTTGTAGCTGCCATGTTCAATCTGCCAATTGACCCATGGTGGTATTATGTCAATCGAGAACATAAACGTTAGAACAAACAAGAAAAAGAAAATTAAACGAACACACTCACAGATTGAGTTGTAAAAAGGCCGAGGTAGAAGCTAGCTTGTAAATTCCCACTATGTGCACATAGTCATAGATATAGGCAAACTCACTTCTGACTTATAGATAACAGATCACCAATTAAAAAAGACTTTGGCAAAAGACTTGGCAATTAAAAAAGACCGACCCCAAGTATTATCTCATTAAGGTATTAAGTTCAACACCTGTTATCTCACGAAGAGGTATATTAGGTTCAACAAGTGTTGCCTCATTAAGAGGTACTAAACTATCAGTTTAGGAACAAAACATTTATAAAGCATCAATATATTATTATTATTATACCATCAATTGGTTAGTAATGGACTCAGATTATTGTTGGCAAGTTGTATAAAAAACGAAGATGTGCGCATCAAAAATAAATTTTTTTTAGTGTCAAACAGAAAAGAAATATAAAAATGTTGAGCATGTTGCTCAAATTCAATTGAAATACAAGTGTGAATCATCTTGTTTCATTTACAGCCAAATTTACAGGTTGTATGTGTTGGAAATCCCTCCTTAGTGGAGTCAAGATGTGCGGCCGAAAAAGAGGAGGGAAATGGAGCTGCACATGCTTTCGGCACCTTCGGTTTCCTCCTTGCTGTTTCTTTCATTGACTTTTCGCCCTCTTTCACCAATTCCTTGTGCTTCTTGGTAAATAGGGCCCTTGGTGTCATACGATCTGTCAGATTTTTAGTTTCACGATGTACAGGACCTACAATACTCTCCAACTCCTGCAGTTCATCCCGCAAAAACTTAGAATTCTTACAAATCATTGAACATTTGCGCTTTGAGATTCTGGTAACCAAACTCATCTGAGCTACATAGGATGCTAGTGACAGTAATTAAATAAAACAGCTTATGATTGATTTCTTCTTCAATTTCGGGTTTTCCCATTTTGCCAAAACAGAGGCAAGTTTTAAAATAGTGTTGAAAAGGTTATAAGGCACTAAGCACTTCATGGACCCATCATACAACTTGATCGTTAATTTTTTCCATTCCTTTCCATGTATCAATATTACATAAAATAAGTCAAATAATAATTCGATTAATCATTTATTAGTACTCAACTAATATATGAACACAATGTTTTGTATAAAAACATTAAAATGATTTTGATTATATTAAAAGGACTAAACGCTTTCCTATTTGAACAACTTTTTGCAAGTATAATCCTTGAATGGGAACTAAAAAAATAGACGATTTGGATTATGAGATAGCATTGTGCAGGGGTCTAAAAGAGTGATTAGCATTGTACTAACGGATTTAACTAATTATTGTTTGAGGACTCCTATATAAATTTATTGTTACTAGCCACTCGAGATGCGGTCTCACACGTATGAATTTTTTTATTGAGTGAAGAAACTAATGATGTGGGCGTGTAATTTTGTTTTTGTTTCTTAACATGTTTTTTGTTTTACTATATGTTCTACCCTTAGGTGCCCTTAGGAATTCTATCCCTATAGTCATAACCTAAACTTGCTACCTTCCTAATTATAGTAAAGTAAAAGAGTAATAGAATACCAAAATTATAATACTACAAACACATCTAAAAGAAGAAACCAAAACTTGCATACCCACTAAAGTAATAAAGAGTCTTAGAAACCTTATCGCCAAAAATAACCTTAAAGCGGAAAATGTGAGTTTTTATCATTAGGTTAGCATATAGGGTAATATGTAGGTACGTATATACAAAGCTGCACCTCGAATATGATTAATCTGTGTGTGCTGAGAAAAATTTCCCACCAAATGCAGCACATTATTATTTTCACAATTATCTTTTTTACCTAGTATTTATTGTTGGTCTTGTTTATCAAACTTATATATGAGGCTAAAAGTTTTTTCTTGACGGTGCTCAACGGCAAGTTGAAACACGCTGCTTTCTAGGTGTTCAATTTTGATGTCGTGGATGAGGCTTGGATTTGCTCTACATATATGAGTAATGACCTCAACATGCCCTTGTTCTATTGCAATGGCGATTGCTACTTGTGCGCTTGTATTTTGCAGTCGCTTAAGCTTTATAGTTTTCATTGCGCATTGTAGAAATTCATCGACGCGGACATGGATCTCTTTCATTCGATATATCCGATTGATTCCTAAGTTTGACATGAAACAATACAAAAATTAACACAGTTACTTTTGGAGGAACTGACAATCAGGACTAAAATTGGGAAAGAAAAAAAAACAAGGACGTGAATGTAGCATGCATACCCAAAAGTTCAAGGAGATTTATGACTACTAGCTTCCGGAATAATAAGCCCGTAACTGCATTGCAAATCCAAACATGTTGGCAAAATCTCTACAGAAAATATGGTGGTTAGATATATGCTAGTATATATTTGAAAATAAGAAGCCAAAAGAATAACGACTTCTTATGGCTGATAATATATAATGCTTCTTTTCGTGATGTTTCTCTAGAAGTCTTTAGAAATTTCTGTTTGAAAATCTGATACAGGAGAATTAATATAAGTAAATATCTACTACATGCGTGAAACAGGAATTGGTGCATACTATGTATGGAAGAAAGATGTGAATGTATAACTATATGGAATAATAAAGATGTGAATTATTTTAGAAGCACCATATGGAATAAGTAAGCATTAACAATAACCAAATGGCACTCCTGACAACGTACGTGTGCAAATGAGGCAAATGAGATGCCTTTGATTAGCTTGATCACCTTCTAGTTTTTGAGCATTAGTACGAGCATCGTTAAAGGCATCGATAGTAGGTTCTTTTTCTGCATCGATAGTAGGAGTAGGTGGTATATGCATACCTATTAAGATAAGAACACGACACAATAAAATCGACACTCTTATGAAGATCTGAAGTAGAACAAGTTTGGGAACAATAATCATGTCAGAGTCAATAAATGTCTTTTGATCTATTAGAGTTTGTTTTTCTTTGGTTTAGTATATTATTATGATCCCACAATCACAGAAGTCTAAAGAAATTTGTTGGGTTACTTAAGAAAAATAAAAACACACATATAGATATGCCAGTAAAACAAGAGTGGAGAAAAAAAGAATATAGACCTTCCTGTATAAGAAGTGGAAGAGCTGATAAGAGAGTAAATCTTATTAGGCAACTTAAAAAAGAATTTGAGCTTTCTTACTACTAACCGTCATAAATCCATCGTTCCCAGAATTTGAGCTTGCTTGCACTTAAGAAAAAAGAACGCATACCAGCCAAAAGCGAAAAAGGGCTTACTTTCGATTTGTTTTCAATAAAAGCCGCCTTCAGATGACATTGAACTAAATCCAATAGAATATCTGTATAGCGGAGTGAAAAAAAACAATATAATTATGCGGAAAAAGATTTGTAAAAAATAATAAATTGTACGGGAACATATTGAAGTCACCGCTAGTAATTAATTATTTAATAATTGCTTTGGTTTTGGGTAAAGAGGAGAGCTTAAGTGCAGCACAAACACAAGGTTATTTATACGTACCAAATCGGCTTTTCACCACACACGCAGACATAACTACACCTGCATAGGCACGGTCCTCCAGAGTTTCCAGTGGAGAGGCAGAATAGAGATACTGAGACATTGCTACCCTTCCTTCTATAGTCGCCAAGACAAATGGAATTGCAATTTCATCATTGTTAAAACGAATGCTAAGTAATTTCTTGTTCTTTTCAACCATGCACTTAACTATTTCATGGGAATCTCCTCGATGTAATACAGCTAAATGTAGAGCTGTTCGACCAACAGAGTCTAGTATTTCTAAGTCTTCCTCGCTCATTAGCTGCACCAACTCTTTTGCAATTTCAAACCTCCCGTTTGAGACTACGAAGTGAAGAGCTGTCCCATTGTCGAATTGTTCAAAGGTCGCATTTAGTTTCTCAGGATGTTGCCTAAGATACTCCATGGCAGCATCCAATCATTGTCTAACAAAGTTTGGAAGAAAGGCATGTACAAGTCATTGGCATCGCCTTCAGGTCCTACGAAAGTTTACGATTTAATATTACAGAACATTTTGATTTGGATTTAACATATGTGTTAAACTATGATTTGTTAAAAAAAAAAAATGAAAGGCCAAATAGTGTTTCTTTTAACTAATATTGACTAGAAGTCTCTATGAGAAATATTAAGACACAATACCTTCAACTCGAACTTCGATTGTAGAGTCTTCCTCCACACCAGCATCACCACTGATTAGGGTGTGGTTGGTGTGAAGTTCGGATTCCTCATCTGAAAAGTGGAATGCTTGATGTTAACATTTACGAAATTTTTGTGATTTCTGATACATGAAAGTCTATATTTATTTATTTTATTTTTGTACAAACGATATTGGGGGAGGGGAATTGAACATAAAATCTTGGATTCATGGATAAATGCTATTAATTACCGCTTGAGCTACTATCCCCCTTCCTTTCAAAAAGAAACTAATTAACATGTCTTTTTATCTATCAATATATCCCTAATCCAGTTTGGTTCATCAAATCACGGTACTAACTGATCCTACAGGCTTGCAGTAATTTCAGCTTCTTTTTTTTTAATTCCTCATAATACTGAAAATATGTACCTACGTACCTGTGGTTTTTGATGCTTCAGCTGGCTTCAACTTTGTTGCCAAAGTATTCCAGGCAACGTTGGCCACGTAGATGCCCCGAATTAAAGAATAAGTATCATCCCCACAAGAACTCTGAATTATATGTAAAGCCTTGGCATTAAGTTTGCTCCAAACCATAAATTCAGCGTCTCGTCTTGGAGGTTGATTGGTGTCATTGGCATTAAGTTTGTTTATAATAACAAATTATCAGCAATTAAAAAAGACTTGGCAAACGACCAAGAAGATGCTCATTAGATCGTGGTCCCACTTAGTTTGGCACTATACCTAAAAGAACTAGTCACTCATGAAATTCTCTGCAAGCTTTTATGAAGCCCGACCTAATAATTTACCGATGTGGGACTCAATATGCTAGCACACCTTGGAATTGTTGCTTAGAGATTCTTTGGAATCTACCATTGTAAAGTTAGTATGAAAAAGGGGACGGCGTCCTTTATAAAATTCTAATTGATGTGGATAGTTTACCAACCCCAACACTCTAACGTGATACGATTATCATATCCTAATCTTAACCTATTGGGATTAGCTCAAGATATATGGAATTAATGGAGTAAGTGATGATATATTAATATTCTAAATTCAAATCTACCTGTAAAAAATATTTTAAACACATAGACAACAAATGTACAATTTTGTTTAGTCTTTTAAAAATGAACGATGAGTAGTGTGCATCAATTATTAATGGAGTAGTCTTTTAAACACATCCTCTCCGGGTCCCGGAAGGGGTGGATGGCCGCCATTTTATAGAAAAAACACATAGCTCAAGATATATGGAATTAATGGAGTAAGGTGCATCAATTATTCTTTGAGTAGTGCTATCTTCCATCTATGATCTGACATAAAAATGAACGATGCAATGAAACGTCAGTTTTACAAGTGGCTTGGATTAATAATTCGAAGTAATGCGAGATGTACCATAATTTGATATCACATGATGTATCGTATCTCATAATTTAATTTAATTATCTATTTTAATTCATTAATTATCATAGTAATTCAAAAATCCGTAGGTCTCACCATTGAAACCTACCCAATGAAGGAGGTTTAGGGATTTGGAGCAGGAGGCTTTGATTTGACGGGCTCCAGGAAGATGGTTGTGCGAGCGATCAGTAGACATGGCGGTTCTGGAGGGAGGTCAGGGAAGGGGATGTGTGGTGGCTGGGCGGTGGTGGGTAGTGGTGTCTGCGAGGGGGGATGCTCTGTCAAATTTGCTGTGCATGTGTTTTAAAGTTGGATGCTCTGTTCTACTAAGGATTTCGTCAAAAATTTGCTTTACATCATATTTACGTTTCATATGTCATGAAACAGGGATGCATAAAAAGAGTACATCCCTTGAACAAAACCAAAACATATTTACCTCCCTATCCTTGTCTAGCAGTGGAAGAATCCCAAAAGGTGCCATATCCTCCCAAACATCTGATGTTGAAGCCGCATGCCTACCTGGGCCAAAGAATGCGCCACCTTACTGCCCACTCGGGGTTGGAACAAAACATCCACAATATGCAATTGTGCTATAAGAAATTTAACATGCTCAACTAGATGGTCAAGAGCTGCCACCAGGGGTACTTTGGGGAATTCAGAATATGGAGAAACGAAAGGACTTGGTTTTGTCCACGTGGTCGTGTCGTCATTTGGGCAGGTGGTGCCAAAGCAAGTCAATGACGGAGAGGCCCAAGGCGCTAGCGGGGGACAAGACAAGTTGTTGAATACCCAACTGAGTAGCGAGGCGATGGGTCCAACCCAATTATAGGTCGGAGATGATGGCGACAAGAGGGTTAGAATGGGAGTTGAACCAGCGGAGGAAAGGATCGTGGAGTTGGCCCAAGGCGCACATCTTGGGCTTGAAGGCGTGAGCGGGCAAGTCCTGGACGTTCTCGAAGCCGACGGGGATGGAGGGGTGGCCGGGGAGAGGGAGAACTAGGGCTTGGATGGAATTAGGGTAGTTGTGGGTGGAGAGGAGAGGTTGGAGGAGAGGGAGGTTTTGAGGGGTGACAAGAATGGTGTCCTTTCCTCCTCACTATTACGGGTAGGCCTCAAGGAATTTAGATTGAGACTTTCTTGGGGTAAGTTTATGGTGTTTCAGGAATCCAAGCTTTCAACATATATCAAGAGCAAAATCAAAGTTTTTCTCTTGATTGTGAACTAGAAGGATTCATTTACCATGGCTTGTCAGAATAGCAATATTGAACAAAATTTTAACAGAGAGAAGCAGAGAATCTTAGGAGAAGAATTGATGTATTCATTCATTGATCTTACAACACAGTACAGTGATGGTTTTTGTTGACGTAGAAAAATGGTTCGGCACTTTCCCGCGCAACTTAGAGATATTGGGCCTTCGGTATGCTCTGGGCCTCGGTAGGGCGTTCGATCTGTAAGATAGCAAACGCTCGGTAAGACCTAGGGCACCGATGTGGTACCAACCGAAGGCTCTCCGATGCTTAAGTAAGTACGGATTTAGTAAGTTTGAACTACAGATCAATAGGCGGTATGCTGTAAGTTCTGATTGATTACCTCCAAGCTGGGATAGTTGTCCTCTTTTATAGGCCTTGGGAAGTGTGCAATTTGTTTAGAGTTTCGATGTGGGACTGTGGACATCAATTGTGGGACTGCCACGTGTCCCTAGGGGTGAAGTTGCCCTAATCTTGCGATCGGTAGGCATGGTACTGAAGCTAGGTGCCGAGGGCTCCCATAGCTCTAGTTTGGTCCACGTGTCCGATGCTCATTGGCTGTTCATTTTGGTATAAACAGTTTTTATACTAGCTTGTCAAAGCTTTGTGTACACGTTTCTAACCTCTTAACCTTTCTAACTTCTTTTAACATAACGCTAACAGTTTTAACAATATTTCAACAACTCTCTTCCTCAATCTTCTGACATGTGGCAAGGTTAGGACCTTTGATATCTTTGCAATATTCACAGATAGAGAGACAGTCATGGCAAGGGCTTTGCCGCCATCGATGAGGGAGATGGTTTCTGGGTTTTTATTTCCAAGTTTTAAAAATTCTTTGAAATTTATTTTTAAGGGTAAAAATAAATACTAAATTCAGTTGTTAAAAAGTTGTACACATGGCAAATTTTGAAGGGGAGTATCACCGGCTAAAGTGGTGGTACAATACCATTCTATAATTTCTCCTTAAAGAAGGTTGCTAGTATTCCCTATATAACAAAAAGATTTTGCTGTACTTGCTAAAGTTCCATGTTTTTCAAATTTATGTGAGTGTTGCTAAACAATCCAACATGGTTATTGGAAATGATGTGATTACATCCTTATCTATAATCTATACTATCAGAAATTGTGCATGCATCCTTATTCCTTAGCTCGTTTACCTGGTTATTTTGATTGATTGGAGAACAATTATAACTCCGGCGGTGGCTTCGGTGGTTAAGTTGCCAAGGATGCTCTTGGAAATGACTTGCATCTGAATGGCTTAAGACTCATGGCCCTGGTGGCAGGACTCTCACACAAGGATGAAGGTATTGATACATCTTACTATATTGCAAAAATGATTGCAAATTTTCTTTTTTTTTTGCAAAAGTGAAAAATGAAAGGATTTACCTGTAATATTCCGGTAGAATGTCCAAGTCAAAAAACCAATGTTGACAACTAACTCAAAAATAAATTGAAGTTGGATTTTATTGTAAAATTCAGGTACATATATTGTTCTTTTCTTACAAGTTTCTTAAAATGTAGCAAAGCAATCCAAGCATCAGATTACAAATGGAATTGAACATGAAGTTACCAACGTTTGATTTTCTTGTGAAATAATTCCCCTCGATAAGTAGAATTGAAACTCTCAGCAAGGAAGGGGAATTGCATCCATATGAATGAGGTAATTGGAAAACTAGCAAGCAAAATAAGTGGAAGAATAATCCTAAATTTTCCATGAAGCAAAATGATGAGAGCACAAGAAAAGGTAATCATCATGGCGACGATAGATGAAAAAAGGGCGAGAAGGCCTAACATCATTTTTGTGGGTAGGGATTTGAGGAAATCTTCTTGGGCATAACGTGATGTGAGGATTCCTAAGAATATCATTACTGAAGTTGTGGAAGAAAATAGGGAGATAGCATCTGAAACTATAAAAATTATGAATACCCTTTCATTTAAGAATATGGGAAAACCTGTGTTTTGATTATTTCCACCAGGAACCGTAAAGGCTGCAGCAAACATGATGGTAACGATGAGAGCACCTACAACTGTACAAGAAGTTGCTGCCCCTTTCATTGAATTTTCTCCCTCCGCCATCAATTCCTTGTGGTTTTTGGTAAATAGCTCTTGTGTTGTTAATCCACACTTAGAAGTCACTGCTTCAAGAACTTTGGGAGGTACTATACTCTCCACCTCCTGCATTTCATTGAACAAGAAAACAATTGATATATCGCCATGAACTCTTTGTTATTACAAATTAGTTTTTGCTTGTTTTGAGTCTTTTGTCCTTCCTCTAGAAATAATCTAACGATTCATTTTCTGGTGTTTGAAGTGTAATTTTGCAGATTCTGTTGTATTACAACTTTTCTTTTTCTTTTTCTTTTTCTTTTTCTTTTCTGTGACTACTAGAAAAAAGGACTAAGGCCTGTTAGTGTATTTGACTCTGTATATGGGTTTTGGTAAGAATGAAAGATAGAAGAATGATGAAGAAGAGGATTGCAAGATTACTCTGCTATACATGTAGCAGAGAACATTCTTCTTCTTTAGACTGCAAGAATTTGTACAGTATATCTCACACTCTTGGTGTGAGAGTATTACTGTTATACGGTGCCAGCTGGATGCATTACATCACAATGCAATCTCAACCTTCCATTAAACTAACCAATCAACCTATGCCACTTGGATTAAGAACCAAAAATTACAAGAAAATAGAAAACAACTATCTATGAAATCAGCTTGAGCACTTATAATTCAACACTCCCCTTTAAGTCTTGAGCTGATTTCACTCCAAGCATGCCTCTGAGATAATTGAATCGATCTTTGGCCAAGGGTTTGGTGAAGATGTCAGCCAGTTGCTCATTCGTGGGACAATATTCTAGATTAATAACTCCTTCTTGCAAAACATCCTTGATGAAATGGTATCTCCTGTCAATATGTTTTGTCTTCTGGTGGATTACAGGATTTTTTAGTGATTGCTATTGCTGAGATGTTATCACAATGCAATGGAGTAGCTTCAGTTTAAAGCTCTCCAAAATCCTCTAGCACAAATCGTAGCCAAATGGCCTGTGTAGTAGCCTCTGCTGCACTGATGTACTCAACTTCTGCAGTGGATAGTGCAACACAGTTCTGTTTCACTGAGGCCCAAGAAAACACTCCACTCCCAAAAGTAAAAGCATACCCTGATGTGCTTTTGCTATCACCAACTGATCCTCCCCAATCATTGTCACAGTAGCCGATCATAACTGATTTCCTGCCTTTCACATACTCTAAGCCGTAGTCTAGAGTTCCCTTGACATATCTCAGACACGTTTAGCTGTTCCATAATGCCTGTTTGTAGGACAGTGCATGAATCTGGCTAGCAGACTTGAAGCATACATGATGTCGGGTCTTGTAGCAGTTAAGTACAACAGACTACCAACAATGCTTCTGTAGTGTTCTTCATTTGCAACTCCACTTCCATCATCCTTAGCTAGTTTCTCAGTGGCAACAAGGGGTGTGGTTACAGATTTGCATTCAGTCAAGCCAAATTTGTTCAACAAGGTGCTAGCATACTTCTTTTGATGTAGAAATATACTAGACTCAGTTTGAATAACTCCCATGCCAAGAAAATGATGAAGTAGGCCCAAGTCAGTCATCTCATACTTAGCCATCATATCTTCTTTGAATTCAGCCAACAATGCTTGACTGCTCCCTGTATACACAATATCGTCTATATAAATAGACACAATTAGGATCTCCTTATCTCCCCTTACCTTGGTGTACAAGGTTGCTTCACTTAAGCTTTTCTCGAAACCACATTCAGAGAAATAGTTATCTATCTCTCCATACCAGGCCCTAGGTGCTTGTTTCAAGCCATATAGAGCCTTATGCAGCTTATAAACCTTGTCTTCTTGACCTTGAATCACAAAACCATCCAGTTGATTAATGTAGACTTCTTCTTGTAACACTTCATTAAGAAAAGCAAACTTCACATCAAGTTGATACAATTTCCAGTTCTTTTGAGCAGCAAGAGCAATAAGTGTTCTGATAGTATCCAATCTGGCTACAGGTGCATACGTTTCATTGTAATCCAGCCCAGGCTTCTGAGCATATCCTTTGGCAACTAACCTTGCTTTATTCTTTTGAACTGAACCATCCAAATTTAGTTTTATCTTATAAACCCATTTAACTCCAATTACTGGTTTTTCAGATGGTCTATCCACCAATTCCCATGTTCCATTCTTTTCAATCATCTGCAGTTCATCTTGCATAGCCTTAAGCCAAGATTCATCTTGTGCAGCATCTGCATAGTTTTCTGGTTCCATGATGCACAAGTTACATTGTGCCAGCACATCATCTAGTCTCCTCCACTTTAATGGAGAATGATCATAGGCTTGAGTTCTTCTTTCTTCACTACTTATATCACTTGGAGTGTGATGTGAAGTTGACAAATTTCCTTCCTGCAGATTCTGAGTTTGAGGTGTAGTCGCATCATTGTCATCTGAATTTCCAGAATTGGCATCAAAATCTACTTGATTTCCAACTGAGTATGATGGCATGTCTGAACCATTGTTATCTGTCCAATTCCACACACCTTCTTCATCAAATGTCACATCCCTTGACAATACCAGCTTGTTAGAAATTAGATCAAAGACCCTATAACCTTTTTCACAAATTGCATATCCTACAAACACCCCTTTTGTACTCTTGGGTTCCAGTTTGTGTCTCAATTCATCCGGCACATGAACATAACACAAAGAACCAAATATTTTAAGATGTACAATTCCAGGTTTCCTTCCACTATATGCTTCAAATGGAGTGATATTGCTGAGGGCTTTGGTAGGACACCTGTTCAGCAAGTAAACAGCTGTATGCACTGCTTCAGCCCATAGGAAATAGGGTATTCCCTTCTCATGCAACATTGATTTGGCCATTTCAATAACAGTCCTATTCTTCCTCTCTACCACTCCATTTTGCTGAGGAGTATAGGCCATTGTGAGTTGCCTTTGGATGCCTTGAGCTTCACAAAACTCCACAAATTCTGCAGACAGAAACTCTCCACCTCTGTCACTTTTGATGCATTTCACTTTGTGTCCAGTTTGTAGTTCAATCATTTATTTGAACTTCATGAAACAACTGAAGGCTTCTGACTTGTTTCTTAAAAAGTATACCCAAATCATCCTTGTGAAGTCATCAATAATCAACATGAAATATATGTTCTTTGCAACAGATTCATTTCTCATAGGGCCATATAGATCTATATGCACTAATTCAAGTGCCTTGCTTGCTCTTTGAGCTTGTTCCTTTGGAAACACAATCCTGTGTTGTTTTCCCAGTTGGCACCCTTCACACACACCACTTTGTGCTTCCAATTGTGGTAAGCTATGCACCATGCCTTTCTCTCTTAACTGTTTCAGACCTTTAAAGTGCAAGTGACCTAGTCTCTTATGCCACATCCATGTGCATTGAGTGAAACTGGTTTTCATGAGCAGCTGCTTGTCAGCAAGAAAGGATACCGGATAGCATCTGTTACTCTTCATTGGTACTTTGATGATTAGATAATCCATAGATGGACTATCAAACACCCTGCATATTCCTTCTCCAAACACCAAACATTATCCATGTTGATCCATCTGCCCAACACTGAGTAGGTTTTCCTTCAACCCTAGCAGATACATTACTTCTCTGATGTATTTCTTGCCCTTTTCTGTGTCAATCATCAGTGAACCAATGCCAGCTACATTTACAAGTGCACCAGTCGGCATTTGTACCTTCCCAGTCACATTAGTTCTCACATCAACCAACAATTTTAAATCTCCTGTCATATGATTGCTACAGCCACTATCAACATACCATTCTCCATTGGCTTTGATCTCAGTGGTTGTGCAATTGGCATAAAACAGATTCCCTGTCACATCCATTTGGTTTACATAATTTGCCTTCTGCACATTCTTATTCACAGTACAGTCCCTTGCAAAATGTCCAAATCTATCACAGTTATAGCATTTTGGTTTTCCCTTATATCTGCACTCACCAAAATGATGCTTGGAACACACCTTGCATTGAGGTTTAGCATTCTCCTGGTTTGTGGAATTGACATTCTGTGCAGGATAGCTGCTCTGTTGTGACTTGCCTTTTGATTCCCATGGCTTTCCTTTAGAGTTCCAATTTCCCTGTGACTTGAATGAACCAGACTGAGATCCATTTTTATTCTGACCTTTGGAACTCACAGTGAATGAGGCAAATGCTTTTTCATGTGTATCAACATTATGCATTTCAAACCGCTGTTCTTGACTCTTCAATATAGCAATTACTTCTTTCAACTCCACAGTTTCGAAATCCTTTGTGTTTTCAATCACAAGACATATAGGATCATATTTCTTACTTAGACTAATTAAGACCTTTTGCACCTGCCTCTCCTTTGAAAGCACTTCACCAAACGTTTTCATTTGGTTGATCAATTCATTTAGTCTAGTAAGATAATCAGATAAGGTTTCATTATCACGCATCCTAGTGTACTCAAATTCACGTATGGGATTTTGAAGTTTTACCCATCTAACATGGTCTCCCCCATGATATTCTGAGTACAGCAGATCCCAAGCCATCTTTGCAGAGTCAGCATTTGCAATCCTGGGAAAGATCTGATCAGAAACTGCATTTTGGATAATTTCAAGAGCTTTTGCATCCTTCATGAGAATGACAGCTGCTTTCTCATCAACCTCTTCTTCTGAGATTTCCTTAGTTATCTTCTTCTTCTTTGAATCTGATGAAGGAAGTCCTTTCTCTACCAGATTCCAAAGACCATAAGATCGGAATATGGTAATCATCTTAATCCGCCAAAACTCATAGTTCTCTCCAGAGAAAATTGGAAGTCTCGCCTCTGAGCTTCCAGATCTAGCCATTTTGATTTCTGATGCACCGAAAACAAGTTGTTTTCATACCTAAAAATTTGATCGAACTCACTCAGCTTCGTAAGCTTGAAAATGAACTTCTCCTCGACCGATTTTCTTCACAGAATGAACACCCCTTTAGCTAATCGAACCTGGCTCAGAGGCCATGTTAGTGTATTTGACTCTGTATATGGGTTTTGGTAAGAATGAAAGATAGAAGAATGACGAAGAAGAGGATTGCAAGATTACTCTGCTATACATGTAGCAAAGAACATTCTCCTTCTTTAGACTGCAAGAATTTGTACAGTATATCTCACACTCTTGGTGTGAGAGTATTACCGTTATACGGTGCCAGCTGGATGCATTACATCACAATGCAATCTCAGCCTTCCATTAAACGAACCAATCAACCTATGCCACTTGGATTAAGAACCAAAAATTACAAGAAAATAGAAAACAACTATCTATGAAATCAGCTTGAGCACTTATAATTCAACAAGGCCACGGTTGCTACCTCTTCTTCAATTTTGGCGTGTGTCTAGGTGCTTGTATTATTGGTTCTGGGAGGCGTCTTTTGGTCGATTTAGTACCTTATCCCAACCGAGTTTGAAACACATGTATACTGGATAGTTAATTTGACCATGGCAGTTTTATATATGCAACTTCTCATATTGGTTTGATATGAATTTCAACTTAGCATGTAGGGACAGTAACTTGCAAAACATAACGAGTCAGAATTTCTAACCTTGAACCATTGTATTTCTCTTTTCATTTGTAAAGCTGCACCTTGAACCATTAGTGTAGAAGGGGAGAAACTAACTGCTAAATCTAGCAGTGTGTTTCCAAGCTTATCAACAGCACCTACTACAAACTTTCTTCTCTTTTCACTGAGCTCATATATAAGGTTATAAACCTTTTCTCGACGACGTTCAATTGCAAAGTGAAAAATGGTCCTGCCTTTTGTATCAGTGATCCCCCAGAGGTTTGGATTTTCTCTACATATATGAGAAATAAACTCCACATGCCCTCGTTCTACGGCTTGGAAGATCGCTGTATGCACGCAACCTACATCAGTAAGATTGCTTGTCGCTTTGGACATGTGACGTAGAAATTCAAAGATTCGTGTATGAGTCACTTTCATTTCATATATGCGATTGATTCCTGGGATGACATCGAGAAGGCAAAATTAACAAGGTTTTAAAATAACTGATGATCACTGAGACAAAAAAGAGAAAGGAAAAGAAATCAACAATGTGGATGTAGGCTGTAGCTTACCTAAAATTTCAAGGAGATTTGTAACTAGTCGTCGCATTAAACCCATATCTGCATTGCAAATCCAAAATATGTTGCAAAAGAACATATATAAAACAGGATACAAAATACCCCGCACATTCTCAGTAAATGATAATAAAAAGTGGTTTCTTTTTCCTTGTCATAAACAAAAATTATTTACATAAATTGTATAAGAAAACCATCTATATATATAAAGCAAAAAGCAGAGAATGGTGAAACATTTAAAATACCAAAATATGACTTGATTAATGTAAACATTAAGAACTGAAATTATTAATTAAATGAGGATAATATGATAAAATCACACTTTTTCATATTAAAAAAATTAAAATAAAAACAAATACCAGATAATGGATCCTATTTTATGAAACACAACTACCCATTATCTTTTTTAATTCTAAAATAAATTTAAATTTTTTTAAAAAAAGCCTCTCATAGGTGTAGAAACACGTGCGAGGCTAGTAACAATAACAAACAATTTCCAAGAGCCCTCCTTTTCTTCTATATATATTTTTCCTCCATCTTCAAAAAAAGTTCAAAAACTAAAAACCAAAACCCTACAGATTACCAAACAAGCCTTAAGTAAAAGATGTTGTATGACGTTAAAAAAAATAATATAAAAAGGTTTCAGGAGGTCAAATCAAGCGACACTTCAGAGTTGGAACTTGCAACCTATATATGTGAAGTTATTTAATATTTATTAAAGTATTTCTGTTTAGTTGGAACGAATAACCCTATGTTTTAGGGAAGTAGCTGAGGTTTGAACGTTTCTTTAGGAAGATCTCTTAAATTTAGGAGCTGTTGGTCATGTGATCGTGCAGCAGGTCATGGAGTTGTGCAAGTTTCTTTTCTGTTTTTGTAAGGCTATTTAACAGCCATCTTTCACTTAATGAAGTATTCAATTCTCCCACTCTGTTTCCTCTCAGTAAATCTTAAAACTAACAATATATATATATATATGTACCTGAGCGGATCAGACTCCTTTGATTATTTCCATCATGTTCTGTAGGTTGCATATTTATACGAATATTGTTCATGTCCATAGGAGGTATTTGTACACCTATTAAGAAAACAACACAATCCAAGAAATACATTAAACTATTTCTCTGGAGATTCTGAATAAGAGGATTTCTTACAAAAAAATCCTCAATAAATATATGGGGATTGCTAACAAACAGTCGCTTTTGGGCGACTGTAGCTGTCACATACTACTTTAGCGAATGACTGCCTGACATGTGGGCTAAATTTAGTCATGAGTTATATGGCTATTTTCAAGATGCTAAAAGGTCAAATGTGACTCTCCAAATTTGGCTAAAATTTTATTTAGCCCATGACTGAAGATGAGTTTTGCATTAATTTAGTACTATATTTGGGATATAGCCCATGGCTGTAGATGGCCTAAAACCATCTCCAGTTAAGCTAAATTTAGTCCTGAGTTATGGATGCTCTAACTAAGCAAATTGGATAACACCACACAGAAAACCAAAAGACATCCGTTTTTTTTTCTCTCTCATAAAAAACACAAGACAGAGAAAGTCATCCCCACCGTAAGAAACGACAGAACGCCATTTCACCAGTACCAGAAAAGAAGGTGCGAGGAATTGACTCCAGAAAAAAAAAGCTGGAGGAAACCTCCAGAAACCCATTCTACCAAGTTCAGTCATCTCTCAAAGGCTAGCTCCGTGTATGAAATTAGACCCATCCCCATCTAGTGCAAGAGCTTCGCCAAAAATCAAATTAAGCCATATAAAGGAGAATATTGGAAAATATCTCAAGTTATGATATTGAATAATAAAGAGGAGAATGTAGTACTAACAGTCATAAATCCATCGTCGCCATAAGTTGAGACGACTTCCACTTGCAAATGCAGACCGCATACAGACCAGTGCATTTAAAGGGGATTGTCCGGAGTAGTCTATAGTAGTTGCCAAGTTTGGACGACGTTGAATTAAGTCCCACCCAATATCTATATATATAGGAATTTGAAAGTAAACGAATTAGTTATTATAAACGAAAAGATTAATTAAGAAAATAATACAATATATGTAAATGTAGTTTTCTCTTATATATATGCGTGAATTCCAGCCAAGGATCAATCTATTTGTTTTAGTCTAAATCAAATTTGTTCTGAAAAGGATGATAAATTCATTTTCTGTTTTATTTTAATTTTGAATTAATGACTTTTGAATTCATTTTCAGAATAATCAAGTCAAATGCTAGCAAATTAATGTCCTTAACATTAATTAACCTATGTATCTGAAACTCTCACCAAAGTGTTTGCTCAAAAAACACTGGGAAATAAGTGCAGCCCCATCTCGATCGTTGAGATCTTCAAGTGGAGTGAGAGAATAGAGATAGTTAGCCATTTCCCATTGGCCCCGACGATAAGCATTGATCAGTGGAATTGCATTGTTGGGAGGGGATCTGATGCTGAGTAATTTTTTGTTTTTTTCAACCATGCATTTAGCCATTTCGATGTCTCCTAGAATTACCGTACAGGCAAAAGCTGTGAGACCATAAGCGTCTTTTATTTCCAAATCTTTCTCCGTCATCAGCTTCACCAACTCTTTCACAACCTGCAGTTCCTCAGATTTCACTGCTACGTGAAGAGCTGTCTCTCCTTCTGGAGTTATTCTTGATCTTACTGCTTCGGGTTTTGTTTTAAGAAACTCCTCTGCAGAATTCCAACGACCAAACAGCAAATCCCAGATGAAACTTTCATAGCAGTCGAAGTCGTTGCTGGCATTATTCTCACATCCTGGCAAGGCAAGTGAGAAAGGTTAAGATTGTTACTATTTAAGATTCAAAAAAATTAAGACCACTAATGTAAAAAAGATTACTGGATACTGCCATACTGTCTTTCTATAATACATATTACATATGAAACAATCTAATTAATATATAACATGTCAAATTGTTTAACGAAATAACACTTTTAAAGTTTTACTATAATTTTCGTTTAATTAAATATTCAACACAGAAATGTTTTGCGCGGATAGAGGCATAATACCATCATCAATCGCTTCCCCTTCCAAGTCTTCATCTGGCTCCTCCACCTCACGCTCCACTTCAGCTGGCTTAAACTTTTCTGCCAAAGTATCCCAGGCAACGTGGGCCCTGCTGATGCCTCTGATCAAAGAAAAAGTTTCAACCCCACAAGAAATCTGGATCGCATGCAAAGCCTTGGCATTTCTCTTCTTCCAATCCTTAATTTTATCAGCTTCACCATCCTTGGGAGGCTTTGTAGTGGTGCCCTTGACAACGTCCCACAGATCTTCAGCCAACAAGTAGGTTTTAACCCGAAAACTCCACTCTTCATAGTTACCTTGGTTAAGAACTTGGAGAACAATTGCACTAGGGACTACTTTAGCCGCCATCCTCAATCAACCTGTCAACTTATTCCAATGTGACTTTATGCCCAGCATATGAGAAAACTAAACAAGCAAGAAATTGAACAAAGAAAAATGAAAAATGTATAATATTACTCACAGCTGATTGGATTGGGCAATCTTCAAGAAGCAGCAAACTTCTGATTTATAGATCACAATATGTTTTTTTTTTCTTCTTTTCATTTGTAATAACTCAGGAATTAATAAAAAAAGACTTGGCAAAAGACCAAGAAGATGCCCACTCTTATTGGTACAGTTGGTCATGTGAAAGCATGTATAAAATAACGGACGGACTCCAACTAATTCGAGTCGTCAATAATTAATGGAGTAATTTTCTGTCGGCAGATTGGGAAAGGTAGGCCCGGCCCGCAATTTGGTCTGGACAATTTGTCATTTCCTTTTTGATTTTTTATACAAGTAAGAATCTAAACTAGACTAAATTAATCTGATCTACATTAGTATCAAAAATACACAAGAAAAGAGAATGGTGAAGTGAAGCAAAGTATAACTACTCACAAACTGAATTGGGGAAATCTTCAAAAGGATGGAGCTTAATTATGAATTCCACTATGTGCATCTGAATGCAGTGGCCAAACTTCTAATTTATAGACAAACAATAATGTTTCGTTCAAAAAAAAGATAAACAATATTGTATGTTTTCGTTATGTTTGTTCACCGAACACTTAGGTTGAAGATTATGTGATGTTTTCTTTACCATCCAAGAAAAGAATGTGAAGCGTTCCAATTCAAACATCTTTTGCTTACAAAAGAAAATCAAACAGCTTGTGACTAAATTACGCAAGAGGTGCACGATTAACCAAATCATGAGTCTACTTGTGTTTTTTGTTTTTGTTTTAATTTGAAGTCTTTAATTATGCTTATTTTTTATCTGAAGTCTTTAATTATGTCTGATTCTAGACAACAAATCAGCAAAGACCAAAAAGATGCACCTCTGTTGGGCATGTGAACGTAGTAATTATACACATTGACCAAAAAAGTAACGTGGTAAAGAGAGTTCGAGAGTTCCAGTGCAGGAAATTTCGTCGACTTTAGAGCATCTTCAATGCTTGCCAGTGGAGTCCTACCATGCTGTTAGGAGGAGGTGTTTGGCGACAAAAAAGTTTGGGAAACTAGAAGAAGGCAGATACCTGTAATTGTGTGTGTGTTATAAATCTCTTAGAACGAAATGCCTAATTTGCTTTGAAGAACCTTCATCTTTTTTTGGGGTTGCTTCAAGCTTGCTCCATCTCGAACCCCTACTTATTTTTAAGACAATAAAGAGAATTCATTAACAACAGGGGCAATTAGTAGAACTGAACAACACAAAATCCCGAACGCCCACTTTAAACCAAATCTAAGAATACACTTCAAACCACATAGGCCAGAAACAACGGACAAACATAATAACAAGAAAAACAGCCTATTAGAAGCCACAATAATCAAAGGAAAAACAGAGCAAAACACCAGGCAATCTCGAACCCCTACTTTATTCCTACTTTCTTTTACTTTTCTTTGTTGGGTGTCTTCATGTTTCACTAAAACAATAGGATCTCTTTAATTCTCATCATTGCTGCAAGAGAAAGCAAAGGAAATCCAAAGAACCATTAGTTTCTTATAGACTCTTTGGAACGCCAATATATATACAGTCCCTTTTACTTTTCCCTTTTTCTTTTTTTTGTCACTAGCTAGGGAGGTGAAGGGGAGAATATTAGGTGGTTTCTCAAGGTGCAGCAATGGAGGCTCGGTGCCATGGGGCGGGGCACGGGGGGAGGAGGAACACCTCAACCACTGAGGTGGGAACCCATTGCCTTTTACTTTTCCCCTCTCTAGCTATATATAATTCATGGTGCACTGTAATAGTGTAGTGACCAAGATAATATTGGACCTCCCACCACCAAACATGTTTCGCACGAAAAGCATCACAAAAAAAATAAATAAATAAATAACAAATTGAACATCCTGATTCTCACACCAACAAAATGTTAGACCAATGTCCAAAACCAAATCACCACACCGTGCCATTTTTACAAATAACAAGCTCTGTTGGCAATATCATTAGTTGCCTAAGATAATGTTGAGTATGTCAGCACATGAAAAGCCCATTATTGTTATTTAAGTAAGCTTTTCTTTTTTTTCTTTCAAAGTTTCTAGTATAGAAGAGGAAAAGAAAAATGAAAATCTGTTGAACATGTGGTAATGTGGCACCCTACTAGTTGCTGTAGTCGTTACAAAACCGAATTTCAACCACACCAAAAACAGAGAAAGAAGCTAACAGTATCATCTCCAAGAAAATCTCATACCATGGCTTCCTCTACTCTTATCTTCTGCTACCACTTCGCAGGTATATATATACCCCAAAAAAAACTATATAGGTATATATATGAAAGATAGAACCCTCTTATAGAGAAAGATAAAACTCCTGCCACATATGGAATCAACGCTGCCTGCACTCACCTTGGTTGTGTTGTGCCATTTGCCGCGGCCATATATATACCCCTCGGGGCAGCTGCATTAGGCTGCTAGCACCAACTTTTTACCGCAATTTGTCTAACAATAAGTAACAAGTGACTCATTACGCACCACCTTTTCACGAATAAAGTGATAATTCACTTCCACATGACGAGTGTGAGAGTGAAATACAGGATTAGAAGCCACAGAGAGAGCACTAATATTATCACACCAAAGCTTGGGACAAGGAACTGGAAGATGAAGATCGAGAAATAAAGCACGTAACCATGAGAGAGTGGCGGCAGTGTAAGGCAAGTTGGCGATATTCGGCCTCAGTACTCGAGTGAGAAATGCCACATTGCTTCTTAGAACTCCATGAGATTGAGTTAGTACCCAAGTAAACACAAGAACCACCAGTGGAGCGACGATCGTCAAGATTCCCCGTATAATCGGCATCAGAGTACACACTGAGAGAGAGAGTACTAGGGGAATAGAATAACCCATGAGTGAGTGTGTCGTTCAAATAACGAAGAATGCTTTTGATAGCGAGCCAGTGAACAGTAGTGGGTTGATGCATAAAGACCCACTTGATCAATAGCAAAGGCAATGTCTGGACGAGTAAGAGTTAAGCACTGAAGAGCCCCAACTGTACTATGATACTCGGTGGGATCAGGAAGAGGATCCCCATCAGAGAGGCTAAGATGACGTCCACTCACAGCTAGGGTAGGCACAAGTTTGGCTTCATGCATGTTAACACGCTTAAGAAGATTGACAACATACTTGGTCTGAGTAAGAGAGAGACTAGACGGAGTACAAACAATCTCCATGCCTAATAAATAATTGGAGGGGCCAAGATCCTTCATGGAGAACTGATGACCCAAATTAGAGATAAGTGTGGCGATGCGAGAAGGATCAGAGCCAGTGACAAGAATATCATCCACATAAATCAACAAATAAATGCGAACGGAGACTTGAATGTGGACAAAGAGAGACGAGTTGGATTTAGAGGCAAGAAAATCCTGAAATTGGTACTTAGGTGACGAGGGGTAAATTTAAATGATAATCAAGCAATACACAACAAACTTCAAACACTTTAAACCTTGACCAGATACTCTTATGACTAGTCACCTGTCATACATGAATTACCATAACCAAGAACATACACCGAGCATATCAAGATGTACCTACAAGCATAGAGAATTACTAGTGACAACCTAGGCACTCAGAAGGACCCATCAATCTAGGCATCCCCTATGCTAGCAACAACTATGGTGAAAGTGTGTGAAGACATCATAATCAAGTAAACATCAAACAGCAGGAAATGATGACTAGTCAACCGCAAGAACACAAACCCAGAAATACATGAACATCATGCTATGACTAGTCAACTATCAAGAACATAAACCCACACAAAAAGGGAGGAGTCTCAAGCGGGAACAGAGTGAGAGCGACGAGTCCTAGGTGCCCTAGGAATGGTGGGTATGATATCCACTATGTCACTGAATTTGGATTTCGAGCGGCATTGGTAAGTGAGAGTGGCTTTGAAGACGACATGGGGCACAGTGGGAAAGAATTGGAAAACAAAGAGGGAAGAAGGTGCGAAGAGACAAAACAGAGAATGAAAGGGGAAAAGATTTATGGACCCAAAGAAAGTTATTTTCTGGTTTTGTATCTGAAAGGGACAAACTTAAAGAAAAGAAGGAAGGAATGCGACAAAAAGAGAGGGAAAACAAAAACCTAAACAGAAAATGCAAAAAAAAACTGCTAAAAAACAAAAAGAAAGAAACTGCCGAAAAGATAAGAGAAAAATAATAATAATAATTACTCCATGTCCCATGACTTCAAAGACACCATACTCAAATGCCAAAGATAGAAATCGCCTAAACTCTAGTCCTCACAGATATCACTCAAATTTTCACTCAGATCCTAAGGTGTGGTCTCTCCTCAAACATATGTGAGTGAAGTTATGTAAAAGGGAATCAAAATCCTCACATATGAAATATAAAATAAAAGCACAATTTTTGGACAGATCTCATGAAAGGAATCAAACACTAAGAATATGGATAGCACACATACTTAGCAACACCCATGAATACATCCTCAAAGATCAGCTAGGTCTTTCATAAGGTTTGTAATGTAAGGCTTAGGTCAAGGGCTATAAAAGAAAGGATAGGAAATACTAAAGCTTGGGACATACCAAAGTGTCTTCCTTGTGAAAACAGCAAGCTCTCCTCTTGAATTGATCTTTGTTGTTTGTTCGTGGCATCCAGGACCCGTGCGATAATGGAAGGATTTAGAAATTACATCCTCTTTGATTTTTTTTTCCTAAAACTTTGTTTCTTTTCTTTTTTTCACAATTCCAGCACACATACCTCGGTACATGCCACTTTCTTGATGTAGAGCTTGAATTATCTTTGTCTTCATCACTTTGGCATTCCCCAAACTATAGGGTATAGTTGTAATGGCTAAATATCTCATATTGAGATAAAAGGATATTGGGAAAAAAATGTGAGAAAAGAAAATGGCTAAAAATGATTGGCTTCAAAACAGGATAATGACACACACATAAAGGTAAGAAATTAGGCCTTTTGGTGGTTAAGACATGCATTGCCTAACATCGTCTCAATGAGTTCATTCATGAGTGTTACCAAACACATGGTATCTGCGAAAGAGAACAATTCTTAGCGTTCAATCAAACAAAAATAATGAGATCATTTGAAATGAAATTGAAGCAAAAATATAGGAGTACAAACACTTTAAACCCTCTCAAAGAAGTAAATAGGCTCAAAATCACTCACTAGGGCAGTCTCCACAATTCTTCTTTCAAAATTTGAGCATGATACTTTAACCACCATGATTCCAAGAGTAACAGCTTTGGGAAAAAAAAATGATACGTACTTTTTCATGACAACACAGTAGTCCTCATTGTAAACCATAGCCCTCATATACATTCACATTAGTAAGCAAAAGCAAACTTTAACCAGAACTAAAAACAAACGAAAATCCCACACCCCCAAACCTAAAATAAGCATTGTCCTCGATGCTTTAAAAAAAATTAATGGAATGGATGCAATGCAAATTGGCACAGTGTGCATGGAATGAAATAAAATAAAAACTAAAAACTAACACAAATAAAAGGAAAGGACACAAACCCAGCTAGGTTGCCTCCTAGCAAGCACTTTATTTAATGTCTAGGCAAGACATGGTAGTGTGTCTAAGTTGTCATAAACTCGAGAGAATTCATAACTACATAAACCTGCTCCTATGAAACATTCTCCAAATAAGGCTTCAAACGTTGTACATTGACCTTAAAACATGCCATTCTTAATGTTTTCTATCTCCATAGCTCCATGGGAAAATACTTGAAGCACTTTGAATGGTCCAACCCATCTAGACTTCAATTTACCTAGAAAAAGTCGGAAACGTAAGTCATACAAAAATACTTTCATACCTGGTTGAAACTCCTTCCTAAGAATTGCTTTGTCATAGTAGAGCTTGGTTCGTTCTTTTTAGATCCTAGCATTCTCATATGATTCATTTATGAGCTCTTCCAACTCATTAAGTTGGAGCTTCCTCACTGTACCAACTTCTTTGATATCAAAATTGAACTTTTTTATGGCAAAATATGCACAGTGCTCGAGCTCCATTGGCAAATGACACGCCTTTCCAAACAGCAGTCGATAAGGGCTCATTCCAATTAGGGTCTTGTACATTGTTCGATACACCAAAAGTGCATCATTCAACCTTAGTGACCAATCCTTCATTGTAGGGCTGACAGTTTTCATCAAGATGTTCTTTATTTCTCTATTGTTGATTTCCACTTGTCCAGAGGTTTGAGGATGATATGGAGTTGCCACTTTATGTGTGATGTTGTACTTCTTCATCAATGCCTCGAAAGATCTGTTGCAAAAGTGATTGCCACCATCGCTAATGATAGCTCTGGAAGTTCCAAACCTAGTGAAAATCATATCTTTGAGAAAATTCAAAACAACTTTATGATCATTAGTTTGTGTAGCTGTTGCCTCAACCCAGTTTGATACATACTGCCACTAGTATGTATATGTATCCAAAAGAATATGGGAATGGTCCCATGAAGTCAATTCCCCACACATCAAACAGCTCTACCACTAAAATGTTGTTTAATGGCATTTCATTCCTGCGACTAATGCGCACTGAAATGACCTCCGCATGCCAATGCATGATTGAATGTTAGTATGCTTTGCTGCTCACTCTCCGGAACACATCTTCGAATGATTTGGTGAGGGCAATACTTGAACAAATAGGGATCATCCCACATGTAGTGTTTCACCATTGAAAAGAACTTTTTTCTCTCCTGAAAAGTCAAATTATCTCTAATTACATCAGAAGCAAGATAATTGACAAAATCAACATATCATGGCTCTTTATCTTGAATGATAAAGAGTTGTTCATCCGGGAATGATTCGTTGAGAGGCAAAATTTGTCAATCTCCATGGTTTTCATCAACAAGGCACGACAAGTGATCAGCAACAACATTTTCACTCCCTTTCTTGTCTTGAATTTCTAGATCAAACTCTTGTAACAAGAGTATCCATCTGATCAAATGTGGTTTAGCATCTTTCTTTGTCAACAAAAACCTAAGAGCTGCATGATCAGAGTAAACAATAACTTTAGAGCCAACAAGATATGAACAAAATTTCTCTAAAGCAAAAACAACAGCAAGCAACTCTTTCTCAGTTGTAGAGTAATTGAGTTAAGCATCGCTTAATGTCCGACTTGCATAGTAGATTACATGTGGTAGTTTATTTACTCTTTGACCTAAAACAGCAAAAATAGCATAGTCGGAGGCATCACATTGTAATGACCCGGTCCTAAATAAATTGATGAATATTATTTTATTCAGATACAATACCATTTCGCCCTTAGAATATTTTATTAGGTTTAAAGTTGACTTTTTGACCGGGAAGGAATTTGGGAATTTCGATTATACCGTTGCGTAGAGCACAGCGAGATGAATCCGCAGACATGTAATGGGCTTAAATCGGAGCTGTGACGAAGAAGTTACAAGCAAAACATCATCAGTGGCATAATCGTAATTTCAGAGAAAAGGATTTTGATAAAAATTTGATTTTTCTCTCTCTCTACCCCCCCACACAGTCTCTCTCTCTCCCCTCTCTCCCGACAGCAGTGATAGCCAGCCACGTTTTGGCCGGCCGTCCCCTCATCCGGCCACCAACATTGACGGGGCCGGTACCAAAATGACCGAGCCGTCGTCCTCTTCCAACCCCAGCCAAGCCCCGCCGTCTGCCGTCGCGATTTCACCTGAAAAATAGAAAAGAAATGGCCGATTTTCGCTTAAAATTCTTCAATTCGTTCTCCGTCATCCGGCCACCATTTCCGGCAAGTGAGGTATGCTTTCTCGCCTATTTTTCATGATCTAGCTGATGGTTGGGTAGGATTGCATCAATTTTGAGCGTAGATAGCTTGATTTTCGAATTGGATTTTGGCCGGTTTTGATATCGCAATTCCGGCCACTTCCGGTCAGTTTTTGGGGTAAGTCCAAGACCAAAGTGGTTCCAAATAGGGTGTTTTACCTAGGGTAGGAAGCTAGATTTCCAGTTTTGAAGATTTCCAGTTGCCGGAATTTGATCAAGCCACCCATGCACTGCCGGCGTGTGTGGCGGCGCGTGGGCCACTTGTTGGCCCGTCTTTGAGTCCTAAAATTATCCTCATGTAGTTACGAGCATGACAGTATGCTCGGATATGAATTCGGATATCATGTGATTGTCGATCGGATATCGCATATTGCGTTTTATCCGGGTTCGATAGGTTTGAAACGTTGGATCGTCGTGAAGTTGATATATGATAATCTAGACATCCTTAGGATAGTGTAGGATTTGACAGGCAATAAAACGGATTCCCATATACTCCGGAAATGCCAACCCTAAGGCTAGGTTTACAGTAATCGTTCAATCGTGCGATCGTGAGCTATCCGACCGTCCGATCTGAACCAAACTTGCAGGACGTGTATTCTAAACCTTGTAGAGCCTATAGAAACTTTTGGATCGGAATTTGGGGGTTGTGGACCCCGTGGGCCCGTTTGACCAAGTTTGGGTAGTCTGACCCTTGGTTGACCATGAGTCTTCCGAGGTAGTTTTACCTTCCTGGGAGGATTATAACGACCCTAGTGACAGGTCTTGAGCGTCGTTGAGTTATGTTGATTATGTGGGATTAGGATATTAATTTATTGTTTTAAATTGGGGGATTATCGGATGCTATATTGTGTTTGAGGTTTATGCTATTTTGGAAATTAGTATATATATATATATATATATATATTATAAAGATATAAAGATGTTTGATTATACTGTAAGTACCATCCTATGATTATGAGGTCCCACGTGGCGTAGGATTTCCCAGTGTGTGGACATACCTCATACATGGCGTTGGATTTTCTGGCGTATGGGGAGATTGTGATATGAAATGATAGGTCACACGTGGCGTAGAATTTTCCGGCGTGTTGACAGACCCCATACGTGGCATTGGATTTTCCTGCGTATGAGGAGATTATGTGATATGAGATGCTAGATCCCACGTGGCGTAGGATTTTCCGACGTGTGGACAGACCCCATACGTGGCGTTGAATTTTCCGGCGTATGGGAAGATTGTGATATGAGATGATAGGTCACACGTGGCGTAGGATTCTCCAGTGTGTTAACAGACCCCATACGTGGTGTTGGATTTTTCGGCGTATAGGGAGATTATGTGATATGAGATGCTAGGTCCCACATGGCGTAGGATTTTCCGGCATGTGGACATACCCCATACGTGGCATTGGATTTTCCGGCGTATGGGGAGATTGTGATATGAGATGATAGGTCACACGTGGCGTAGGATTTTCTGGCGTATGGGGAGATTATGTGATATGAGATGCTAGGTCCCACGTGGCGTAGGATTTTTCAGTTTGTGGACAGACCACATACGTGACGTTGGATTTTCCGGTGTATGAGGAGATTGTGATATGAGATGATAGGTCACACGTGGTGTAGGATTTTCCGGCTTGTTGACAAATCCCATATGTGGCATTGGATTTTCCGGCGTATGGGAGGATTATGTGATATGAGATGCTAGGTCCACGTGGCATAGGATTTTCCAGCATGTGGACAGACCTTATACATGGCGTTGGATTTTCCAGCATATAAGATTGTGATATGAGATGATAGGTCACACGTGGCGTAGGATTTTCCAACGTGTTGACAGACCCCATACGTGGCGTTGGATTTTCCGGCGTATGAGGAGATTATGTGATATGAGATGATAGGTCACACGTGGTGTAGGATTTTCCGGCGCATTGACAGACCCCATATGTGACGTTGGATTTTCCGGTGTATGAGGAAATTATGTGATTATTAGAATGATGTTTGAAAAAGATTGTGTTTGGTGAGTTGTGATTTAAATTAAAAAGGGAATGGAATAAATTCTAGAATGTATGAATTTGCATGGCTGTAATGGTTTGCATGTTATTGGAACCAGGATTGTTGTTGAAAGAACTACGTGTGGCTTGATCCCTCAGTAAGGGTACGTAGACAGCCTGGGGTCCCACCTGGGTGCAGCCGCAAACTAAAATTAGTTTGGTTTTTGGTTGAGTTTGGTTTCGACTTGGTAGGTGGTTTTGCTTCGGATTTATTGAAGGCTAGAGGCCGTTTATATGAATTGCATAAAACTATATTGTGCATGCTGCCTGTTGGGATATTAAATGTGTTTTATGCATGTTGAAATTTTTGGGGAAATGTTCAATTTACAAAGGAGACTCTTCCTAAATATCGGTAGAAAGTCTCGTGCCCTTATTCCTTTTTGGGAAAAGAGGATATAGTTTCAGAATTGGGCCCGACATCAGGGTGATGTCTGGAATTCCACAGGATTCGTCTCGGGTTTTGAAAAAATTCGGGGCGGGTCCTGTCACACACATTAGCTCAAAAGGCAAAGACCAATCTAGTGCCATAATGATAGGAACAGAGGTTAGTTCACGTTTCAAGTATTAAATGCATTCATATAATCTTTATCAAAGTGAAATACAACATCTTTGGCCAAAAGATTGCACAACGGATGAGAGATCTTGGAAAAATCTTTAATGAAACGACGATAAAAACCAGCATGTCCTAGAAAGCTTTTCACTCCCTTCACTGAAGTAGGGCCTGCCATATTTGAGATGATGTCAATTTTTGCTTTGTCAACTTCAATACCTTGCTGGATATTATATGCCCTAACACAACACCTTGTTTCACCATAAATTGACACTTTTTCCAATTGAGAATCAAATTTGTTTCATGACATCTTTGAAGCACTAGAGAGAGATGGTTAAGACAGTTATCAAAAGAAGAACCAAAAGCTAAAAAATCGTCCATGAATACCTCAATAAATCTCTCGATCATATCTGAAAAGATTGCCAGCATACATCTTTGGAATGTTGCTGGGGCATTGCAAAGGCCAAAAGACATCCTCCTCTATGCAAAAGTGCCAAAAGGATAAGTGAATGTAGTCTTCTCTTGATCTTTCAGAGCAATCGCAATTTGATTATAACCTGAATATCTATCAAGAAAATAATAATATACGTGACCAGCAAATCGCTCAAGCATTTGATCAATAAAAGGCATAGGAAAATAATCTTTTCTAGTGTTCGAATTCAACTTCCTGTAATTGGTGCAAATACGCCAACTAGCTACAGGTCTAGTTTGAACAAGCTCTTTATGCTCATTTTTTACCACTATGATTCCAATCCTCTTTGGCACTACTTGAACAACGCTGACTCATTTGCTATTAGAAATCGGGTATATGATACCCACATCTAGCAACTTCAACACTTCAACCACAATGAGCATATGTTGACTAGTCAACCAAAATAATATTAAAACAGGTAGAACCTTATGACTAGTCAACCACAATCAGCCTGAGCATATGATGACTAGTCAAACAAAGCAATATCAAAACAGGCAGAACCTGATGACTAGTCAACCACAATCATCGTGAGCATATGATGACTAGTCAACCAAGGCATGATCATGACAAGCATCAAATTTAGTATCGACCCTGTGGAAGATTAAGAAATGAACTAATTCACAGGAAATATATCAAGTGGTCAAGGATGTGTTAGCAATCATTTTCTAGACCAAGTCTTCAAGTACATGAAAGAAAATAATTAAAAGAGAAAATAAGAAAGTAAAAAAAAAATTCATATGCAGTTTACATTGACAATCAACTCTGAGAGATAGAATATGAGATGCATTTCATGCTCAGAGACAATGCATATTCTGGAATATGGAGGATTAGAGCCAAGGGACACAAAAGATGATTATCTTATCTCTCTTGGAGAGACATGTATATAATGAAATTTTATGACATGATCAGAGTATAGGCTCAAAGTTCAAGTATCATCACTCTCTATTGACAAAATATTTGATGATTTATTTTGTGTCACGTGCACATCCTAGACATAAGTGCTTGAATAGCCTAATTTTACGGCTCTTTGCTCTAGATGCTTCAATCATATCACCTTATACCTTCCTAGAGCCGTGACTACATTGGTCACACTTTTTTTTTTTTTTTTTTTTTTTTTTTTTTTTTTTTTTTTGAAATAGTATTGGATAAGAGAGTGAGAGTAAGCTAAGAAACAATAACAATGACAGTCCAAAATAAAGCATAGACACTTGGCTCACCAAGGGGATAAGATAGCACGATTTAAGTCTCATCTAATAGCTCTTAAACAAGAAAAGGGATTATGCACAAGTCATTGAAAGCACAAAAACATTCAACCTTCACACTATCAAAGATGAGAGATGTGAAACAGTGGCATATCAATTTAAAAACTTTAAAATAAATAAATAAATAAATAATTGGACTTGACTAGTCAACTGTTTTGGAATATGCTGAAGACAAGGAACAGACATGCTAATCAATCAATTGAGCAAAGGCCAATGGACTGTCTAAGGGTGACATGTTTCTGAAAGTCCAAGGCCTTGGTAAGTATGTCTGCAAGTTGTTTCTCAGAAGGAACAAACTCTAATGTTAAAATGTTGTCTTCCACAAGATGTCTAATAAAATGATGCCTAATGTCTATATGCTTCATTCTGGAGTGTTGAACTGGATTTTTGGAAATGTTGATTGCACTCATGTTATCACAGTAGATTAGGAAGGATGATTGAGAAATGCCATAGTCATCCAACATCTGCTTCATCTAGAGGAGTTGTGTGCAGCAACTTCCAACTGCAACATACTCAGCTTCAGTAGTAGATAATGACACAGAGTTTTTTTTTTTGCTATGTCAAGCAACAACATTGTTGCCAACATAAAGGACTCCTCCAGAAGTACTCTTCCTATCATTACTACACCCAGCCCAATCAGCATCACTATACCCAACAAGATTGACACTAGTGTCATAGGTATACCACAAGCCAAAGTCAATGGTTTCACTCACATATTTTATGATTCTTTTGACAGCAAACAAATGAGACTCTTTGGGATCACTTTGGAACCTAGCACAAACTTTTACACTATAAGAAATGCCAGGTCTACTAGCAGTCAAGTAGAGAAGGCTTCCTATCATGCTTCTATAGAGAGTTTGGTTGACACTTTTCCCATGCAAGTCTCTATGAATTTTAGTACTAATGCTCATTGGAGTTCTTGCAGATTTTGCAGCCTCCAAACCAAATTTTTTCACAAGATTTTTTGCATATTTGGATTGAGAAACAAAGATCCCATCATGGTGTTGTTTGATTTGAAGACCTAAGAAGTAATTAAGCTCACCAACATGACTCATTTCAAATTCACTAGTCGTGATATGTATGAATTCTTGAACATGTAAATTAGAGGTAGAACCAACCACAATATCATCAACATACACTTGAGCAATCAAAACATCCTTTTTGAACTTTTTTACAAACAAAGTTTTGTCAACCGACCCTCTAACATAACCATTTCTTAGAAGGTGAGAAGATAACCTTTCATACCATGCTCTAGGAGCTTGTTTCAAGCCATAGAGTGCCTTCTTCAATCAAAACACATCATTAAGATGATGTGGATCTTCGAAGCCTTTTGGTTGCTCAACATAGACCTCCTCATGCAAGATACCATTCAAAATTGCAGTTTTGACATCCATTTTATAAAGTTTAAACTTCAATTGACAAGCAATGGCAAGAAGTAATCTCACTGATTCTAACCTTGCAACATGGGCAAAGGTTTCATCAAAGTCAATATCCTTCATTTGAGTGTAACCTTGAGCAATTAATCTAGCCTTGTTTCTAGCAACATTACCTTGTTCATCAGTTTTGTTCTTGAAAATCCACTTAGTACCTATAACATTGGTATTGGTTGGTCTAGGAACAAGGTACCAAACATCATTTCTAACAAACTGATTCAGCTCCTCTTGCATTGCAAGAAACCATTCACCATGGTTCAAAGCCTCTTTTACATTCTTAGGTTCTTCCTTTGAGACATAACACACATGGCTAATTTCCTTAGCTAGTTATTTCGTAGTTCTCACTACCTGATTCAGAGGGCAAATAATGACACTTTTTTATTGAGGGATGGGACTACGAGCAGCTCGAGAGCTGCCAACAGGGGCAAATGAGCTAGGATTCCGACATGTCAACTAAACCAGAATTGTTAAAAGTTGACAGGTCAACCGGTTTGCTAGAGGTTGACAGGTCAACCACTAGACCCAGACCTGGAGATTCTTCCTCAGACATAGGAGATAAAAGACCATCCTCATCTGATGCCATCTCAGTAAAGGCAGCAAAATCATTAATATTGACCTTGTGTAAAAGGTGCAAAGAACTCATGCTTGATCCCCATCTCCTCACAAAATTTCAGAAACTGAGAATTTTCAAACTCAAAGCCATGATCTGTTCTAATTCTAACAAGAGGCAGATGACTAGTCATCTTCTCTTTTGCAAAAGATGACATACATATTTAAACCTTTGAAATGTTTCAGATTTCTCATGCAAGAATGGGACCCAAGTGTACCTAAATATATTTATTGCCACCAATGGACAAGGTTTGAATGAGACCAACAAGGTCCATATGAACAAGTTCTAGACATACTTTGGTTTGAATGTGTTTGACCTTCTTGTGTGACACTTTAACTTGTTTGTCCAATTGACATCATTCACAAAACGTTGATTAGTTTTGTCAAGCTTTGGCAGACACTCTCTTTTGGACAATTTGTGCAAGTCTCTAAAGTTCACGTGTCCAAGTATTTGATGCCACAAGACATTAGTTTCATTCACTACCTTACTGCAAACCTCATCTTTGGCATCATCACTTCCATCGATGCAGTAGCAATTGTCTCTTGATCTTGTCACACTCACAATCTCATTACCTCCTTGTCCAACAATTTTGTAGCCATACTTGAAAAATCTAACTTCTACCACTCCATCATCACACCAATGAGATTGGATGTGAGACCCTCAACAAATCTAACATTTTTAAGCTCGGGTAGACTAGGAATGCACGCATTGCCTTTTCCCACTACTTGAGACTTGTGACCTCCCCCAAAAGTCACAGTGGCTCCATCAAAAGGACTAAGAGATGAGAAAACACAATTATCGCCAGACATATGTTTGGAACAGCCACTATCAAAGTACCAAGAGTTGGTGTTTGAAGCAGCAAAAGTATTTAGTACAACAAAACTTTTGGTTTGACCTTTTGCAACCCAAGTAGATTTAGGCACAATAGGTGAGGTCATTTTAAGAGAGACAAGTTTGGCAATCTTAGTTACTTCATTTAGCAAATGATCAACCTGATCTTGCAAAGATTTGGGATTCCTTCTAGACTTGGTAGACAATTTTCTAGTCTGTTTAATTTTGTACACATGACAGACTAGTCGAATATGACCAGTCAACCCACACCTGTGACATGTTGGAACAAACTTTAGGTTCTTGACTACCTATTGTACATCAAGAGGTGCAATGGATGGAATTTTAGACTTTACAAACCTAGTGGTAGCACTAGATGCACTAGAAACAAAATGAATAAATCCAAGACCATCTTTGTCCCCATGAAGTTTTCCTATATTCAACATTTTGTCAATTTTTGAGGCACCAATGGTCATAGATATAATCTGACTTTTTGCCTCATTCAATTCACTTATGAGCTATTTGTTTGAATTTAGGAAACCAATGTTGCTCTCCTTGAGTACATTTACTTGATTTTCTATATTTCTCCTAATTGACACAAGCTCAACAATTTCATTCTCTAGGGACTCAAATTTGTCACTCAACTCCTTTTTGGATTCTTTTAAAGTGAGAACTTCATGCTGGAGTTCATGATTATTTGCCTCAAGTTTGAGATTTTCCTCTTTCAAGGAAAAGGTCTATTTGAACAAGCAGTCGTATTTTCTACCTAAAGACTCGTATGACTGGTCATCTGAATCATAGACATAATCATCAGACAACAATTGCACAGAGGCAACGAATGCAATTTGTTGATCATCATCATCAGAGGATGATGAATCTACTTGAGACACATCCCTTTCACTCTCACTCTAGCTTACTTTCATGGCTCTGTCTTTTCCTTTGGAGTATTTTTTCTGGTTGTTTCCACAATCGGCAGCATAATGACTAATGCCTCCACATGAATTGCATTTGGCAAATTTCCTAAAGTCTTTAGTAAAGGGTTTGACATCCTTGTTCCACTCATTAGACCGATCAGCTAATGGTCTAAACTTTCTCTCACTGCCAGAGCTCTCCTTTCTTGCAAACTTCCCCTTATTCTTAAGGATTCTTTAAATTTTTTGACAAACAAGGCCATCTCATCCTCGAAAGCTGAGGATTTTTCTCCACCCTTCAGTGGGGAATCATGCACTCTTTAAGGAGCATATATAGTGACATGATGTTTGAAATGAGGCAGGGGCTAAGAAGATTTGAAATAAGGCAAGTGACAAAAATTCTTTGCTTGTAAAGTAGGAGCTGGAAGGATGTAACTTGGCTTGGTTTAGCATGAGAAACTTTGAAGTGCCTACGCTTGACTCCTTCTTCTTTTTTTACAAACTTGCTTGGCACGAAGCCTCCAAGTATTTTGGAGTTTGCGTGTGTAGTTTGCTTCAATTACATGAATGATGGATTTGCCTAAGCCCCCAGTCCTCGTACAAGATCTGGTTTTGCTTGAGAATGGAGATCTAAGACACAAACAAAAGAGCATGTGAGTAATCTATATCATGTTTGTTCTGCAAAGTAGATAGCCAACAAAAGGAAAAAAAAATGTTCTTATCTCTTTATTTTCTCTGGTTTATTGCTTCTGATTGGAGGTATTGGTGAAGATAACGGCCTAATCCCCAGTGAAGTCGCCAATTTATGTAGAGGTCTTTTTACAGCAACCTGACGAATGGGCTTGGGCTGCCGAAAAAGAGAAACAGGTAAAGCTGCCCCTGTCTGAGTTCAAGGATCAGGCCCCAAGAGTGTTTCAAAAGGGTAGCTGAGCCTTAGGCAACACTTCACCAATGAAATCAACTGTCGCTTATAGATAAATTCGTGGCTTGGCATGAGAAGCTTGTGGCATAAGAGCTGAGCAATCACGAGTTAGCATGACAAAGAGAAGGCTTGGGTTTCCTATGAGGAACAGAGGCTTGAAGTAATGATTTTGCGAGGATTTGTTGATGGGAGAGAGATGGAGAGAGAGAGAGAGAGAGAGACATATTTTATGGTGGATGAACAGGTGCTTTGGGTAATTTTTCAGCAGCTTGACGAAAGCTTCGTCAAGCTCTAAAATGGCTTGCCAGGGGAGAAAATGGGAAGCAATGGAAGAACGAAGCTTGAAATCGAAAGGTTCTAGAGATGAGAAATGATGCTTGCTCTCTATGGATGTGGGTTTTGAGAGAGAGAAATGAGGAAGATGGAAGAACAAAGCATGAAATCGAAGGGTTCTAGAGGGGATGCTTGCCTTCGATGAATTCTCATGGTTGCTGGGAGGCTTGCAGCAACCAAGGTGAGTTGTTTTTGCTGGGTAGGAAGTGGCTCCATTTATAGGCGTTGGAAACCTTAATTTTGTTAAGCCTCACTCCCCCTTTTCCTCACTTTCTTCCATTTATCTTGTTTGGTGAAATTTCCCTAGCCTAAACCCATAGGCACACAGCTTTTTGGGGTTCCAAGGTCCTCAGGCAGCTGGACTTCTCCATATGGGTGAGGAGCTACCCACGTTTGCTTCTTGTTTTATCACCAAAGCTTGAAGAGGAAAGCATGGGTAAGGGTGCTTGGTCAAAAAGGTGATCAGCACATGGGTTTGCTTGGTTTTGGTGGTTTAGCTATGATCTGGTTTTAAAGAGATGCACTACGTTGGATATTTTATAAGGTGCTGGGCTATTTTGTTTCCAGCGGCTTATGAGTTTGCTCAAGTTTCTGGAAACATCTTATTTGATCAAGGTGCTGGATATTTTGGCTGATGTGGGATTTTTCCAAGTGTTTGCAAGCCATTAGATATTTTCCTAAGCTATTGGGCCACTCCTTCTCTCTCAGACTTACCCATATGTTTGGGCTCAAGAAATGGGCTCGAGTTTTGGTGCTCCCAAGCAGCCCAAAACTTCCACTTCTTGGCCCATCAATGGGCCTCGTGAATGCTCGTAACCATCCATACCACAACCCGCTCAACAAGCCCCAGGCATTCATGTGGCTTGGGCCCACTTAAGCTTGTAGCGTGACGTGTTGCTTATTTGCTTAGCGTGGCATGTGTGCAAGCGCATCAACTTTCGCGTGCCCAAATCGGGCCTCTTCTTGGTAAGGTATTACATTGGGTCGAGAATATATTTGAGCCTAGCCTTGAATTTTTTGGGCCTCAACAAAAGCAAATGAGAAGAGAAACAATGGAAACAAGCGCCAGGGGCCTGCTTAAGACCATAAAGAGAGCAACGTAAACGACTTACATGATCAAGGTATATGGGATCAACACAGCCAATGGGCTGATGCATATAAATCTCCTCATCAAGATAACCATGTAAAAAGGCATTCTAAACATCCAACTGACAAACTGGCCAACTAAACTGCACAGAAATAGCCAAGTTAAGGCGAATAGTAGAATGATTAACAACATGACTAAATGTTTCATCATAGTCAAAGGTTCGGCTGCTGATGAAAGTCATTAGTCACCAAGCAAGCCTTATAGCGCTAAGGAGTGCCATTAGAATTCTATTTGACACGAAAAAAACACTTGTTCAGCAACATATTCATAGCAGGAGTACGAATGACTAAAGTCCAAGTCCCGAAAAGAAGGAGAGCATTAAACTCATCTGCGATGGCAAGATGCCACTCCTTATGTTTATTAGCCTGTGAAAAAGATGTAGACTCAATAGTATCATCAGTAGAGGATAAAACCAACACATGATGAGCATGAGTAGGCAATGTAAGGGTGAATTTGTAAAACTTTCGTAAGTTTGGGTATCTGAATGTAGTAGGGTCTTCAAAAGTCATGAAACTGTAATGACCCTATATAGCTTGGGGGTTTTACGTAGTTGATCCAAAGAAAAACCGCAAGAGAATAGTTTTAATATTTAGTTAAACTAGGAAATTATATTTTTTTACGGAGGATGGATGACCAAAGATAGTTGTTTTCTGGCCCAACCTTATAAATATATATTGTCGTTCTCTGTGTCATTCTATAGTAAGGGCCTTATATATGGCCCTTAGGTGAGGTCATATCTATTAATTATTGGATCAGACTAACCAATTTAATTTTAACGACTAACCAATTTGATCCAATGATTAAAGATATAGGACATCACCTAATAGCCATATATAAGGCCCTCACTATAGATTTCTTAGTCTTTCTCCGGTGAATTGTATGAAACAATCTATAAGATATTTTAAGGGCCCTATCTAACGAATAAGAGAAAGAAAGAAAAAGCCCAAAAGGCAATCAACAAGGCAAACAAACCTTTCTGGGCCGAGCCTTAGAAACTCTGAATTAATAGAAACATTCAATCATTTCTTTTGCTAGACCATATAATCAATTTTGCTATAGTTTTTGGGTCATGAAATTCCTTCATATTGAGAAAGAGTAATGCTACACTTATCACATTTTTATCTCACATTTCTATCCCATATAATGTGGCATGTCCAAATTATGTCACATCAATTAAATCAATGAAGTGTATTTTAATTAAGACAATTAGACAAATAAATACTAGAATAAATTATAAAAGAAAAGAAAACATTAAATAATTTTAATTGATGCGGTTGTCCACCTCAACTATCACATAAGATGGTATAAGAATGTGATATACAAATGTGGTAAGAGTAGCATTATTCATTGAGAAATAAAACCCAATCATGATTAGGGGTGGGCATTGGAACCGCAAAACCGTAAAATCGAATCAAATCAATCCCAAAAAAATCGTGTTGACTGGAAAAGTCAAAAACTGAGACAAATCCAAACTGAACCGGTTGAAACCAGTTATGGTTCCAATTTTCCATCCGAAGGAACTGGTCCAATAAAATTATTTTATTTTATATTTTATATATAGTTTAACATGTTTTTTATTGGTTGTCTAAAAAGTAAAGGATAAACAATAAAGAATACAAAAAAGAGGAAACAGGGCGAGAAGAGAAAAGCAAAGGAAAAAATATAAAGAATACAAAAAAGAGGAGAGAGAACATTGGTACAATCAATTCTATACTATTTTAATGCCCAACTTGGAAACCATTGAGCAGAGAGACATGATTGAAAAGCAAGTTGGGTGGGAATTCATGGTGTTGATGTCTTGGGCAGAGAGAAGAGAACGGCTCTTTTTTATTTTTTTTATGAAATCTTTCAAACTTTTTGTTTTGTTTATTCCTCTCAGTTCTCTCTCTTCTCTAAGTATTCTCTCACTTCTCTCTCTCATTCTTTCTTTCCTCTCTCTTCTTGCTCGCTGATTCTTTCTTCCTCTCTTCTTACTCCGATTCTTTCTTTTATCTCCTCTCATCTCATTAATTCTTTCTTTCCTCTATTCTTTCTCATTGATTATTTCTTCCTCTCTTTCTATTTTTTTTTTTCATTTTTTTATTTCTTACTAGATCTTTATTTCTTCTTCTCTTTTCCCCTCTCCTCTTTGTC